CCGCGGAAAATTTCGTGGCTGGAAGCTAGAACCTGCCAGGACTTGAACCTCGGACGTCCCCATCATCCAACGGCCATGATGTGATGCGCGTTCTTGGCGTCCAAGAGCTTGCCGCCCTCGTCAGATCTTGTGACAATCCCAGCGATGGCCGCCAGATCCACGCCCAGATCCTTCACAGCGACCACAAGAACAGCGTCTTCCTGCGAAATCTCCTGGTCCAGATGTATGGTCGCTGCGGCTGCCTGGAGGAAGCGCGATCGGTCTTCGATTCCACCTCGGATCGCAATCTCTTCTCTTGGAATCTCATCCTCCAGGCCTACATTCGCAACCACGACCTGGAGCAGGCGCGATCGGTCCTGGAAAGCATGCCGCAGCAGGAGATTGTGTCCAGCAACGCCATGATCTCGGCATACGCCGCGGCCGGAGACGTGCAGCGCGCCAAGCAGCTCTTCGATCACATCCCTGCCAAGAATGCCATCACCTGGAACGCGATGATCGAGATGTACTCGCAGAGTGGCAACCTCAGCGAGGCGGAGGCGGTATTCCACTCCATGCCGGAGCAAACCCTCGTTTCTAGCACCGCTATGATTGTGGCATATGCCCATAACGGGCATCTCTCACGCGCGCGTGAGGTGTTCGATTCCCTGCCCCAAAAGGACGTGGTGGCGTGGACGGCCATGATCCAAGGCCACTGCCAGAACCAGCGGCTGGATGAAGCTAAGGATCTCTTCGATAGAATGCCCACAAGGAATGTAGTAACATGGACGACCATGATCACAGCATATGCCCAGGCAGGGCATATGGAGCAAGCAAAGAGTCTCTTTGAGGATGCCCCGGATCTTAATGAGGTGGCATTTACGGCTATGATCGACGGTTATGCATCTAACGGCTGCGTGGAAGAGGCTAAAGCTTTGTTTGAGAGGCTGCCAAACAAAGACGTGGTGGCTTGGAACTCCATGCTTTGCGCATATGCCGAGAATGGGCATTTGGACGAGGCATTAGATTGTTTCCAAAAGATGGCTCACCGCGACGAGATCTCTTGGACGACAATGATCCATATGCTTGCCTCTAGAAACCATCTTGAAAATGCAAAGTTTATTTTCGATCAAATGCCTTACGATAGCAAGACAGCGAGCACGGCACTCCTTTCGGCCTATCTCTGGAACGGCCACCTCCAAGAAGGGATAAGCCTCTTCCAGGCAATCGAGGAGCGCGATGCGATCTCCTGGATGGCAATGGTGGCTGGCTTTGCTCGCAAGGGACTCCTCTTGGAAGCTCGAGTTTGGTTTGAGAGAATGCCAGAGCGAGACTTGGTCTCATGGACTGCACTGGTGGCCATGTATGCTTCCACTGGGCATGTAATTGAGGCCCTGGAAACCTTCCATAGGATCATCCAGGAGAGCACAATGCCTGATCACATTGTATTTACAAGTGTACTTGCGGCATGCCGCCACTCGGGTGTTGTGAAGATCTCTCGGGACTACTTCCAATCAATGATCCAGGATTATGGAGTCGAACCCATAGGAGAACACTACTGTGGGCTTGTTGATGCGTTTGCAAGGGCTGGAGAGCTAGAGAAGGCCGAGGAGCTCATCCACAGCATGCCATTCGAGCCTGAGAGCGTTGCTTGGGTCTCGCTGCTGGCTGCTTGCCAAAAGATCCACAAGGATCCCAAGCGTGGAGTTCGAGCTGCCCAGAAACTCTTGGTGCTAGGGTTGGCCTCACGGTCGAATTTATATGTGCTGCTCGGCCAGAATTATGGAAGTGTATTAACTTGATATATAAAGATTCATTATGATTAAGCTAGGGCTCACATTATTTCTATTAACTATGAAAAAGCCATGGGAGTATGTGACACTTGACATTACCACCAAAGAGAAAAAGAAAAAAATGACGTTGTCAGACCATTCTTTGCTACTGCCCTTAGCTTTGGAGAAGAAACTGAAGTTATCAAACCATTCTTTGCTACTGCCTTTACCTTTGGAGAAGAAACTCTTCTGTTGAAGATGGACAAGACATTAATCGATGCTCACAAGGCCTTCAAGTTCTTTAGTGGGAAAACTATTCCCTTGTAACACTACTTTCTGGCAAAGAGGCTAGGTGTGAATAACTTTCTAAAAAAGATGAGTAAAATATATAAGATTGTGGTTTTTACTCGAGCAATAAAGCCATACAAAGCTCAACCCAATTGGGAATCTTTTTGCCCATCGTTTCTACAAAGATTTGTGCTCAACCAAGGAAATCAGAGGGAAAAAGGTTGTGAAAAATCTCTCAAAATTAGGGTGGGACCTCAAACATATGGTGATTGTGGATGACAAACAAGAATCTTTTTGCTTGCAGCCCAATAATGAAATTGTCATTTGCACATTCAAGAATAGGAAAGGGCATAAATATTATGAATTGAACATGATAAGCAATCTGCTCAAGAAAATCACAAGCATTGAAAATGTAAGACAAGCATTGGAGAAGTTAAATAGTTAGACAATAAAGAAACTCATGTAAACACTCTGACTGTTTATGCTGTAACACTGCTCACTCTAAATTGATTCTGGCATTGTTTCTGTCAATCATAATCAGAAAGCATCTCATGCTGGAAGAGTTTGCTCCACACTTTTATGGAAGAGAAGAATTGGTTGGAGACTTTTGTGTCGCTGGATGAAAGTTTCTGGATCTCACATTCCTGAAACAGTATCGTATATCAAGTATTCGTGCTTCTTTCCCTGTCAGCTATGCCGATGACCTCAGCTCCTTTGCTTGAAGCTCTCAAGAGAACCGGCAAGGAGCGTGCCACTGAGTTTCACTTCCCAGGCCACCCCTTCAATTTTCCAAGCTTCTCGGAGCTCAACTCTTCCAGTTTCATGTCCCGGAGATGCCAGGCCTGGATAACTTGCACTCGCCACAAGAAGCGCAGCAAATGGCTGGGTGTCGTGGTTCTTGGTTAACGGCTCTACGTGTGGAATGAGCTGCTGCAAGCCCGGAGACGTTTTGATCCTCCCCAGGAACGCCCACGTCTCGGCATTCTCTGCCATGGTATGTTCTTCCTTGTTATGAAGAGCTCTGGGAGATTTCTCACGGTGTCTCTGCCGAGAGCATCGAGTTGGCCATCTTGGATTTGCAGAAAAGAAAAGACGTAGGAATTGGAGTTGTTCTGATTGTCTTGCCAACTTACTTTGGAGTGTGTAGCCCAGTGGACGAGATTGCAAAGGTGTGTCACGACCATGGTATCCTGATCATAGTTGACAAGGCTCATGGAGCTCACTGCAAGTTCCACTCGAGGTTTCCTGTAACGGCACTCGAGCAGGGAGCCGACGTTGCTGTCCAATTCACACATAAGGTACTCTCATCTCTTACTCAGTCTGGGATGCTCCATCTTGCGAGAGGCTGCAATATTGTAAAGCACGAGAGAATTAGCAAGTTCCTTGGAGCCTTGCAAAGCTCCAGTCCGAGTTACTTTCTCTTGGCCGCTCTCGATGCCGCAAGGGACCAGATGAGTTGTGCAGAAAGCAATGACCATCCACTGCTTGATACAGCTCTGGAGCTGGCTTCCACAGCTCGATGACGCCTGAAACAAATCCCACAAGTTTTAGTCCTTGATAGAGAAAATGTGAGCTTGGCAGCCAAACCTGATACTCATGTTTGATGAGCTTAGGATCACCATTGGTTTGTGGGAGCTCAGTGTCACAGAAACTCTTGCTGATGACTTTCTGTGCGATAAATGCAAGGTGGCGGCCGAGCTTCCTCTTCTGAACTCCATAACTTTTGCTATGGGAGCCAACACTAGCCACCCCTTGTCGACCAAACCAGTGTGGCAGCCATGGTTAGTCCCGACCATTCCGAATGCCGACCGGCCGACTGTGGTTATTGACCGGCTGTGAAAATGCCGAACGGCCGAACGGTTCACAAAATTTTTTTGAAAAAAAAAAAAACATTTTTAGTAAAACCACATTAATAAAAGTAGGAAAACCAAAGCATTAAACCAAACCAAACCAAACCAAACCAAACCAAAGCATTAGACCAAACCAAACCAACTACTACTCATCTTCTTCAACATCTTCGGCAAGTCCCTCGACATCTCCGGCATCTTCCTCAACAATCACATCTTCATTTGGAAGATCTTCTTCGGCTAAATCTTCTATACCAAGAGATTCAAGCCTAGCTTGCATCTCTACAATCCTCATCCATTGTGGTTTGATTGCAATTGTGTCGAGATCGATCTCTAGGAACTTCATTCCTTCACTTTCAATACGATCCACCACTCTAGTGTTACTGTGTACATAAACCAACTTCTTCAAGTTCTCTGGAAGCAAGCGATTGCGTCGTTTGGTTTGGATCAAGTTCCAGCTACTCCAATTTCACTCACATGGAGAAGAGCACACTCCTTGGCTCAACACACGAAGTGCTAACTTCCTGAGCTTAGGCATCTCATATCCATAGGATTCCCACCAAGACACTGGGAATTTCCTTTTTGCTTTGCTCTTCGGCAAATCTCGATTGATAGCTCTTCCAATTCCTCGTCGAAACATATTGAATTGCTCATCTAACTTCTCTTCCAACTGAGTGTCCCCACAGCAATAGAGTGATAAATAATCCATCCAATCACTTCTTACCTCAGCATCCAAGTCTTGCTCAAGGTATGAAGGATTCAAAGCATGTGCAGCACTGTGCATAAAGCTATGCATCATAAACCATCGAGCTCTCCATCTATGTTGGTCTTCAACCAAGACACACTTAATTGCATCAATTTTATATGCATCAAGCTTGCCATCTTGAGTTGCAAGCTCCAATCCTTCAATCATACGATACATTGCTTCATAAATTAATCTTGTTGTTGCGCCCTCACGATCGGCAAGACGTAACACCTTCAAAATAGGAGCTACCATAACCAATAAAGTAGAAACATTCTTCCAAAATTCATCATTGAAAATTGTTGTACGAACATCTTTGGCATCCTTTGTGTTATACCACTTCGACGATTCAAATTCTGCACTCACTATGAATCGTCAAAGGCACGGGAAAACATCTTCATGCTGGAGCTGGCTGACCATAAGAAAGATGTAAGCGAATCGAGTCTTCGCAGGCTTCATGAGTTCTCTAGAGCAGAACTTTCGAAATAAAGCAAGTAACATCGGCTTCTCAGTTATGAACTTCACGATCTTCTCACAGTCATTTACGATCTTAGACACCCAATCAAACTTCCCAATATCCTCCAATAATAAGTCCAAAACATGGCACACGCATTGATTGTGTAAGATAAAGGGGAATTCTTCTCTCATATGTTCCCCCATCGATACACAATTCGAAGCATTATCAATGATGACTTGAACAACATTTTCAACCAAAATGATGGGTCTAAGTTGCTCCCAAAGCCAAAGACCAGTCTTCTCTTCTCCTTTGGTGTCAATACCCTGCCAAAATATTGAGCCATGGATAGAGGTAACCATGAAATTTATGAATGATCTACTCTTTATATCAGACCATCCATCAGTCACTATTGTACATCCAAACCGAGCCCATCCATCACGAAAGAGAGCTAACTTCTCCTTGATTAAAGTATAGTGACGAGTGAGCTGAGTAGTACGAAGCTTCTTGTAACCAAGAATCCTCAATGCAGCACTAGGTCCAGCACTACAAGCGGCTGCGATCATCGCATGAAAATATAGGCTTTTCACAACATTAAATGGTATAGCATTCAAGAAAATGAACTTTGATATCGCATCATCTAAGTTCATGTTTCTTGCATCATCAAGCATTTCCTCAATATTGCCATCTCGCATTCGCTTTCGACCAACAGATGATCCCTCATGGCCTATAGAAGCACTCATAGGCTGAGATTGACTAGCACTTTGTGTACCAGCTCTAGAAGCAAATGCCCCATCAAAATGCCTACTCTATAGATTTGCTGTAGAAGGTAAAGACAAAGGGGCATTTGCAATTTGCTCCACAAACATTCGGTGAGCTTGGTTCTGAATATGAAGAGGAACGTTTGAAGCACTACATGCTTCAATATCATGCCCAGAAACTTTAGCAAGATGCGCCTTGATGCGTTTCGGCGGACCGCCATACATTTTACCACAATAATTACATTTCCAACGCCCAGCTCCTTTGCTGGAAGCATAAGGAGTGAGCTTGGTAACATGGGACCATGCCCAATCGGGCGCCATCGCTCAATTGTGCCAGAATCGCTATGAATCTCTACAATCAAATCTCTAGAATCACTGAATTTCCATTTTAGGGCAAAAACTTCAAGTGTCGCGGACTGGGCGATTTGATTTGTGAGGCCTCAGTGCTGCTCCACGCTCAATCGAAAGCAGAGGCAGGTACGCACGCAGCTCCTATGCCCTCCCCTCCTCGCCGCAGCAGCATCAGAAATCTAGCGCGAAGCGCGATCACTATTTTTTTTTTCCCCGACATTTTTTTTTTTCCCGAACGGAATCACGAACGGACCTGTCCGAACGCGGTCGGCGGCAGTCGGGGTGTAGGCCGACCGCGGTCGGGACCAACAATGGTGGCAGCAGACCGATAGAACTGAAGAGAATGTCACAGCATCCGGCTTGGCGAACTCTTGCATTCTCTGAAACAGATCAAACATTGCATCACTGTCCCCTTGATGGCTGTATCCTGCGATCAGTGCTCTCCAAGACACTGCGTCCTTGTCTCGAAACCCATCAAACACTCAGCGATGCCATAGAAACTTATGAGGGAGTTTGCCACCGCTGGAGAGTTCTCTGCCCAGCTTCTTCCATCAGACCAGCCTGTAGTTCTCCAAGACCTCCACAAGCCTTAAGTACCGCAGCAAAAGTCTGCAAGTTGGGGTTCAATCCTTGGAGTATCATCCTTAAAAATCTCCTGCAGGGCAAGCTCATGGTTGCCACTCTCGGTGTATGCTTCGATCATGGTGTTCCACGAACGACGTCTTTGATCACCATCTTGTCAAAAACCCGAGCCGCATCATTCAAACTTCCACACAGAAAGTAGAGACTGATCAAGTTGTTTGCAGTGTAAGCATCTTCCAGCCCGTCGAGAAAGTCAATGCCTTTTCCAGCGATGCCACTCTCAAGGACTTTCCATCCACAAGCCGAGCCTCTTCCTTCTCGGCCATATCCAGCTACATGTGGTGCGGCCAGCCGGATCTCGCGCTGATTTTAGGGTTCTTGAGGTTTAGAGATGAAGAACAAATATCTGGCGGTGGAAGAGCGGCGCTGTGGAAAATGTTCAAAGCATAGAGAACTTATACAACTCATGACCATTTTTCTGTTCGTTTTCTTTCTTTACAGGATAGAAAAAGACTAAGAAGGAGGATAATCAAAATGCAAAACTGTGCTTGATCTATGCAAACTCACTGGATGCGAGATTTGATCAGGGCTCCCAAAACTTGGCCAGGTCTTTGGTATAGACAGTCCGGTCCTGGATCTGCCAATCTACGATCCTTGCCTGGGTACATTTACAGATGAGCAGAGCGAGAAACAAATCCTCCCTGCTTCATTTATAGAAACAGCAGTGAGCGACAAAATCTCGAACAAAACTTTCCTGTCAATTTTCCTTGGTTGAGTGAGGTTTTTTTGTAGAGGTGGATTTGTAGAAGTTTAGGTCTTTAGCAAAGTCAATCAATTCTACATTTAAGGCCATAATTAATTTTAAGATATTCCAATTATAGGATAATGTCATCTTTATGTTGTTGAAACCTTCTAGAGGTGCAAAGAGATTAACTACACTAACAATTTGTTAGTTGTAAGTGATTAATTTTTTTCATTATACTTTAATCATTTAACTACACTTTAGATTAGTTGAAGTCTTACTTATAACCTTCATGAGTCTTATTCCTAACTTGAGGACTTGATAGCCTTATAGATGACATTTATACTATTTTATTTTTGCACTTGGTCCAAGTGCTTTATGTATTTGATCCTAACACAAACACCCAAAGGTATTACTAACATATCAACCTGTTATGCTAAGGCATGTCCATTCACTTTTGTTTTATTAATAATCTAAGACTATCCATACCATAAACCCATTTCCCATATCCACACTTTAGCACCTTTAGAATGATATAAAGAATACCCAATATCCCTTCTTTAATCCCCACTAAATCCCACTCCATTCACAGTAGAGTTTGCTTATACTGCCACTGAGTCAAAGCTTAAAGGTGTGACCATTAAGTTCTATTGACCTCTAAGACTTCCTTACCACATGATTATTCCTTTGGTCACTACACAAGAAGATTGTTTTTTTTCCTTTTCATAATTTGAAACCTTATGACAACATTTCAAAACACCATGACCCTATATGAGCGTTGTGAGTGCTCTCCCCACCCTCCGCCCTTAAATGCGTTAGCCATGTGGCTAAAGTGAGGTTTTGATGAGCCACACTAAATATCCAAACAAGTAATGCTATCCATACTTGAATTGGGAGCATTAACCATTTGATCTCTTAGGGCAGCTAGAGCTAGCTCTTAAGTTACCCCATTTGTTTGTTTATGTTCATTTTAGCCTTGAACTCTTTATTGGTTATATTATCACCTACTATATGGATATAACCTTCCTTGCTCACATTGTTTTTCCTAGCCAAATTGGTTCCACTAGAGTCCTCCCTTTATTATCCTTTTGGAGCTCACCAAACCCTTCAAGGTCTAAGAGATGATTACTTTGGGCTTTTACTCTCGGACTTAGACTTGGACTTAGTCGTGGTCTTGGTTTTGGTCTCAGTCTCGGTCTCGGTCTCGGTCTCGGTCTCAGTCTTGGTCTGAGTCTCAGTCCCAGTTTCAATCTTAGTCTTGGTCTCGGTCCTAGTCTTGGACTCTATAATGGACTCTATCTCGGACTCTTTAGACTGTATCTTGGATTCCTGCTTGAACTTCATTTTAAACTTCTTCTCAAACTCTATTTCGGACTTCATCTTGGACTTCATATTAGACTCGGTCCCATCACTTCCATATGTCAAGACACTTGCCATTTGTTAGTTCTTCTTGTATCCTTTTTTAGAGATTCATTCACTAATTGTTTCTTGCTTATTCCTCGAGCACTTTATTCAAAATTTCACTCACACTTTTGACTTTCCAAATTAGAGTTTTTAATCCAAACATATTATATTTATTGAACTTCCGCTTCGACCACTGCCATGTGGCACACTTTAACTCCACTTTGGGGCTTAGGGATTTGTGTCTCACATTAGTATAGAATGTAATTATCTTAGCATAAGCCTTAAGCATATTAGGCAACATTTTATGGCTAAAGATGTAAGTTAAAGTCATTGGTGTTGGTGTTAGCTTCATATATTGCATTTGAAAACAGTTCAAAAAATATAAAATATAATAAGTTGATGACAGCTCCATGACTAAGGCAATACTTGATTGGTCTAATATTGACCATATTAAACCTTGAGGACGATTGCTCTTGAACAACAATTGAAATGATTATATTATCCACAATGATGATTATGAGCACTCCTAATTTTCATCTAGTTCTTTTATTGAGAGTTGTAGAAAATGATCTCGTTGTACTTCATGGTGGGCACACATCATGACATCACATTTGCTATGGGAATTGTCTCTTTGTTCATGGAGAATCCATAGTCACCATAAAAAGAATAATTTAATATCTTAAAAGTACAGTCAATTATTATGTTGTATATGAGGAAGTTTTAGAAGCAAGATTTGACTTGACTGAATATGTTAATGTTAACTTTGTTAGACAGCCAAACTTCTACAAATCAACCATAGGTTATCGCTATAATAGTGATTACATGTTACATTAAGAGGAGCATATTAAGCCCTTTCTAGTGCTAAGACAAAGTATGTGGCATTAATAATGGTGACGCATGAAGCTATTTGGCTATGTTAAAATCTTTATATTACTCTTTTACAACAATTAGAGTGTTATTATGATATCATAGAAGGATGAAGTTTATTCAAACCAATGAGAACATGTTTGTGAGAGAACTCTTAAAGTTTATTTCCTTCTAAATCACAATTAAACATTAAATATTTTCATCAAAGCTTTAGTAGAAGCAACATTCACTAATCAATACCACAATCTAAGAGTTGCTTCTGTTGACTACATCTCAAAAGGGATGTTATATTATAGAAGAGTCCACCACCTCTAATTAGCTTTAGTTCTTCATTCTTAATTAGCTCTGGATAGCTATCAATTACTAGTTAGCTATATATCTAGAGTTAATTGGGAGTGAAGAATTGAAGTTCATTGGAGGCAATGGACTCTATAATGTTGCAAAACTCCCTCTCTGAAGCATCACTAATAAAAAGAAATTTTAGATTATATTTGGGAATGTTCTCTTTAGTAAAGGGATATTATTCATGATTTAGAAGGAAATAAACCTAAATCCCGTTGAGAATATGTTCTCAAATGAAATGAAACTGGTTTTAATATGCTCTATCTTGCCATGATATCTCACATCCTTCATGAGCGCAATAACACTTGGTATATGCTTTGTGGGAATAAAGTTAATATACAAAAGATTTTATGTAGTAAAAGAGCCTCACATGTCATTGTTATTAATACCACATACTTTGCCTCAATACTAGAAAATGTTTCTTGGTCTACTATGTAATGCCATGTGGATGAAGGTGGAGTCTTCTCCAACCAACATTGTCTCAACAAAGTTTGTCTTCAAGATCAAGACAAATGGTGATGGCAATATCACATGGTACAAGGCTTGGCTTTAATCATATTAAGGCCATCAATTTCACTGAGATGTCCTCACCCATTGTCAGAATCTAATCAATTCATATGCTTCTAAAATATTTACGTTCACCTCCTTCTTGTCTGGGTATGGCCAACACCATACCTACAATCTGAATAAGGTGATTTATTGCCTTAAAAAAGTGTCAAGAGAGGTATGAAAAGATGGACAACTTTATACTATTAATTGGCTTCACTAAAACTGATGCAAATCCAAGAGTCTACCTTCATATAGAGTGCAACTGGATGCTACTCTTGATTGGGCTTTATGTCAATGACATACCCATCATCATGGAGAACACAGCCTGTTAAGGAGTAGTTGTCTTCAAGGTTTGATATAGTCAACATTCGACCAATCAACCATTGTCTCAGCATCCAAATTTGTTATTGTGATTTTGTCATGGAGCTATCTCAAATTCATTAAGATGCAAAATGTGAAGCCCATATCAAATCATGTTGCCTAGCACACCAAAGAACTATTCTAAGATAATTACTGTTCTGTATTGACAAGCTATTCGCAAGGTACTATACTTGATGTTTTGTACACATCCATACATAGTGCTTGCTATGGGCATTGTCTCCCAATCCAAGTTGGGAACACTTTAGTAGATATGTTGATACTGACTTTGTTGGAGATCCAGATTTCACAAATCCATTAATATATATATTTTGTTTTAAAATGGGTTTTGGAGTGATCACATTGTCTAGCAAGAAGCACCATGAAGCAAAGTGCATGGTATTGACAAAAACACTCTTTGGCTACCCAAAAATCTTGTCTACATGAACTTTATTCCTACAAAGTTTATATTAATTTTCTGTGACAATTAGAGTGCTATTACTCTCACCAAGGATGTAAGATGTCATCATGGAAGGATGAATTCAAATGCTATTTCAGTTTATCCAAGAACATATTTACAAGGGAACTTTCAAAGTTTATTCCCTTCCAGGTTGTGAATAAATGGCAGGTATCTTCACCAAGCCTTTCCTAGAGGCAACATTCATTGATTATCACCACACTCTAAGAGTTCTTCCTATCAATAGCACCTCTAAGGGGGAGTATTGGAGCATAATGGAGTCCACCACCTCCAATTAGCTCTAGTTATTCCCCATTAACTCATGAAGTAGCTAGTAGTTAGCTCTAGTATTTAGAGCATGTTTTTTTGACTAGATCCATATCTTGTTAGGGGTTTTTTTGCTCTGTTATTTCTCTTTTCTTCTTCAACCACAACTTGTGTTATGGTAAACCTGCTTGGAAAACACTAGATAGATTGCTACAGAGATTTTCTTTATGATACGAAGTGTATGTAGCAACTAGTGCTGCCATTTTAAGAAGGATCTATAAAACTTGGGGAAGCCACCACAGTCTACATTTGTAATTGGCAACTGAATGAAAAACACAGCTCAGAAGGGCATTTGTTGTATACAAAAGATTGGAGTGGGACATTTTGTGTACAATTCAAGAGAAACCATTGAGACTAGCTTTTTGGCATGTTCTCAGCACTAATCGCAGAATACATTGAGCACAGTGTCGCTACCCACTAAGGATTTCCAAAGAAGTGCACGCAACTTGATAGTATTCCCGCTGTGTTGTGCGCGAAAACTGTTACCAAAGTAAGCAAACGTAAGCAAGAATGGTTTGCAAATACATTGAGAATCCACAGCCCAAATAAAAACTCACATCGCCTGTCACCCTATCTAGGGAAGTCTTCTTTGCACAAGCCATGAATCTCTGAAAGTTTCTATTCGGGTTGGAACAGAACAGTATCTATCCATATCTAGGAACTCCTGCATCTTTCCATCACCCTAGCCATATCATCCACCAGACCAAACGACTTAAAGCATTCTAGCCCGATAGTCATCATAAAATTCCAAGAGAGCTGTTAGTTTTCTTGCTAAATTCTCAGAGGAAAATGGCAGGAAGTTAGTCCTCAAGAGCCTTGTTAAGAAGTCCTGCTCGGAGCCAAGCCTCCATCTTCCACGACGTGAACAATGCTGCACAGCTTCCCCAGTAAAATGGATTAAAGACCCTGAGCGGCCGGTACGAGGGTTCGAATCCCATTCTTGACAAATTCTTTACATTTTTGCTATTTTGCTAGGGTTTTGGAAAGAGCCGCCATGGATGTGGATTTGGAGGCGGCAGTGGTGCGCCAAGGCGATCTTGTGCGGGCGCTCAAGGAGCAGAGTGCTCCCAAGCAGGAAATCGATGCGGCTGTGACGGTGCTCAAGGATCTCAAGGTAAAGCTGGCCGCCAAGGAAGCAGCGAGCGCGCAGGTGAAGAATTTCCGCGAGACCGTCACCAATGTGCTCAAGAGGAGGCTCTTCTTCGTCAAGTCTTTCAAGATCTACGGTGGCGTCGCGGGATTGTTCGATTATGGCCCTCCAGGCTCGGCCGTCAAGGATAACGTCTTGAGCTTTTGGCACCAGGTAAAATATCGAGCTTTAAAAAACCATGGATAATCTTCTTACGGTGTTCTTTCTCGCAGCATTTTGTAGTGTATGACGATCTCCTCAAAGTGGATTGCCCATGCTTGACACCCGAGGCTGTTCTCAAGGCCTCCGGGCACGTCGACCGATTTACGGACTTGATGGTCAAGGACGTGAAGCTGGGCGATTGCTACCGAGCCGACCACGTCGTCAAGGATTTTGTCAAGGATGCTCTGGAGAAAGACCCACGCATGCCAGCGGCTCAGAAAGAAGACTATGCTCGAACTCTGGCGTCGCTGGATGACTTTACTGCCGATGAACTTGGTGCAAAGATAAAGGAGTATGGCATCAAGGCTCCAGACAGCAAGAACGACTTGTCCGAGCCATTCCCGTTCAATCTCATGTTCGCAACGCCGATTGGTCCCGCGGGACTTCTTCAGGGGTACGCATGCATTCTTTCATTCTTTACGTGCTGTCACTCATCCCGCTCTCCTCAGGTACTTGAGACCGGAGACTGCTCAGGGAATGTTTGTCAATTTCAACGAGCTGCTGCTTTATAACGGTGGCAAACTACCTTTTGGTGCAGCTCAAGTCGGCCAGGCATTTCGAAACGAGGTAGAGATTTGCTTTTGCTCTCCTTTCTCTTTTGTGTTTAGAAGCTGAGTTTGGATGCTTCAGATTTCTCCACGACAAGGTTTGCTGAGGGTGCGCGAGTTTACGCTCGCGGAGATAGAGTTTTTTGTCGACCCGGTCGACAAATCTCACCCAAGGTTCGGCAGCGTTGCAGACCTTGAGTTTTTCCTCTTCCCAAGGTCGCAGCAAGTGAACATGAGTGCTCCCCTCAAAGTACGTCTCGGGGATGCAGTCGCACAGAAGATCATCGACAACGAGACGCTTGGCTACTACATCGGACGGACATACCTGTTCCTCACTACTCTCGGCATCAACAAGGAGCGGCTGCGGTTTAGACAACATCTTGCCAACGAGATGGCGCATTATGCTGCAGATTGCTGGGATGCTGAGATCGAGTGCTCATACGGATGGATAGAATGTGTTGGCCTCGCTGATCGCTCTGCGTACGACTTGGAGGCACACTCGGTAAGCTAGATCGCTTGCATCCTTTCTGAGTTCTTTCCTTTCCTTTGCTCGTGCAGGCAGCCAGCAACACCAAACTTGTGGCTTCACGAAATTTACCCGAGCCCATCCTTGTAGAGGTACCTAGGATTGAGGAACAGCGTCGTTTCTCATGCCTTCTTGTTGTTTCAGGAATTTAGACCGGTTCCAAACAGGAAGCAGATTGGCATTTGTTTCAAGGCGGACCAGAAGTTGGTGTTAGAATCCCTGGAGGTAGAGTATTTTCTACATTTCGTGAACATATTTCTCAAAGCCTCTTTTGCAGAAACTTAGCAGTGAAGAGGTAGTAGAAATGGTGGCAAAGTTGGAATCCGCAGGCGAGGCACCGCTCCATTCCGACAGCACGGACAAGACGTTCACCATCAAGAAGGGCATGGTCGACAAGCAGGTGACCAAGAAGACGAAGGACAAGGAGAGCTTCACACCGTCAGTGATCGAGCCGTCGTTTGGCATCGGCCGCATCATCTACTGCCTGTTCGAGCACTGCTTCGACACCCGCGAGGGAGCGGACTCAGTGGAGCAGCTCAACTTCTTCCGCTTCCCCCCCGTGGTGGCTCCCGTCAAGTGCTCGGTCTTCTCCCTGGTGCAAAACGCGGGGCTGGACGAGCTAGCACAAAGCATCTCGGTGGAGCTTCGAAGAGCAGGACTGGCGGTCAAGACAGACATCACGGGCAGGTCCATTGGCAAGAGATATGCTCGGACGGACGAGATCGGTATCCCATTTGCGATCACTGTGGATTCCTCCGAGGGAGGGGTGACGGTGAGGGACCGGGACTCCAAGGAACAGATTAGAGTTCCGGTGGAACAGGTGACGCAGCTCCTCGCGGACCTGTCCGCCGGTAACAAGAAGTGGAAGGACGCTCGGTGTGCGTATCCTGCTCACACCTCCTCGGACAAGACCGACGAGGACAAGACCGATGAGTAGAACTCCATATCCTTTCAACAAAGTTTCTCTACTACTTGTTCTTAAAGATCGCGACCACTGTCCCAAGGAACTCATAGCTCGCCGTGAGTGATCCAAACCAAGAACTCGTCAAACTATCAACTTTGCACACACTAGCTTCGTAGCCGTGCGCGTTTGCGAATCCTCGGTTTCGTCTCTGTTAGTTCTTCGATTCGATTGTGATGCTTCTTGTCTTGATTTTGTGGCGGTGGTCTCGTCATCTCGCGGTCGAGCAAACTTGCGGCTTCTTCACCACTGGCTTCCAGGGAGGTTGTACAAGTAATCTCTTGTTTGCCGTTGCTACAAGGCGGTCTTGTCACCTCCTCCTCGAGGAAACCGGGCTCGGCTTTGCCTTGTTGCTCCACGCCACCGGTCACGCACGTTACTAGCGCATACTCGACTGCGGTGCCATACTCGGACGACTTTCTCACGTCCAACAGGACCACACGCCCGCACTGCACCTTTTCTCGTTGCAAGGCGGACAGATCGACTGGGCCTTGAGGCAGCTGTTTCTGTTTCTCGGCTTCACCCTGCATTTCCTTGTCACGTCCAGAACTTCCAGAAAGCAAAAAAGAAAAGACGAGTACCTCGAAGCTGAGAGGATGCAAAATTTCGACCTCTTCGCACATACACCCGTCGGACATGTGGAGCTTAAGCAGCACGTCGAGAGCCTTCAGTTCTACCGCCTTCCTGAGCGCACGCAGCATAAGAAACAGGCTCAAAGTTTTCATGCGGCGGATATGGATACCTTCGGACGACGTAAGGCCGCTCCTTGAGCAAAGCCGGCTTAAAGTCGGGCCTGTCAGGAAACTCTACCTGCAAATTACACTGCTCATTCGTCACGCACAACCAACGGAAGACTTACCTCGACGTGTTTGATAAATTGCAAAGGTGCCTTGTTTCCGTGTGGACTTTCTATGCGCAGCGTCCACTTGACACAGTTATTCACTTCACAGGAAGAAACAGAAGGAACAAAGAGTTAGCATTGTTCAACAATGAACGCTTCTCTGCTTACACCATGAGTAGGAACAACAGACTAGAAGGTGGTCAAGGCGTATAAAAGGAGGGATGTTCCTGTTTAGCAATCTCATGACACCAAGAATCACCTGTCATGCGAAAGTCGTGTAAGAAACTAGAAAGCTTCATGAGCACCTGATCGACTCGAGCATGGATAACTAGCGTTGCCTTCTTATCCTTTGGTGTCGCCTGCAATGCAAGTAACTCAGCACTCACACAATGTTGTTAAAAGAAAAGGACCAGCCTGAAGGTTGACAATCACGAGCTTCCCTCCTGCTCGCACCGTTTTCAGAGGCAGATTGCACGCTGGAGTGATCTGCAAGCTGCCAGAAAGTTTGAGCAGCGTGTGAGGGGATGGAAACCAAAATAAAAAACTCACCTGGTTCCCAAGCAGACAATGAGGTCGGCCTCCTTGCAATGCTTCTCAGCTGCACGTAGTTCTTTAGGAGGTAATGCTCCCTGATCAAAGCCACAAGAGAAACGTTCACTAGACAGATAGTCTGCTGTACCTCCCAATCGACAATCGTATCTACAAGCCTTCCCACGCAGCCGGGAACAGAACATCGCCTTCCCGTGCGCTTGATGCCTATGGTTTCCATCTCGAAATCACGTAGATACCTGGTTAAAGAGTATGTAAGACTCTCAGAGGGAAGCAAAACTTTGGAAGAGGAAACAACACTCACTCTCGTCCACATGAAGGGCATGTTTCCATGAAACTATTCCCATGCAGCTCCGAGAGCTTGTCTCTGGGAATGCCCGACCGCAGATGCAAACCATCAATGTTCTGCGTGAGACAAAGAAAAAAAAACACAAGTTTTGCCATGCTTGAGACTTGGGAGAGAAAAAATGAAAGGAACCTGGCTGATGATAAACTTGAGAATCCCAGCACAAACAAGCTCCACCAGCGCCATATGAGTGGTTCCAGGTCTTGCCTGGTGGAACTGGACATCGGCCTTTGGTAACGGCTTGCCTTCATGCTGCAAAGCAAGATGAGAGTTGCTACTAGAAAACCATAAGAAGAAAGAGGTAAAATCATTCACCTGGAGCGTCCAAATTCCTTTGGGGCCACGAAAGTCTGGAATGCCACACGATGTCGATATCCCAGCGCCTGTGAAAGCCACCAGATGCTTGCTCTAGGCAGAGAGAAGAATGAGGAGATCCATCAATCAATCGATTGCTATGATCGCGAACAAAAGGATCGGTCGTTACCTCTTGTATGAGTTGAGCAAGCTGCGCTATCTGGAGGAATCAACAGGGCAAACCCTAAGCAAAGGAGCGATCGAAGTGACACACACCTTGCGGTCGACGTCTTGCGCGGGGTCGAAGAGCTCTGGCATGCCCAGCTTGCCGACATCCGCCTTGAACGAGAGCTTCTCGGCATACCCGAGAGCCATTGTTAACAAGGAAAGTATATAGGTTACCTCCACCTTATAAAGTTTTGCCAGCCTTCTCCACTCCAAAGTTCTTCCCAAATGAACTCTTTCTTCCAACTTTCTTCTTCATCTTCCTTGAGATTTTTGAAATGCTCCACTACTTCTAGCACTGATTTTTGAGGAACACGAAGAACAAAGTTGATCTTAGCAAGCATTGTTACAGGTATCAGCGAAAAATTCCAAGCTTTTTATTCCAGAGAAGGAGAAGAAGAGTTTCTACATCTCTACGATGCCAAGCTCCATCCACGCTCTGCCAATGCGGCACGAACTCTCTCCGCCGCAGCGGCATTGTCACTCAAAGGAGGATAGCTCCAGCTCTCAGATATCTGATCAAGATCATCACAAACAACAAAGAGAATCAATCACTCTGGAGCGTAAAAACATTTGCACTCACATCTTCTAGTCCGGTGAAGTTCCTCGCCACTCCTTTGTGTCTCAAGCTCTTGTGGAAACTTCGAAACTTCCACGTACATCTCTCGGCTCCAAGAACATACACGGGCTTCCTGCAGAAGTTGAAAGAACAAATCAATGAAGAAATATAGCATGGATACGAACAGTTCACACGCTCACCCTGTGCTACACGCCTCGCTCAACATGCTGATTGAGTCTGCTGTGACGACAAAGGCATCCCCCCACGCAAGGTGTCCCAAGTGTGGATTTGGACCTGCTAGACAGCAACTGCTAGATTATCAACGTAAAGAGCTTCGCAAATGGGACAGTGCTACCAGTGCCGTCGAAGATGTGAACGTTTGGGAGATCGCCGAGCTCTCTCTGGATAACATCACACACCTGTCAAGTCCAGCAAAAGCTTAGCATTTCTTCAATCTAGAATCGAAAACAACCTTAGCCGGTGTTCGTCGTGAATATGAGATGCGAACACTTCCGCACGAGGATAGCACGCGTTTCAGCTTGGACGCAAGTTCCTGGGCAAGGTCCTGGCCATAGTGACAACATCCTGGATCAGAGTAGAGAGGAAGAGCGAGTAAAACGAAAGACCGATGAGAACAAACGACTCACGCATAGGCCCGCCGATGTTCACAATCAGCAATGGCTTTGGAAGCGGCGCGAGCAGTGAATGCCAGGTTTCTGCAGCTGAGCGCAACATGGAAGGATCCGCAAGATGTAGAGCTCCCACTGTAAGCACCTGCCAAGCGGAGCAACACAACACGTAAGAAACCAAACAATGAAAGCGAGAGAGAGGAGAAAACTTACGACGCGTTTATCAGGAGGTTGGTGTGGAGTAAGAAACGGTATCAAGAATCTGGGAGCTTCCTGTCGCGCAGCCGGGCTGAGCGTGTAATAGTCGTGAACGGGTGTGATGACCATGTCGAAGTTATCCAAGCAGCGCCTGGGGTGTTGTATCTAAGCACCAAAAAAATGCAAACTAAAGGAAAAGAGAAGGTAAAGAAAGTGTGTAGAGAACCCACACATACCTGAACAACAAAGGTAGCGCCAGGAGCCAGCTTCTTCACACTCTCGGCAATGGAAACCGTGTCACGCCCGGCCGCAAGAACAAGCAAAGGTCCATTCCTAGAAGCAAGCAAGAATCTCCGTAAGTTACTCGATCCCAAAACGCAATTTTGCAAGGAAGTCCAAAGTAGTACCTTGCACTCTCCAGGTTTGCCAGATCGGCTAGTTTCCTCGCATCGGCTGCTTCGATGCCACTCAAACCCGCGCTACTGATGCCAATGGTTTTCTGGCTTTGGAGCCGGAATCCCAGCGAAGTAGCAAAGCGTTGCCACCATACAAGATGCAAGTGCCGCACCAAGCAGTCGATCTTCTTGTGAATTCCAAGCGGCAGCCATCGGAGCCAACGATTGAATTCACCCTTTGGCCGATCCACACGCTGGAAATTCCCACATAACACACTGCAAGAAAACAAGCAAACAAGCAAAAGAGCTCACATAGATGGTGTAGCTGCTGGCAAGGCCGAGCGCCCGGACCAAACCAATGGATTGATGCTCAGCTCCAGCGGCGCCATTGCCGATGATGACCGCGCGGCGCACCACAGTCGACAATCCCCGATCGAAAATCTCTGGCGTCGCATGGCTCACGCTCACGCCCGGGGGATCGGGCAATCTGATCGCTCTCATACCAGCTCCTTAAACCCTAGCTTGTTAGGTCTTTAGCCAATGTGGCACCATGTTATTCGACCACGTCGATTTTAAATTTTCATGTGGCAGGAGGCTATTGGCAAAGTCCAGCCACATCAGCTCCCAAGTAAGTTTATAAAGGTAGCACTTTTATAACTTCAATTACCATGAGATCTTCTCTCTCCTCTTCCAAAAATCCACAAATGGTGTGTGATAAGAATCTCTCTCTCGCTCGCCTTCTCTCGATAGCTAGCTAGCTCGATAGAATTACACGCGCGTCGCGTCGATCCCCATCTTTCTTCCTCGCTCGAGATCACAGCCCAGCCTTCTTCTTGAGGTGCTGCTTGAAATCGATGATATCTCCCTCCCACCGCGTCACCGTCTTGTTCTCGCACACCCAGATCTCCTTGGCCACCTGGTTGATGAGCCGGAAGTCGTGACTCACCAGCACCAATCCACCGTCCCAATCGTTGAGTGCATCCGCCAGCGAGTCGATGGTCTCGATATCCAAGTGGTTCGTCGGCTCGTCCAGGAGAAGTAAGTGAGGCTGCCTCCACGCCAGCCACGCGAAGATCACTCGGCTCCTCTGCCCGTCCGAGAGGTTCCCCATCGGCATGATCTGTGCCTTGCCGGTCAGCCCGAATCGTCCCACCGCCGCTCTCATCTTCTCCTCCTCCAGCCCCGGGTACTCGGCCATCATGTACTGGAGAGCCGAGACCTCCAAGTTGAGCTTGTCCGCCAAGTGCTGGTGGAACTGGGCGATCCGGAGATGGTTGTGCCGTCGAACCATGCCGTCCAGAGGCACCAGCTCGCCCGTCATCAGCTTGAGCAGCGTGCTCTTCCCTGCTCCATTCGGCCCGACCAAAGCGATCCGCGAGTCGAGATCCACTCCAAAGTCGATCTTTTTGTAGATGAGGTTGTCCGGGGTGTAGCCAAAGTCGACCTCCACGAACTGGAGGACTGGCGGCGGGAGCTTGCCGACGTCCGTGAACCGGAAGACGAGCACCTTGTCCTTGACGATCTTCTCCGTCAAGCCACCTCTCTCCATCTTGGCCAGCGTCTTCTCTTTGCTCTGGGCCTGGCGTGCCAGCTTCGCAGAGCCGTGCCCGAATCTCGCGATGTATTCCTTCATCGACGAGATTTGCTCCTGCTCCCACTTGTACTGTTTCATCTGGTTCTCCTCCAGCTCCGAGCGGGTTTGGATGTACTGGTCGTAGTTTCCCGTGTAGAACTTGAGCTTCTTGTTCTGCATGTGGATGATGTTGGTGCACACGCCGTTCAAGAAGTCCTGCGAGTGCGATATGACCATCAGGATCCGGCTGAATTTCTTCAGCGTCTCCTCCAGCCAGACGCATGCCTCGAGATCTACAAACACGACAGCGAAGAAACCCATTAGAACACGCTAGAACACGCACGAGAAAGAAACAAGCGAGAAAACTGGACTCACCAAGGTGATTAGTGGGTTCGTCGAGTAAAAGAATGGTGGGATTCATAAATAGTGCCCTGGCAAGAGCAATTCTCATTCTCCATCCTCCCGAAAAATCACGAGTACTTTTAGCTTGCATCTTCTTAGTAAATCCAAGACCATGCAAGATCTCGGCCGCTCGCTTCTCAGCAGTGGCCGAGTCCATGGCTTCTAATCGCTCATAAATCCGATCAAGTGGTTCTCCACCGCCAGCGTCCTGTGAAAGAAACGAAAGGCATGTTCACGCGGGGGAACGAAAAAAAATTGAAACTCTTTTTTGCTACACACCTGAGCAGCAAGCTTCTCGGCCTCCTGCTCCAGTTTCAAGCGCTCGTCATCGACATTCACAACAGCCTCCAGTGCAGTGAGGTCGGTTGCTTCGATTTCTCGAGTCAAGTGATAGATATCCATGTGTTCTGGGATCGGAACTTCACGGGAACCAATCGCGCTGAGAAGTGTGGACTTCCCGCAACCATTGAGCCCGAGAAGCCCATACCGTCTGCCAAGATAGCAAAGCAAAACAATCACTGGTTTAGAAAAGAAAACCAAGCCAAAAAGAAAAGTCTTCGCTGTCAATCTAGTTCACCTTCCATAGTTGAGCTCGAGAGTGGAATCAGAGACGAGCTCGTGTCCATGGAATGTCACGCTCAAAGATTCAATCTAGAGGAAGAAAAAATTTCCAGATTTGGGGTAAGAAAAAAAATCGAGCTGGAACAAAGATCTCATCACCGACTTACATGAATATCTCGCGATTGAGGATGCGATGCCAACACTCCCGTACAGGTCCGATCCGTGATGCTCATCCCTTGCATTTCTTCGTTGAGGGCGGCGGCGGCGGCGCCATTCTGATTTTGCTCGTCGGCGACCTTGGACGAAGTGGCGGCAGCTGATTTAGATCCTCTCTTGGCGACGGCGGCCGCTTTCTTGGCGGCGGCTTTCTTCTTACTCGCATCCGACACCATCGCTCCTCCCTTTCCTCTCGATCGACCCTTGGGACGAAGAACACACCAAATATGCGCGCCTGCCCTAATCTCACTCTGGTGGTCTCTAGCATATTCTATTAGGTCGTGTAGATTCGTTTACATGGAAAATGCGGGGGCATTGCCGCGCCGAGGACGCCGAGCGCTCCTCGCTCGATCGGCATCGCTCCTCGCGCTGGATCGATCCTAGATGAAGTGGAAGAAGGGGATGTTCGTGGATGGGAGCCAGGAATCGCCCTGGATGAAGCTCTGGACGGTGTAGCCTAGGGCATCGGCGATGCTGAGCTGCGTCGACCAGGGCACGCGCGAGAAGGCGCTGGCGCCGGGGCCGCAGCTGAGGTACTCCGCGAAGTAGAGCGTGGCGAGGGCGAAATTTCCATCCCAGGGCAGCCATCCCTCGGGCCGGACGAGCGATTCCATGTAAGTGTGGAGGAAGATCGTCCGCGAGTAGAGTTTCCAGGGGCGGCCCAGGTAGGCGAGGTGCTTGCGCGGCTCGGCGAGGAGGCCGCGCATGTACTCCTCGGTGCCATTGACGGTACAGTTTTGGAAGACGAGGCCGGTGGGCTGGGCCGGATCGAGGCGGCCTTGCGCGGTGACGGTGCTGAGGATCACGCCCGGGTTGCCAGGGCGGACGCGGATGAGACAGTTCTGCAACACAGCCGCGGCATTGCCAAAGATGAAATCGATGGTACCTTCGATCCGGCAGTCCCTGTAGAACTGGCGGAAGGTGTGAGCGTAGAGGGTGTCCTGGTAGCCTAGGATCGAGCAGCTGTGGAAGGCCGACATATCACTGTCCACGCGAAGAGCTACTGCCTGGTGGCCCTCGGGTCCCGCGGTGTTCTCCACTGTTAAGTCACGGGCCAGGAAGCCTTTGCCGTTCACAGCTGAGAGCCACAGGACAACAACACGCAAAGGTATGTGTCAGTTCTTCTTCTTCGTTTCTTTCTCTTTTCTTTCGTGCTCGAACAAGCAAAACCATGACTTCTAACTTATGATCATTCAGGTAGTACCGACCGAGTGTTGCCGACGCGAACGTCGTGGTGCCGCCTTTGGACACGCTCATACTCCCCCGGATGATGGTCTTGTCCATCCCGTCGCCCACGAACATGAGCATCGACTTTTGGAGCGGGATCCTCACGTTCTCGGCGTAGACACCGGCTTTGATGTAAATCACGTAGCGAGCGGTGCAGTGGTTTGGCGCGTGGTCGACGGCCGCTTGGATGCTGGTGAAGATGGTGAGCTGCGGCTGGTCCGGCGTGCGGGAGACAATTGCCGAGGGAGAGATCAGTGAAGCGGGGGCTTCGAGAAGGCGACGATCGTGCATTCCCAGCCAGGACGGGGCTGAATTGCTCGTGGTATCGACCGAGAAGGAAGAAGAAGTCAAAGAAGCTTGCAGCTTTCGCTTGTGGAGAGTCGGGCGCTTCCAGTGCTGTGGATTGGAACCGTAAGAGGCGAAGGCATCAACCATGGACAAGGCATTGCTGATGAGACGGGCGACAGACTCGAGCTTGTGCATCATCTTCTTGATGAATTTGGTCTTTTTTACGACGGACAGCGACGAGGTACAGTCGGTCTGATATGTGAGAACCCCGCTGAGCCATTGCTGCATGTCTTGGACTTGCTTGTCCAGGTCGGAGGCGACGCATTCCTGGAGCCAGAACTTGGAGGACGTGAGAAGGTCCTTGCAGTCCCGAGCGATGCCCTTGACACTTACGTCGGAGGTGGACTCCTGGATGAGCTGGTCGGCGAAGGCGTCGCTCTCGTTCACGCCTTGGTAGGCGATGGTGATTGAGATGCCGACGAGCTGCTGGGAATACTTGGCATTGGCTGCTCCAGGACTTGTCACCAGCGACGAGTAGCAAACGTCGGGGAACTGGGTTGCCTGGCAAACTAGGCTGATATTCCCGGTGGTGTTCATTGCTCGCAAGTTCCTGCCGCGATCATCATCACCACTGGCAGTCACAACATTAGCTGCACAGAGGAGGAAGAGGAGGAAGACTAGATTTCTTAAGCAGTAGCGGGAGCAGCAGGAAGAGGAGGAGGAAACAACGTTGTGGTTGCGTAGAGACGACGAGAAAGAAGGAGAAGAAGAAGAAGCCATCACCTCACCAGCGAGCAATGCATCACCAAGGCACACACACTCATACAACTGAAAAACAGCCGGCCCCTGGTTTTAAGAATGGAAGTGTGCCAAGGGAGAGAAAGAGAAAAGAAAGCAGGGGCATAGAAGGACAGGAATCCGGTCACATAGCTCGCCGCCAGCCTGCGAGAAGGAAAAGAAAACTCGCTCGCTCGCTCTTTCCCTCGACTGGACGGAGCGAGAATAAACTATTCTGGAAAATCTAGAAAGAATGCGGCTGGGAAAGAAGAGGTACATATTTGCCAGTGGGAGCCCCGTGATTTTTTCTGCGACTCGTGCTACTGCAAGCACTGCTCTCCCATGAGCGTGGTCACCGATGACAAAACGGAAAAAATTCTCTGAGCGACTACAGGTATTCACCTCCCTTTTTTCTCTCCTCCCCTCTCTCTTGATTGGTTCTTCTCGATTTCTTGAGCTGGTTTGGATTGTTGTTGCCTGGATTCTTGTCTGGCTTATTTTTTGTTTGTTTGATCCATCTGATCTTGATCTGACTGATTAAGTGTAAGACTGGTAAGTAAGTTAACGAACTGACAGTCCTGGAAATGCTCAGGCACTCCTACCCTGCGTCGTTCTCATCTCGGCATACCCCGACGAAGCAGTGGAAGCGATGAGCTCGGAGTCGTCGCGTGGTTGATAAAGTCCAAAACAAAACTCTGGAAAGCTTTAGCCCCAGCAGTGGCAGCAGCGGCAGCAGTAGCAGTAGCAGCAGCTCTATAGGTGCGTGGCTCTGGCTTCGGCTTGGTATGGTATAACTCGCGAGCTTAACTTTGCAGGAAGTGAGTGGCTGCCAACGGTGGCAATGCAAAAAACACCAAGTGCTAAATACAATTCACTGCGGCAGTGCCGCAAATAGTGCGACGTCCCAATCCACCACAGCTTTCTTTCTCGCAAGCACATGGAAACGTTATAACTTGGCTGGGTGGCTCGCTGGGACGTGTGGGAATTGTCTTATGTGCTGGTGCTGGTGCTGCTGCTGCTACTGCGAGCAAGAATTCAAGGCAAGTAAACGATTCAACCCAACTATATGATATAGCAGATGATAAAGCTATCATGTATTGCAGGAGGGCGGTGTACATCACGGACGAAAGCCGACACAAACTATTTCGTCTTGCGTGCGAGCTATATATCTATACGATAATTCATGTGAGCCAAGAAGCCTCGTAAGTGCCTACCAGCGCTTGCTGCAGCAGCTATATTCAAGAGTCCCACGGACAGTTCCAGGGCTACATCAAACTTATAAAGCTTCGCTAGTCTCCTCGCCCTCTGGAAAAAGTGACATGGATGCGAGAAATTATATCGCCTCTCAGGAGAGGATGACACTTCGCGATACAAAATGCTTTCTTCGGAATGGGACAGTACATGGGAGCTGTCAGGTAAATCTTTGCTTCGCAAGAAACGGGGAAAAGAATACTTATATAAGTTCCTCCTTTTGTGCAGCCGTTCAGAGATTATTGGCGAAGACGACTCCACTGTAAGGCAGCCAGTCGAGACCAGATATGAGCTTCCCGACAGTAAACTCCCGGGCCTGGTCCATGGTGAGGCTTGGAACGCTCCAGTACACTCGGCCTGATTGAGACGCGCCTGCTCCGGTGTTGAGGTACTCGCCAAAGAAGACGGTCTTGTATCTGTGAAGCGGTGCTCCTTCCCACTCGCTCCAGCCAGCCGGATAGATTATCCCGCCGATGTCCGACTGCATGAAGACGGTGGTAGCGTAGTCCTTCCAGGGGCGCCCCAGGTACGCAGGGAATCTGTGACTCTGCGCCACCAGCCGACCGGAGCCTTCCACTCGACAGCCATGGAAGCTAAAGCCCGTGTTTTGGAGATCGGTGACGCGGCCGTGCGCCGTGATCATGATGTTCTGGCCAGGATCCGGGAGCAGTGCCTGGATGTTACACCGTTGGAAGACTGCTGCAGCGTTTCCAAAGATGAAGTCGACGGTCCCGGAGACAACGCATTCTCTGTAGAAGTGCCGGCTCGAGTGAGCGTACAGGGTGTCCTGGTAGCCATTGAAGGAGCACCGGTAGAAGGCTGCTTGATCGCCACTCACCCGGACGGCCACTGCTTGGCGACCTTTGGGTCCGGCCAGGTTTCGTACGCTCAAGTGGCTGGCAACGAATCCTCGCCCATTGATCGCTGCGAATCAAGAGTTATATCATCAGTCAGGGAAGAGTTCTAGCTGAGTTCTAGCTATGGTGGTGATATAAAGGGAAGTGTTCTAGCGATGGTGGTGATATAAAGAAGAGTTCTGATATAAATAAAGAGTTTTTCTCTTACCGAGGGTGGCAGAGCCAAAGGTGGTGGAGCCTCCAGCGACGCTTCTTTGGCCCTGGATGATCGTCTTGTCAATTCCATCGCCCAGGAAGGCGAGATTAGTCACTGCCTTGGGTACTACCACTGCCTCGTCATAAATCCCCTGCTTTATGTATATCACATGCATTGTGCGGCTCTTGAGCGGTGCCGCGTCAATCGCCTCTTGAATGGACACGAACTGACCACTGCCATCTTTCGCGACAATGGCATTTGCGGGCGCCATCTCGCTGGATCCCCCTTGTTGCAGCAAATGCCGCCTCTGGGCATCTGTGATCCACTCTGGGAGAGAGCCCAGTGGCGGCGAGCTGAGCAATCTCCTTCTTGTTGGAGTTCCCGGGAAGGTCTTGTCCAAGAGGGCCTTGAACGCGACGAAGAAGCTGAGAGCGTTCGTGAGGATCTCCTGGACGTACTCGGATCTTGCTTGCAGTGGCAACAGCTTCTCCTGCTGCCGCTCGCTTTCGATCGCGTCGGCGCAGGTGGTGTGGAATGTGAGCGCCGAGCTGAGCCAGGTATGGATGTTCTCCATGGACGGCGAGAAGCCCCGAAAGGATTTGAGGTCGAGGGTGTCGAGCTCCGACATGGAGTGATCCAGGTGGTCGAGTGAGTCGAGAAGATTGTCGGAGCAGTCGCCCAGTGCGTCCATGGTGGTGAGGTTGACGAGATTGGTCTGGGTTTCCAGCTCGCTGGAGATGTTGTGGACGAGAGCCAGGGATCTCTTCACTTCCTCCACCGCGGCTGTGATTCCAAGCAGAGCTAGCTTCTTGGGATTGGCGCCTGGAGCGTCGGGATAGGCAGAGAGAGAGGAAATGCAGGATGGGGGAAATGCCGTCCTGTTGCAAAGCGCGAGCAGTGAGTTGGATGATCCAGCGTTTGCCCCCTGGCGATTGGAAGAGCTCTCCGACCTCTGGTGGGATCTGGTGACCGAGACTCCAATCCCTATGCCTAGAACCAAGACGAGCAGCAGCAATGTGGCTATGGCGGAGATGATAACGCAGCGCTTTCTTCGCGCCTTGGCCTCTTCTAGTCTGGCTGCGTATGGATCGAAGCTATTGACGAAGTTTAAGGGCTTCATGGTTTTTAAAGCCCCCTTCTACGAGATCTATGAGAACCTGGATTGATGCTTGTTTCCCCCAGAGAGAGAAATAGACGACCGCTTTTCGTTTCCAAAACCTGTGACAAGGGAGACCACATGATGAACAACGTGCAGCTTCTTGACATTCGTTCTTTCTTACCAACTTTGGCAATATATATTAAATGATGCATGTGCAATTTCACAGAAATATTGGATGTAAAAGAATACTCTTAAAGTTCACAGCTTGTTTATTGTAAAAAAAATGGAATGATCTAAAAATTATGTATCTAAAAGAGACACGAATGAGCGATGCCTATCACCCACTGCTCCTCCCCAGTGTTGGAATCACACATCCATAGCTTGGATTCTTGGGCCGGGCAATGAGAAACCTTAATCCGCCGCCGTAGGCGAGCTGCCAGCGACGCTACAGTACCGTGCCAGATCCCGCCGACCTAGATTTGTGACGATTATAGCTACCAGCTCTTCGCACCATCGCCCATGGCTTCCTCGCCATTCCGAAAATGCGAAGTTTAAATCAATTGGACAAAACTGGGACACGAAAGGAGAATTTCGATCGGTCGTGGAATGAATGCCACAAAGAACTTGCTGTGCCGGGGACTATGGAAACCGGCTGTATATACACATGCACGTTGGAATACAAGGTCATCGCAGTCGCGAAAAAAAGAATCGTAACAAGATTGAAATGGAAACGCGATCCGGTCGCAAACTTTGGTCAAACTAGTGAACTCTGAATAAGAACACTGCATTTTCGTTGGGCTTTCCGCGTCATTTCCGTACGAGGAATGATATCGCCACAACGGTTTCCCTGTTTCCAGAAGCAATGCAAAACAAGCATGAGATTATTAACCAATCACGACAAGAAATATTGGTCAGTCGCATATGACCAGCTACGTCTCGTTCCAGGTTGACCATCCTAGGCGAGCGTTCAAGAAGAAAATGGGGATTATGATCCTTACCATGGGCTGGGGCTCTGGACCGGCCCCGATCTGCCAGTCCTTCGTCACTCGCACCACACCATCGGGAGTTCCATCCTCGCCTGCTGGATCGAGATCACCGTGTTCTACCATGGCACGCCCTTGGCAGTGGATAGCATTGACAACATCCTGCATCCCGGGTGGTCTCGTGTTTCGGCACCCGATCTGCCGGTCACTCTCCACACATTCAGCTGCCCAACACAGATGAAGCAATTGGATATTACTTTTCTCTTTTCCCACACTTATGCTAGTTGGTTTCTTTCATACAGGATTTGAGATCATCTTCCAGTCGGAGCTGTTGCTGCTCAAGGGCCTGCTGCCGCTGCCATTTTCATGGCGGTGCCGGTGTTTCATAGACGAGTTTGAGGGATTTGAGCGCCACTGCATTGACGCGAAGTGGCGTCCGCGAGAGCACTTGAAGTACTATCGTCGGTCGTGTTGGCCCAGGGATGACTTGGGTATGTTTTCTGTAGAATCCTTTTTCTCGATCTCTTCAGCGTGACTTATGGCGTCGGAGTCAGCGAGGCAAGAGCAAGGTGTCAGCGGTATCAGCGACGAGGACTCTTTGTGGGTAAGAGATCATCTTGGTAATCCTGACGAGTTTTATGATCCCGCGTACAATGACTTTGCTTGGCCCAAAGGGGGTCCCTCGATACTACTACTACTATACTAGATATGAGATTCCAACACCACGACAAGATAGAATTCCACCAGTGACGAGATATATTATCATTTGTACGTGAAACTTATCATCTGGTGAATGTATATCCTTTTGCATGTAATCAAAGCTTCACAATGCAAAGTGATGTGAGATGGTTCAAGCGCTTTCATCACGATCTTTGTCTTAGTGATCGAATCATATAGAAGCCAGCTTGATCTTTAGTTAGTCGTCGCTGTCGTCTTCACTGTCTGCATTGCACGTGAATAGCAGTTAGAATCTCTTCACTTCCACTTTCTATGCAAGCGAGCATATAAATGAAAGAGAGAGAGAGAGAAGAAAAAGAGAGATTTTGAGTACTAGTTTACCTGATCTTACATCCTTTTCGATCTTTCCCTTGTCCTCAATTTGCTTGAGAAGGACCCTCACGATCAGGATCCACCAGTAGATGTGCATTACCAAGAGCGTGATCAAAAAGGTGTTGAATCCATAGTACATGACCGGGCCGTAAGTTTTGTGTGCATTCTTATCCAAGGTGCCGACAATCTCGCGGCTACAGAAGAGCGTTGTTTTCAATTGTCATTAAAAGATTGGAAACCTTGCGGCGTCCCACGTACCAGGTGCTCCAGATGATCCAGAAAGGGAAGTAAATCAGTCGAAGCAACACCCAGGCGATCGCAAACATGACGAAGAAAACGCTGGAGAAGATGTCCGAGCCAGCATACCTCGACATCTTTGCCATCTCTAGAAAAATGTCGCCTGCATCGTGTAGCGCGAGCACCATGGAGCCAACTCGAGCAAATCTGGCAAAAGACAAAGCGATCGATACGGGTTGGGTTTGGAGGAAAAAAAAAACGAACGAAATCGAAGCCTCTACCTGCTGGGATAGGAACCAGCAATGAGCAAGAAAGTTACGACGTGGTGTGTCATGCTAACACCGAAATCTTTGCGTCGGGTTTCCCAGAACACGAGAGCCAGCATACTGTAGATGTAGAATCCCGCGGAGAAAGTGTAGAGGAGCTTGAGCTTGAGCCTGGCAGTAAGGGGTTGATCTCTAGGCGATCAAGTAATTGCTTCAAGAGTGAAACGTGCTTACTTGATCTTCTGGTCGGGCCAGACTTGATCTCCCGGCCCGATCCAAAAGTACTTCGTGTTGTGGAACCACGGCTCCCTGTACGTGATGAGCAACGCAAACAAATCCGCGGACGTGAAGTAGACCGCCTTCCATGCCGACTCTTTGAACTTGATCAAAGTCTTGGCAAACTGTTGATCATCGCCTTTGGCTCGAGCGATGAATCGCCTCCCAAGAACCTGGAACAAGAAAGCAAAGATTATGATGGCAGTCAAGCGCGCAATGAATGAAAGAGTGACTGGATTGGAGTGAGGACAGGGCGCGCTCACGAGTGCGCATTGAATGCACCATTCCATTCCAGCCAATCAAAGCTCGAGTTTGAGAGATAAATAGCGAGAGATTTGCCGAGAAAAGGATGGAGATGGAGGAAGCTAGAGAGATTTGGCGCTTACCTCGAATACAAAGCGGTCTAGCACGAAGCGCACTGCTGGGAAGAAGAGGCCAAAGAGTGGAACCATTGCCAAATCTGTGAGCTTGGGGTAGCTCTCCACTTCCCACCCGGGCCACCTCCACACGCCTGCCATTGCCATGGCAAACCCTAGCGAGCTCTACAAGAATTTGAGCTCCAAGGAGCTCAAATCCTCCAAAGGTAGCTCTCTTTGTTCGATTGATCGTCCAATTCCTCGAGATCTAGCTCCTCGAGATCTAGCCTATTGCGCTCGTCTGGATCTACCAGACAAGGAAGAAGTCAATCATTTGCGCTATTTGCGCGAAGCAAAGGTTTTGACTTCTTCCTTCTTCCAGTGTGGGTGGCAATTCCAGTCCAATTCGATCGAGAGAGTGGAACTCATTGGAATTTGGAATGCGCGAGCAATGAATGAAGAAAGAGATGGCTAGGGCTACTTAGGGCTCTTCGCATTCTTTCAAGAATGTGGCAGGGGCTATGGCGGAGTCGAGGTTTGTAGTCTCTCTTTCTCTCTGTTTCGTGGATGATTTGCTTGCTTGCTCAGCTGGATCGCGCCGCGCATTCAGCACCACAGCGCGGAAGATCCTTCTCGAGCTCACCGATATGACGTAAGTGATTTTTTGGAGTTCTTGCGAGGAAAGGAATGATAAGAGTGTGTGGCAGTGTTCCTCACACTTGGTATCCTTACGCGCGGACAATGAGGAGGCGGATCATTCTCTACGTTGGCCCGACTAACAGCGGCAAAACCTTCACTGCCTTGCAAAGTCTCCAGCGAGCTTCATCAGGTTTGCTTCTTCTTCCAAAGGAAAACAAAATTTCATACACTCGAAGAGGAAGAAAGAACTGTTTTGTTTCTTTTGCTACCTAATGCTTGGCTTCTCTCATCCAGGAATTTACTGCGGTCCCTTGCGTCTCCTCGCCTGGGAAGTGGCAGAGAAGCTCAACTCTCACAATGTACCATGCAGTCTTCTCACTGGACAGGAGCGCAACGAGATCGAGGGAGCACAGCACAAAGCGATGACTGTAGAGATGGCGGACATCACTCGCGAGTATGAGTGTGCCGTCATTGACGAAATCCAGGCAAGAACAAGAGTTTTTCTCGTTTTATTTTCTCATGTTTGCTTGCTTTGTGGATTTTCTCAGATGATAGGATGCTCCAAAAGAGGATACGCCTTCACTCGGGCTTTGTTTGGTCTCGCTGCCAAAGAGATACACTTGTGTGGAGATCCGTGTGTAGTGACTCTTATTCAGAACCTGCTGGAACGCACTCAGGACACACTTGAGGTATCATTCGATCCTTCAATGGATGGTTTCCTAAACTTTCTTCCCAGGTCAGGTGCTACACCCGCTTGTCTCCGCTTGTACCTCTTAAAGAACCGCTACGTGATATTAGACGAATTCGGGGCGGGGATTGCATTGTAAGCTTCTCGCGTGACGAGATACACACCTACAAGGTAATATATACATCGCATTTGGTTCGTAAGACGATAGTCGTTTTCTATTTCATTTCAGCGAGACATTGAGAAATTGCATCCGGCAATCAACTGCTCAGTCGTGTATGGGTCTCTTCCACCAGAGACTCGCACCAAGCAGGTAATGCTGTCATGGATTTATACGAAAGAGCACAAGTTCTTTCATTTTTGTTTTTTTCTGCTCTGTGCTTGAAAAACGGTTCTGTACTTCTCGGCTTTCAGTGTGCAGGCTGAACGATTCAACAAGGCCGACGAGGACTTTAGTATACTTGTCGCCAGCGACGCGATCGGGATGGGTCTAAATCTTAATATCCAACGCATCATCTTCACGAAGCTGGACAAGTTCGATGGCATCGCTCGCTGCTACCTCAGTGTCATGCAAGTGAAGCAAATAGCAGGTTTGGATGGTCTCAGATTTGTCAAACGACTTCATGCCTATCACTTGTGTGACAGGCCGAGCTGGAAGATTCAAGTCCAAATATCCTGTAGGCGAGGTAACATGTCTCAAAGGTTCCGATATAGCTCACCTGCATCGAGCACTTGCAACACCAACACCTGCTGTAGTGGTAATGAACTGTTGGTTGGATTTCCTATTTTTCTTTTGTTATTTCAGGCAGCAGGAGTTTTCCCAACTTTTGATCAAATAGGCCTGTACTGCACCTTTTATCCGAACTTCCCATTTTCGGCTATACTGGTGTGTGCTCATGTTTTCCGCTTGATTCGCTTTCTAACTTGTAAACCTTTGCAGGAAAAGTTCATTGCCACCGTGACTTTGTCTTCAATGTTCTTTCTGTGTGACTCTTCAAATCTCTTGGCGATAGCCAGGATGCTTGACGACATTCCACTGCCCATGGATTCCCGTTTCCTTTTCTGTACATGGTAACACTCGTGGTTTTGTTGCCTTTAACTCGATACAATGGTTGCGTTTGTGCAGCCCCGTGGACAAAGATAACCGTATAATCATGGGAGCTTTACTCGAGGTATAGTTGTTCCACACCATATGTTTGTTTTCTAGCAATGTTTTATGTTTTTCATAGTTTGCTAGGAACTATGCGGTCAATAGGAATGTGCCACTGAAGAGGCTTCTAACACCTGCAACAATGCGAGTCCCAAGCACACAAAAGGATCTAGCGGAACTGGAGTCCCTACACAAGGTTCGCTTGTCTGGCTTTGTAACCTGTTTAACTTGCGTTGTGTGAGCTCCAGGTTCTTGATATGTATATTTGGCTCAGCTATCGACTAGAGGATGCCTTCGTGGATCGTGAGTCTGCCATCACACAGAAACACCTGTGCAGCACGTAAGATCTCTTTTTCATCTTGCCTTCCAACTGATCTGTGTCCGCTCCAGATTGATCGAGCAGGCACTAAACTACTGGAACACGGAGCTGTCGAGCCGTAAGGCTGCCAAGCGTGAACTGATCCAGAATCTAATCGAGGAGGGGCGTTTACCAGAGGATGAAACGCCTGGAGCTCAGCGCGCGAGTATGTACAACCTCAACATGGACAGGGAAGTGAGGATAAGTTGAGCAAGCTGGATCAAAGGCGGACAAGATGAACAGAATCCGAGGAGTGTCCCTGGATAAAATGTGGTAGAATGCGCTTAAGCTGTTTGCAAGGAGGGGGGCGAGAAAGGGATTCGACAATGCAATGGGCTGACAAGGGAGAGGTGCTGGGACGCAGCCAAGATGGTGCGGCATGACTTACCAAAGGGAGATGGTCTTTTATTTGCATAATTAAGTTTTTAGTTAATTATTTATAGTTATTCATAAAAATATTTTAAAAATATTTTTATTGATCTTATTTTTATTACTATATAGATATTTTTAGAATATATATATCACTAATATTTAATAAATTTCTAAATATTTATAAAAAAATTAATGAACCATTATGAAACTTTAAGCTAAAATTCACTGTTTATTTTATTTTTCCAAATAACTATTATTAAATGTGTCAAATATATTGTGATACAAGGATATACTACTATTTAGGTAATGCAGTTATTGGATGAAAAAAAATTAAATATAATAATTCAAGTTTTAATTATTCAAATATTTATATTATATTTTAGAAAAAAACATTTGTTTATAAAAATAAAAAAATAACTATAGTTTCTATAATATGAGTTAAAAATTTTGAAGCTTGAAGCGACAAAATTTGAGCTAAATTTTTACTATATAATTTTATTATTTTCCATGAATAAATAAAAAGATGCACAAGTTACTTAAACTTTGTAACAACCATCTTCTTAATTTTTGATCTCTTCCTAAAACCCTTATGCAAAAATACATATAGTATGTTTAAATAAATAAATATTAGGTTTATTGCTTATTTATTTTCTACCATATGATGGCTATTTAGGCAGAGCATATATTGAAAAAAATATTAAATATAATAATTTATGTTTTAGTCATCCAAAAACTTATACTGTATTTTAGAAAAGTTTTTTGTTTGTTAATTTTATGATGGTTACAAAAATTAATAAATAACTATAGTTTTTACAATATAAGTTAAAGATTTTGATGCAACAATTTTTATTTATTTAAGTTATATTTTTTACTATATAATTTTATTGTTTTCCAAGAATGAATAGAAAAATGCACAAGTTACTTAAACTTTATAACAAATTTCTGATATCTTTTTAAAATCTTTGTTTTTTTCTTACCTTGCCAATACAAGCAGTAATCATATCAAGTCCAAACTTATTAATATTTCCACTATAAAGAAAATGCCAAAAGGATTCTTATAACAAAACAAAAACTCATTTCACCTTTATAAAATCAGTAATGCATATATATTGTATGTTTAAATAAATAAATAATAAGTTTATTTTTTATTTATTTTTTACCATTGGATGACTGTTTAGGCAAAGTAGTTATTGAATGAAAAAAAAAATTAAATATAATAATTCACGTTTTAGTCATCCAAAAATTTATACCATATTTTAGAAAAGTTTTTTGTTTGTTAATTTTATATTGGTGATCGCACAGAAACACCTGTGCAGCGTGTAAGATCTCTTTGTGTCAGCTTGCATTCCAACTGATCCTGTCCACTCCAGATTGATCGAGCATGCACTGAGCTGTCGAGCCGGAAGGCTGCCAAGCGCGAACTGATCCAGAATCTCATCGAGGAAGGGCGTTTGCCAGAGGATGAAACCCCCGGAGCTCAGCGCGCGAGTATGTACAACCTCAACATAGGACAAGTTGATAACTTTTGTTTAACGGTGGAATACATTTTAAAAACCATCGCCACATTTTTAGGTTTGTGGAAGGCATGGGCGATGGTGATGTGCTGCGAAGAGCTGGTAGCTCTGATCGTCACGTATCTGGGTCGGCGGGATCTGGCACGGTGCTGCAGCGTCTCCAAGCTGTGGAACCAGTGCTGCCGCTGGCAGCTCGCCCACGGCCGCGGATTAGGGTTTCTCATCGCCCCTACCGAAGGATCCAAGCTATGGATGTGCGATTCCAACACTGGGGAGGAGCAGTGGGTGCCACTAGGTCTCTCTGATTCGGCTGTGCTGGGAACTTGCCAAGGATTGGTGCTTATAGAATCGGATGGGGTGCTGGCGATTGGCGAGCCCAGCGTGAAGCGGTGGAAGCTCTTGTGGAGGCCGCGGATTGATGCAATATCGGCTTGGCTGGGTCGTGTGCAAGGCCAGCTTCTCATCCTCATCATCGACAAGTCCGGCGCCGTGCAAAAGTACGATTTCGCCAACGATTCTTGGATAGATGTTTGCCGCCCGTCGAGGAGGATCGCTCTAATGGAGGAATGCGTCTTAATCAGGGGCGGCTGCTACAGGCTCTTCGAAAAGTTGACGCATGGCCATGACTACGTGTTTGATGATATTTACAAGCTGGATCTGAGGCGTGGAGTGTGGGACAAGATGAACATGAGACGTGAATCTGTTCGCAAATTCGAGTGCCTCCGGATAGAGAAAAAGGTGGTAGAATGGCGAGGCAAGGCCCTCATGTATACTCTTAAGGTGTTTGACCAGGAGGAGGAGCTACGAGAGGGCAGGGGATTCGACACTCCAAGACTGTATGAGCTACTGGTTGATAAGGGAAAGGTGGTGGAGCTTCCGACGCGGCTGGACGCAGCCATCCTGAACCCTTACAAGTACGAGGTGGTGTCTGATGACTATGACCTCTTTTGGATAACTGGAGACAGAAATGTGTTCAAGTATTCGGTGGCCGATTTGTCCTTCAACAAGCTGGTTCTGGACTCTGATTCTGCGCCGAATTTATACCTCCCGAGAGCTTTCTTCTATATTCCTGACGGTGGGGAGGCCTTGTCTCGCAACATTTTGTCACATTTGCCTGATGTACCACATGATTATTAGAGCATTGTGTCGTAGTGTCACCCGGATGTGCAGTTCATTTTCTCATTCGTGGAAATACACTTCCCAAGGTGACCGTTCTTTACTTGGACTTCATCAAGTCGAGTGTGATTTACTGTGATGGGGTTGTGGGTTCTGGGAACTGCTGCCACCGCGGACGCCAAGTGACGAATGGCTCCGGGTGCTAGACGTCGAATTTCTTTTGCAGATGAGAGACCTGCATCCATGGTTACCGAGTAGCATGGTTTTTCTTCGATACAGATGGTCAAGGTTAGTCAATCGTGGTAAACGGCGGCCATGAGCGCGTAGGCCGAGGAACACGTTCTTTCTCTTGGACATTGAGGAGCTCCTCAAACGCGGCCCTCGCTACACCCACGTGCCCATATCTCCTGCTCGCGTCGATCACACTGCCCCTCTGCGTCGCATTAGCGGCTAAATCCCGCGACGAGAGCGCTCCAGGAGATGAGACCTCCCGACGACGAGGAAGAGGCGAAGAATCTCTCGGGCTCGGTCCATGCTGCCGCACCGCCCATACGCATCCACCAGGCAGCTCGTCACGACCGGGTCGATGAGATCTCGCCCCAATTCATGGCTCGCGCGGTCGATCTCGGCGTGGAGCTTGCGAATTCCTTCCAGATTCATCGCAATGGCATAGTCCATGACGATCGAGCGAGATGATCGCATCGCCGCGAGCAGTGCCAGGAACTCCTGGGGCTGGCCCGTTCCAAGGCGCCGGGTCTTCGTCCCGGAGCATGGCGAAGATCCTGTGCCCGTCGATCGTGCTCCACACTTGGAGTACATATTGAGGCCACGAATCGATCCAGCTTCACGCTCAGACCGCGAGATCTCGCGTGGATCGTCTCCACTTTGATCACACAAACACCTCCATCGCTATCGATGGATTCGGGGATTCGGGATGATTGCTCGCTGGCAGCCATGCTCGTGCACGCATTGGCGGCCGCGACGATCGTCCTCGCATCGCCAAAAATCTCTCTTTTCGATCTATCCAGCATCATCATCTGCGAGAAGAGATCCAGCGCCATCGCTGCCTGGCCGAGCTCCCCCAACTGGATTGGCGATGATCAAGCTTGTCAAACACCGCTCGAGCTAGATCCACGCTTCCACACTTTGCGTAGAGATCCACCAGCGTGCTCGCGACGAACACGTCCAGATCAAAACCTCTCTTTGCTGCCTCGCTGTGGAGAAATATAGCTCGCACCATCTTGATCGCCGCCAACTTTCCAGAAAAATTTCTTCTCCCGTTCTTCCCTCGCGGCCAGCCCAGAAAACGACTTGAGCGCCGCCACAAAACTCCTGGCACTGGATCGATTGGTGCTGCTCGCCATGAATTCTTGGAAGAGTCCTAATCCCGAGATCATGGAAGTCCACGAGACAACGTCGTGAGTTTCCATTCTCTCGAAGATCATCCGAGCGGCAGGATTTCCCATACGCGTCGATCAAAGCGCTGGCGACGAGCATGTCTGTGTGCCATCCGGCTTGCTCGCACCAAGAGTGGACCAGCCGAGGCTCTTGATCTTGACGAACTTGGAGCTCCCGCGATCAAGAAAATCTGTTTTCTCGATCGCTGCTAGCTTGCTGCAAGCTTTGAGAGCCTGCCAGAAACGTCGCGCGGTCTGGAGCGATCATGGAGAGGTTTGCGATTCGTGCGAAAAGTTCCAGTGCCTGGAAAGCTTCTCCATTGTCAAGCGTAGCCGAGGATGAGAGAGTTCCATGAAACAACGGTTGGAGCTGTGTCGAAGACACGGCGAGCTTCGGCCATCCTGCCACATTTTGCATACACCGATCAGAGAGTTCGCGACATAGATGTGCTTCTCCTGAAGTTTTCATGGCAAGATGGCTTGTGATCTGCCAAGCAAGAAGAAGAGCTTATTACCATCTTATAGAGCAGTGAAAACGGAAGCTCAAGAGAAGAGAAATATTTTACCTCGAAAGTCCATGGTAGCCGCTAACACATTTCTTGCAAAACGGATCTTTCTAATATTAGATCTTTGCTGTTTGAGCAATTGTAAAGCCATTTAAATGGCTTGCTTACCTTCGAAAATCCATGGCGCCCCACAGCGCACGCGCCATAGCTATGAAAGACAAATATCTAGCGGTAAGGAGTGCCAAAGAATGTCTCTCCGTCTTCGACAAACATACTACATTCCATTGTCCAAATCGTGGAAGAGTTTCGGACCTGGAGACGCTCTTCTTTGAGATCGACATCTCCTCAAGCAAACATAGTGGCTCTTGGCAGAGATTTGGAAGACGATGCTACTGGAGGGATGGCGGCCCGATAGCATTGCGTCCCCCTTTCTCTGTCGAGCGACTCCACGGATTATCGCTGAGATGAATTCAGTGCCCTGGGACTACTACGATCGCAGCATTTCCGGAATAGGCATCCCTCAATCTCCACAAGACAATGCTGCACGAAGAAACCACGGCACCTTTGTCCTTCCTTAAACTCCGACCTTTGTTGACCTGTGTCCTTTTAAACCGCTCAAGAGTGTCCAGAATCTCAGCAACTCGAAACATTTTGGGTTTAAACGGAATGGCGAGGAAGGCATTGGTGTGCTGCGAAGAGCTGGTAGCTTTGATCGTCACAAATCTGGGTCGGCGGGATCTGGCACGCTACTGCAGCGTCTCCAAGTTATGGAACCAATGCTGCCGCTGGCAGCTCGCCCACGGTCGCGGATTAGGGTTTCTCATCGCCCCTGCCGAAGGATCCAAGCTATGGATGTGCGATTCCAACTCTGGGGAGGAGCAGTGGGTGCCACTAGGTATCTCTGATTCAGCTGTGCTGGGAACTTGCGAGGGATTGGTGCTTATAGAATCGGGTGGGGTGCTGGCGATTGGCGAGCCCAGCGTGAAGCGGTGGAAGCTCTTGTGGAGGCCGCGGATTGATGCAATATCGGCTTGGCTGGGTCGTGTGGAAGGCCAGCTTCTCATCCTCATCATCGACAAGTCCGGCGCCGTGCAAAAGTACGATTTCGCCAACGATTCTTGGATAGATGTTTGCCGCCCGTCGAGGAGGATCGCTCTAATGGAGGAATGCGTCTTAATCAGGGGCGGCTGCTACAGGCTCTTTCGAAAGCATCGCACGTTTGATGGCATTTACAAGTTGGATCTGAGGCGTGGAGTGTGGGACAAGATGCACCTGAGCCGTGAATCTGCCCGCAAATTCGAGTTCGGGACAGAAAAAAAGGTGGTGGAATGGCGAGGCAAGGCCCTCATGTACAGCCTTAAGGTGTTTGACCAGGAGGAAGAGCTACGAGAGGGCAGGGGATTCGATACTCCAAGACTGTATGAGCTACTGGTTGATGAGGGAAAGGTGGTGGAGCTTCCGACGCGGCTGGATGCAGCCAATATCCTGAGCCCTGAGTTGGCCGAGGTGGTGTCTGATGACTATGACCTCTTTTGGATAACTGGAGACAGAGATGTGTTCAAGTATTCGGTGGTGGACTCGTTCTTTAACAAGCTGGTACAGGGCTCTGATACTGCGCCAATCGATGCGGGAGCTTACTTCTATATTCCTGACGGTGGGGAAGCCTTGTCTCGCAACATTTTGTCACATTTGCCCGATGTACCACATGATTATTAGAGCTCCGCGCGAGTGGTCGTAATCACAACTCTGAGCTTCTCGATCTGGAGTTGCCGAGAAGGTGAAAACTAGGAGTGGTTCCTTATATAGAAGTACAGAAGACTGATTCTACATCACCTCCACCATCGCGTTCCAATCAATCTCCGGGAACCAATCCATTTGCTCCACGACTTGCAGGTTTCTCCGAAGCAGCCATGGCGGCCACCACCGGAGGTGAAGAAGAATAGGACAGCCTTGTCCTCTTCTCAGCCCGGAGCAAAGCTCTCGAAATCGATCTTTGTAGACGTGAGGCAGCCTGTTTGCAAACGATGGAGACGTTTGAAAACAATTTGGCGTGCGGGAATGTTATACTCAGATTAGTGATCATGGATCTTTGTGGCAGTAGCGCATCAGCGTGATGAAGGCGGATGCAATTTCAGTGCCTCCTTCATGCAGCGGCGTCCATCTCGCTCACGATATCATAGTCAAGCTTTTAGCCATCCTCGGTGGTGGAGCGCCCAGTGGCACAGTACTTGGAATCAATGAAAACCTGGGGCATGCCCGTAAATCACTCCGTCCGGAACTCTTCCGGGTGATTGAAGACGCTGTCCGGCTCCTTTCGAGCTCGGTCTCTCCGTCGGTGAGCAAGACCCTGATCAATCCATGGTCCCAGCTGGAAAGCTTATTGTCAGCGCAGCCGGCCACCGAGAGTGGCAAAGACACCAACATCTATGTCGCGAACTCTCTGATCGGTATGTACGCAAAATGTGACAGGATGGCCGAAGCTCGCCGTGCTTTCGATAACCGTGAACTCTCTCATCCTACGAGCGTGAATCTCCAAGTCTTTAAATCTAGCAGCGGACTTGAGATCGAAGATCACTGATGAGACCAGAGGATCTGATGAAAGAATGTGTGTTCCAGGCAGCACTGATGCTGCTTCTCTTGAAGTTTTCATGTGTGATCTGCCAAGAAAGAAGAAGAGCTTATTAACATCTTATAGAGAAAATATCCTACCTCGAAAATCTATGGTAGCCGCTTCCACATTTCTTGCAAATCGGAGAGTAGATCTTCTCACGCTCATGTTGTGTTTGAGCAATTTTAAACCTTCGAAAATCCATAGCGCATCCTTCGTAATCGCGAGATGGATTCAGTGCCCTATCGAGCAGGCACTAGTCGGCCTATAATGGCGAGAAAGGCATGGGCGATGGTGGTGTGCTGCGAAGAGCTGGTAGCTCTGATCGTCACAAATTTGGGTCGGCGGGATCTGGCACGGTGCTGCAGCGTCTCCAAGCTATGGAACCGATGCTGCCGCTGGCAGCTCGCCCATGGGCGCGGATTAGGGTTTCTCATCGCCGCGGCCAAAGGATCCAAACTATGGATGTGCGATTCCAACACTGGGGAGGAGCAGTGGGCGCCGCTAGGCATCGCTCATTCGGAGGTGGTGGGAACTTGCGAAGGATTGGTGCTTCTAGAATCGGGTGGGGTGCTGGCGATTGGCGAGCCCAGCGTCAAGCGATGGAAGCTCTTGTGGAGGCCGCGGATCGACACAAAATCGGCTTGGCTGGGTCATGTGCAAGGCCAGCTTCTCATCCTCATCATCGATAAGTCGGGCGCCGTCCAGAAGTACGATTGTGCCACAGATTCCTGGATAGATGTTTGCTGCGGGTCCAGGAGGATTTCCCTGATGGAGGCTGGTGTCTTAATCAGGGGCGGCTGCTATAGGCTCTTTCGAAGGCATCGCATGTTTGATGACATTTACAAGCTGGATCCGAGGCGTGGAGTGTGGGACAAGATGCACATGAGCCGTCAATCTACCCACAAATTCGAGTACCTCATGGTAAGCCAAAAGGTGGTGGAATGGCGAGGCAAGGCCCTCATGTATACTCTTAAGCTGTTTGACCGGGAGGAGGAGCTCCGAGAGGGCAGGGCATTTGACACTCCAAGACTGTATGAGCTACTGGCTGACGAGGGAAAGGTGGTGGAGCTTCCGACGCGGCTGGACGCAGCCATGCTGAACCCTTACCAGTACGAGCTGGTGTCTGATGACTATGACCTCTTTTGGATAACTCGAAAGAGAGACGTGGTCAAGTATTCGGTGGTGGATTCGTCTTTCGACAAGCTGGCACAGGGCTTTGATACTGCGCCAAATTTGTTACTCGAGGCGGGAGCTTACTACTATATTCCTGACGGTGGGGAAGCTCTGTCTCGCAACATTTTGTCACATTTGCCCGATTTACCACATGATTATTAGAGCTTTGCACGAGTGTTCGTAGTTTCCTCTCTAAAGCTCGAGCTTCTTGAGCATGAAATGTGTCCTCTTTTGTTTTGTAACGATAGAAAAAGTGAAAAACAAAGAACCAAGACTGGTTCCTTATATAAAAATACAAAAGGTTGATTCTTCAGAATGATCAGGCAAGCAGCTTTCTCTTGTAGCGAACCATCACCTTGCCTTTTGGTCCGACCACCATTGCGTTCCAATCAATCTCCGGGAACGGAGAAACCAGCTCCATCTCAAAGTTTCGGAGAAGAATGCTCCACACCGTCTTTACCTGCATGTATCCAAAGGTTTCTCCGAGGCAGCCATGGCGACCGCCACCGAAGGAGGTGTAGGAGAATGGGACAGCCTTGTCCTCCTCCCGGCCGGGAGCAAAGCGCTCGGGATCGAAGCTGTCGGGATCCTTGAAGACGTGAGGCAGCCTGTTGGCAAACGCTGGAGACGTCGCAACAATGTGGCCCGCGGGAATGTTATACTCGACGCCGTCTCGAGTGGTGACCGAGAAATCTTTGTGGCAGTAGCGCATCAGCATGATGAGAGGCGGATGCAATCTCAGTGCCTCCTTCATGCAGCGGTGCAACACGTCCATCTCGCTCACGATATCATAGTCGAGCTTGTCCCCGATTTTAGCCATCACGTTTCTCTGTTCTTCGACGGCAGAGTCCCAGTAGTTTTTATAGCTGGAAGTGCAAAAGTGAGAAATCGGTCACGCAAGAAAGAGAACTTACGTAAGAAGATAAGCCCCAGTCCATGTCGAGGTGATGGAGCTCGTGTGCTGCCCGGCAAAGAGCGCTGCGATGAGCAAACCGGTGATCTCATCCTCGGTGGTGGAGCGCCCAGTGGCGCGGTACTTGGAATCGATGAAAACCTGGAGCATGTCCATTTCACTTCGCCCGGAAATCTTCCGGTTGCCGATGATCTTGGCGAAGACGCTGGCCAGTTCCTTCCGAGCTCGGTCTCTCCGTCGGTGAGCGGGGATCGGCAAGTATGGGAACAAGACGCTTATCGGCTGCATTCCATTGTCCAAGTCGTGGAAGAGATTGCTCACGTCCTCAAAGAGCTGGTTTCGGACCTCGCTCCCAAGCAAGCAACGGCTGGCCGTAAGGATGATGAGACGCTCCAGCTCTTCTTTGAGATCAACCTCTCCTTCGTCACCCCACTTGGAGAAGAAAAGCTGCAAGCAAGCAAGCAAAGTGGTTCTAGCTCAGCAAGAAAAAAGAATCTCTGTAGAAGAGAGAAAGAAAAGCGAGATTTTGATTTGCATACCTGAGCTTCTTCCACCATGTAGTCCACGTACGTCTTCAATCGGCTCACCTTGAGCGCCTCGGTGAAGAAGCGAAACTGTTCCATCCGGACAGAGTAATCCACGTCGAAGACCACTCCGGGGCCGAAAGTGGGGACATTGAATTGGTAGACCTCCTTTTGGCTCAGCTCGGACTCCTGGGCCTTATAGAAATGGGAAGAAACGTCGGGACCGATCAAGAATGTGATCTTGCGCGTGACAATGTTGACGGTGAAGACGCTGCCCAGGCGCTGGTACTCCTGCCGCAGCATCACAATCGGCCCCTTGACGAACTTGAGAAGCCCTCCCACGATTGGGACAGAATCCACCACTGGAGGAAGGCGATTTCGGTTCCTGCTTCCGCCGCTGCTGCTCCTCCACCATGATAACAGCCACAGGCAGCAAGTAGTTCCCACTAGCAGCAGCAGCGCGGCCGCCACGGTCGATCGATCCGCCTCCATGGCCTTTACCTCCATCTCTAGATCTTGCCCTAAATCCGAGATGAGAACGTTAACTCCGGACCGTCCAATTATCAGTGACGCCAGCCGTTGGATAAACTAAAATATCGCTGGCATCAAGTTTGTAATATAACGATTTCTATGGGTATCTCTTACAGGTAGCAAAACGGTGAGAGTGTTCATCCACACACGCAAAAGCGATGTTTCCAGATTATGCTTTTGAAACTTTCCAACTTCCAGTCATATTGACTTGTCAAAGTTGCTGCCTGTATAAGCTGGCCAGCTGGACATAAGCCGACGAAGAAGATGCTCCAGCTGCCGCGAGAGATGCCGTGAGGGAATCGCCGTGGATTCCACAAGATCCCAGCAATGCCCCCCAGCCATCCGCTCTAGCACCAACTGGAATGCTTTCGATCAACTCCCTGGCCTCCGGCACTCCTCCCGATCGCCCTAGAACATCCAGCATACTCACGAAGAGCTCTGGGCTCGCGGTGATGCCATAGTCGCGATCGATAGATGCGAAGCAGCTGCGCGCCTGATCGATCATCCCTGCGTGGCTGCACGCCAGGAAATTGATGCCCAGAGCGACGAGATCGGGCTGGAATCCCTCTTGCCCCATTCTCTGGAACAAGTTCACGGCTTCTCCGTGCTGACCACCAGAGGCAAGAGCAGCCATCATGGCCGTCCACGTGTACGTATTCCAGTTCTCCCGGGCTGCGATCGTGCGGCCGGCGAAGACGCTCCAGGCGTCGGCCACGTGTCCACATCTGCCGTACAGTGTGATGAGCGCCGTGGCCAGTTTGACGGGCGAGTGGACCGCCACGGAAATGGCCACTGCGTGCTCGTGAATGGTACGGCCTTCGTCCAGGGCTAGCAGGCGAGCACAGGCGTCGAGAGCTATGAGAAGAGAGATGGAATTGGGCGAGATACCCTCCAAATCCATTTGCTTGAAAAGATCAAGGGCTCTTCTTTCTTTGCGATTGCTCAAAAACGCTGCCATCAGCGCGTTCCAAGACACCACATTGTTGATGCCGCGGTCGTGGTCGCCATCAAAGAACAAGAGCTCTGCAGTTTCTAGGCTGCCACATTCGCCACATTTGGCAATCAGCGCGTTCCGGAGCTTGAATCCCCTCTTCTGGAGGCCTTGGTTATCATCCAGTGCAGTGTGGCGGAGCTGATCGAAGCTAGAGCAAGCTTCTGTAACACTGATCAGCGTGATCTCGTCCGGTGGAATCCCTGCGAGATCCATGCTAGCAAACAGCCTCACCGCCTCGGATTTGAGCTGTGATTGGCGGCTAAACGCCGAGATGATGGAATTCCAGGTCCCAATTGTGGCAATCCCTGTAGCGCAGCAGCGATAAAAAATCCTCCTCGCCTCGGACAAGCACCCACATTTGCTGTACATGGCGATGAGCGCATTGTCAATGTGGCCGTCTCTTCGATTGATGGTGGCGTTGTCAAGCAGCCTGTGAATCGCTCGCCCTTTCGCTAAATTCCCTTCATCTCCACAAGCGCCAAGAACACTCACGAACGCGATCCCATCAGCCTTGATTCCTTCCAAGCATGCAATTTGAAAGACCAGCAATGCCTCCCTTGGCTCGTTACACTGGCCGTGGGCTGTGATCATGGCCGTCCATGTCACGAGCCCTCGAGAAACGGACGGCATCGACTCGAACACATCCCTGGCGTTTCCCATGGCACCACATCTCGCAAACATGGTGATGGCCGCGTTAGATACCTTGAAAGATTCGCAACCAGATTCTTTGACCAACCTATAGGCTTGGACTCCCTGCGCCAAGCCTGCCAGCTTCCCACACGCATCCAGCGCGCATATCCACGTCACCTCCGTGGCACGAATGCCTTCCTGCCACATGGCACGGAGCAGAGTGAGGGCCTCCCTGGCATGCCCGTTCTGCGAGTATGCCGCCAGCATGGCGTTCCACGTCACCACATTCTTCGCGGGCATCCGGTCAAACATCTCTTTGGTCTCTTGCAAATGCCCATTGCGGGCATATGCCGCGAGCATGATGTTCCACGAGAAGGAATTCCTCTCGTGGATAGCCTCAAACGCTGCATGGGCGTCCTCCACGCATCCACACTCCCCATACATCTGGACGAGAAGATTCCCTAGATACCTGTCGCCGCCATAGCCAGAGGTGTGGAGCTGGGCGTGGATCTCCCTGCCACGTTCGATCTCCCGCCGCCGCCCACATCCCCGCAGCTCGCTCGCAAACCAGTCCTGGACTGCCGCCAGTTCTATTACAGGAAGCTTGATGCTGAGCCACAGCTAACTAGAATGTGTAGATTTGAACTTTCAAGATTTCATAATTCCAAATGGAACTGCAATGGAATTGCCCAATTGATGTGCGTACGGATCAGGTGGTGCGGGAGGCTCTTGCACGGATCTTATCGTCGAAAACCACGGCAATGTTCAACGCACTGGTGACTATGTGAAGCAAGTGTGGCGACCTCGTACGGGCGCCATGGTAGAAGCGTATGCTCAGTTTGGGCATATGCCCAGTGCTTTGGAAGCTCTTGAGGGAAATTGGAGCTTCTCCGACCACTGTGACTTTCACAAGTTCTCTAGTGGGTTATAGCTGGAAAGGATTCTTTGAAGGATCATGCCCCCTCTCTTACGTGGTCTACCTAAAATGTTTTATGATTAACTCTAAATTAGGAACGTTAAATATTATTAACAGATATATTAATGACTATAATTTTATAATTAGCCAGTGACTGAACGGCTATAATTTATAAGTATATAACTTACATTTGGGTTTATGTTTTTCCTCTTTGTGTTTCTTATCTTATTCATTTTCTTTAGTATTATGGTTAGATTGGAATATAAAAATCATACTTAAGACAATATTCTTTCCTTTTCCTAATCTTATTGAGAGAACAAATAATAAAGTAAATTCTTTTACTTTTTGTATTATGATTTGTCTTCTTCTAGAAGAGAGAGAATGTGAAAGATGTCATTGACCAATGAGATCTCAATCTGATAATCAAAGTTGTAAAGAAGGTTTGAAGTGGAATTGTAAAAATTGCAATACCACAAGATTTTTTAAAACTAATATTTTTTGTGTAAATAATAATCTCACATTTGCTCAAATGTTTAAAGTGATGTATTGTTAGTGCATTAAAATGCCATAAGTTAAAACTTAGATTGAGTGTAATATTAAAAAATAGCACATGACAACTTTTGTCATGATAATTTTGAGGTAATTTAAGTATAACTTTGATATAATCGATTAAAATGGTAGAAGTTAATTTCCTTAGACTTTTATTATGATAAGAAAGAAGTTTAAAATATCCCTCGAGGGATAAATTGCTTATGTCATGATATAGTGAGTCATTGTTAAATAATAATATACTCATTTCTAATAAGTTTATACTAAAATATATCAACATATAAAACATTGAAAAAATAGTTTTTAGTAAGGCCAAAGGGACTAAATCCCTAAATAATGATGGATAGAATTTAAACTTTAAGTTTAAGAAAAGCTAAAGACAAAAAAAACCTTAATTATCTAAAGTGGATAAAGCTAAAACAATGCTGGCATTGCTAAGTAATAGGGAGTGCCTATAAGTAATAATGTTAATCCCAATATGTGTGATTATAAGTTAAAAATACTTACTAAGGCACAATTAAGTGAAAAGCTTACCTCCTAGCATGAAGGATAATAAGTAAAATGAATGTATGAGGCCACAAGTTAAGAGTGAGGAACCAAGAATGAACTCGAGGGTTTATTAATTATAACTATGGTGCTATGAAGAGTTTAAAACATAGAGGCTTTACTATTAAATTGGGTAATGGATATAAAGCTTATGAAAGCTCATAAAACTGAAAGTATCCATAATAGGCTAAATAGTAGCCAAAAATTTTATGAAACTAAAGGCATTAATAAACTAAAGGCTAGAGTCCCTTTAATGTTCTAAAAGAGTAAATTAATATTTAAGAAGTCAAGTATAAATGATTCATAACATATGCAAAATCAGGATAGTGCAATAAAAGTATGGTTTTAAAGCTTGCCAAAAGGTGATGCTATTAAGGTTGGGGAAGTAATTCTCGCATGTTCAAAAGGATGATTTTGAATGGAAGTTGGTATCATTTAGATAAACTAAAAATAATGTCTAATTTTATGCTAATTTCTTAATATCATCAAATGGTAAATATAATACAATTGAGAACCAATAATTATGGAATTTTAGTAGTGTGAGAGTCCAATATGAATAAATGGAATATAAATCCACTAGTCAAGTCTATATACCTAGAAGTGTCATTAGACAAAAGCCACTTCAAATATCACATGTGGTGATTTGCCATTTATTTTACCTTCAAATTAATTAGTGTGACCACATACCATGGGACCTGTATGATGTGGAGCCAGTTTTGTCCACAGTGCCACCTGGCACAAATAAGATTGTGTTTGACTTGCATGATGTTAAATTACTTCAAAAGACAGTTGAGATTGCATGTGTCAACATTTGCATTTAAGCCAGCTACATCTGAGAGGATTGTCAAGACGAACAAGGCACTTTCCCTCTATTGTTGTTACAATCAGCCTTGCAAAACCATCCTCTAGACGATCATTGTAAGAGGGCACAAATCATCAGGTCAAAACTGACTTATACTGTTTTGTTCTATTGGCAGAAGTACTTGCTGGGTTTCTACCTAAATAGTGTATTTTTTGCGCACTTGCATGGCTCCTCTAATGTTGTCCCTCCCACCAAAAGCAACAGTCACAAGTTGGTCAAAAGGGACAGATTCAGTAGTAACAAGTTGGTCAAAAGGGGCAGATTCAACTTAATCACACAGGGGGACTTCAAGAGCTAGTAATGACTTGCAAGAATTGAAACAACAATTTAGGTTTAATGTGCAAAGGTTTTTGAAAGTCAAACTTTATGAATTTTATACAAACTACTATCTAGATATTCTCTAACATGATCAGACATATCATCAAAGCTGAGGTACTGTTTCTTGGTGTTCCAAGCTCTGAATAAGAAATGACAAAACTAAACTAAGTAGACTGAACTTACCACAAAAGTGCAAATACTAGACCTCAAGGTTGAAAGAGCCAACTGTTAACAAAGGTGGCAGCTTAAGTTGACTCTGACCATAAGTTAGCCTAAAACGCATGATATTTAGTTTCAGTCGAAATATAATTGTGCATTTTTAACATCCATATTCATGGCAGTATGATTCAAGTGACTGCAAAATGTATATGACCTCTATATAGTGCAAATTTTCATTGAAGCTCCTAATACCAAGTGCTTACAGTTCTGTTCTGCCTAATTTAGGGCATAGATAGGACGAATTTTGACAACAATTCAGTTTAAAAAAGCTTAAAGTTAAGTATTTAATAATTCGTTTGATTGTTTATTTGAATAGTGTTATTACAATATAAAATTTCTTAAAAACTAGGTGTTGCATTAGGATGTAATTGAATATTCTAGCATATTCTAACAATTATAATGTAACTACATTTATTATTTATTATTTTGTTAAGAAGCCTGCCTAAATGCATATGTTTAAAACGCTCACAAATATATTAAGCCACAAATAACTCAAACGAATTAAGTAAGAAACAGTTTAACCACTTGATCATCCTAAGCTGGATGCCACCTGCACCTGTACTCACAAGCACACGCTTCTCCCTCAAAGTGAAGCCTGCAGTTGGCAGGGTTCCTACAGGTTCTATTCTTTCCCCAACAGAACCTAGTAGCCTGCTTCTTTGACGGGATCTTTGGCTCTGTGAGCTTAATCTGGTCGAACCATTTCAGCGATTCGTCTATATCGCTTAGACTTTTGAAGCCTGCCACGTCCGTCACCTGCAAGCCTTCCAGCTTCACTGTATCAGGCATGGCATAGTAGTACAAGGACTCGACCGTGGCAGCTCCCAGTCCTTTTTTCCATTCCGGAAGGACCTCATCCTTCCACACTGTATGAGACCTTTTCTTCTCCTTCGCCTTCCACTGAGCAACTGTAATCTGAAGGGCTACCACCAGGTAATTTCCGTTGGCGAATAGCTTGATGTATACGAGATCCACAGCCTTCTCGTTGAATGCTTGAGGACCCATCAAGACACCCCCCCGCAAGTCCTGGAACCCTACATTGCGAAGAGCAGCTACTTCGTGCCCATGGGCATACGTCCTGTACCTCTTGAACGAATAAGCGTCATCAAACAGCCTCCCCTGTATCCGAATGACGCTGATCACTAGGCCTTCAATGTGCCAGCTGATGCGAGAGGGGTTCCTTTCTGCAAGCTCACTTCTGCAGTCCAGTTCTACTGCGTCTGTCCACAACTGTATGTCTGAAAGCAGCAGCTTCTGGTCCAGCTCCTTTCCCTTTCCTGTTAACAGGGCCTCTGCCTGGGTTCGAAAGTAAGGTGACAGAAGCCGAAATCTGCCCTTAAGGTCTTTGCAGAAGCAGGTAAGCTTGATCTTCGGAGCTAGCCGGGAAGGTAGTTTTCCATCACCCATCACCATGTTGATAGCAGCGACCAGATCTTCCTTCGAGTCCAACTTTCCAACGAATTCCGTCCAGAGCTTATCCTCGTACTTGGCTTTAATACGTTTCAGCCACTGCTGCCTGTCGCCACCACATTCTCTGTAGAAGCGTAACAAGCGCGGTATTCCCCCCGTCAGATTATCCAGATCCAGCAGCGCAGAAGCTGGTAGATTTGCCTGCGCAATCCATGTATTCAGCTCCTCTTCCGTGTAGGGACCGTCAAACTCTTCAGTTAGCATATAGTCTTCAGCCTTGTCAAGTTTTGCACTTTCATATGGCTCGGGGCTGTCTATGGACAAGACTGTGATGCGAACACTGACTCCAGAGGCACGAACCAGGTCAGCTTTCAGGCGACGAAGCAGCTGTGGGTCCACCTTATCATTCCTCCTTGGATCAAGCTGTTCCCAGTCATCGATGATAAAAAGCAAACCTGTCCTCCCCTCGCACCACATCACCAGGTCTTCTACACTGGGCAAACGCTGCAACTCCTCCCACACGGTCTTGCACTGGCCAAATGCAAGCAGCAAGGCCTCGAGCAGAACCTTGTCCGGCTCTGAGATGTAACGGCTTGCCGAGATATACACCACCTTTTTGCCGTTGGCGAGGAGGAAGCCGGCTTCGGTGCTCATGACAGTACTCTTGCCACTGCCTTTAGCCCCAATGACCTGCAAGCGATTTGCATTGTGGAGCTTCAAAATCCTAGAATGGAGCTTCTCAGCGCCAGCACGACCAATGTAGTTGTACTTGTCGTCCATGTTTCCATGGGGATTAAGAGTTGGTAGAAGCAGCCCCAAGTAAACAGCTCCTCCATCCCACAGGAATGAGCAATCCTTGCCAGCGTACAATTCCTGCAGCGCCTTGTATCGCTGTTCAATAATCACGCCCCTGCCCTGCCGCTTTCTTTTCATCCTTCCTGTCGAGAAGCGGGTCACTGGCACACGAGAGGAAAGAAAGACGGAAGCACGTACCAGCAGGTGCGAAGGCCAGTAGCAAAGCATTGACTTGCTGAATGCGAGTTGGGAGTGCCGATTCGAGAGACTTCTCGAGCTGCCCGGCACCCTGAGCTCGGCGATAAGCGTTGGCATCCACGAATCCCGCCGCGGAAAGATTTTGGAAGTCGTCCGCTGTGAACAGCTCGAAATCGACGCCACTCACCAGTGAGCGCACCACGCCCTCCGCCGCCATAAGCAACCAATCCCTTAGGGTTTAACACAAGAATATCCAGGTATATCCTTGGTGTCTGCCACTTTTAGACTTTAGGGTCTTTGAGCTTTAAATTACTTGTTTTCCCGCCATTTTCTAAAAGCGAGAGCGGCCAGCTCAGCGCCACATCAGCCCAGTGGTACAAAGCGACTCTTCTACTCTCCCACCTAGGCTAGATAGATGAAGGGCACCAACAGCGACCATGGCGCTGCTGCCCCTGCTCCACGGATCATCAATCCATCGGTGCACGAGGCGCTCATCAAGCTCATTCCAATCCAGGCGCAGAAGATCCGCGAGAAAGGGGTTTCCAGGTTTGCTCCACAGAAAGAGAAGGACAAGGGCAAGGAGAAAGGCCTTTCGTCCAAGCAGCGATCCAAGCAGCAAGCCAAGCAGCAGCCCAAGCAGCAGCCCGCGGCGCCGCGAGCTGTGCGCTGGGAGGACGACGAGGAGCCTGCCAAGCTCCAGCAGTCGGAAGAGTTTGACAAGATTTGGGAAAACGATTGCGAGACCCGCGCGCTAGCCTGCCAAGTAAGTTGATCTCTTTGTTTCCTTGGTTGATGATCAATCACTCCTTCTCAGATCTTGTGTTGCAGGACAAGCTCACAGATTTGCTGTGCCGCTACCAGTCCCGGCAACCGGATGCTGGGCGCCTCACTGCGTCCTTGGAAGTAAACATCGATTGATCGATCGTTCTCCAAAATATCTTATGAGGTGCCTAACTGGTTGTTCCTCAGGTGCTAAAGGAGGTTTGTCAAATGTGTGTACCATTCTCACACGTCTTGACGGACATTCTCCAAGAGCTCGAGCTTGCTCTTTACATCAGTGCCGAGGACAAGGAAAAACATGAGCTCCAGGTTTTTATTCCTTCGCAATGTTCCCAAGTAAGCGTTCTTGCCTGTCAAACAGGTTCCATATTTTGAGCTCGTTGGCAAGCTCGAGCATGATATCAAGTGGAAAGAAGATAGTCAGCAAGGCTGGCGGAGCTCTCTTACGGACTGCCAAGAGCGCATCGAGCGGATAGAAGAGACTATGACGGTAAGCTTTTATGCTTTTGATTGCTCGTGCTACTGGATTTCATACAGCTGATTAACAGACGTTGAGCACTCAAGTCAAGAATGCCGACTTCCTTAACAAGAATCTCCATGCCAGCTTGACTGCTGCCTCTGACTCTCTAAACTCCGCCAATGATCAAGTCCACAAGTCCAAGCAAAAGCTGGTAGAACTTAAGCAGGAGCTCAAGGATGCCAAGGCCGAAGTTCGGAGATCGAAATCCATGGAACTCCAACTCCAACACGTAACTTTTTCCCTTCCCTTTCTTCTAAGCTAACTTTCTTCATCGACTACCAGGAGAAAGATCTTGTGGAACAGGACCAGCTAAAAGCGGAGTACGCACAGCTTGTTACCGAGCTACAACACTTCCAGACCTTCCTTGATGCTGCACGCAACCAAATCTCTGTGAGGTGCGTCGGTCATATCCAGTTACCTGGCTCCTTAATGTTTATTTTCTCTTGTTGCAGCGTTCCAAGACCTGAGTACATGGCCATGAAAGCTCAGATGCTGGAGCTGCAGAAACGTCTTGCTGATATCCAGGCCAAGTCCATCAAACTCACGTACCAGACAGCGCATTTAACTCCAAGGCCGTCCTGGACCGCAGCTCCAGTTGGAGAGAAAGATCCGACGCTGTCCACGCTTGAACAAGTTGCTCAGATTTGTAGAGAAAACGCGATTCTCTCCAACAAACTTGCCATGCTTCAAAGCGAATGGACCAACACAAATGTTGCTCTTGCCGAGGTAAACTTTTTGTTGGGCTACGAAGCGTGATGAAAAGCATTTCTCCCACCTTGCAGGCGAATGAAAAGTACCAGAAGGTTGAAGAAGAGAACAAGAAAAAGAAATAGAGAAGCTTCGTTCATTCGACCATAAGCTTGTAGGCCTGGATTTCCATGGGGCTCATCTCGACTATCCCGATCCCTGCTGCTGACGCTCCAGCGCCCTTCCGGCCGGGCAGCGTCTCGGCATGATCGTGCAAGAAATTGAGACTGGAAGGCGTGACTTTGCTCACCACCAAGTTGCTAAACGTCGAATGGAGGTCGACCTTCGCGCTGGTGGCCAGTGTGGAGCAGCTATCGGTTCCTCCTTTCCTGCAGTAAGACTCGTCCCATCCTCTTCTCTGGAGTAGAAGTCCATACTCGACGTCTTCCAGCTGCGAAGGCCGGAGTGCTTTGATCCCGACCAGGTGCAAGTCACAGGGAAATGCCGAAGCTAGAGACGACCACTGCGTGTCCATCGACGTCTCCTGGATTACGACCGAGCTCTCGACGATCTTTCCCAGGAACGCGTGCATGGGATAGTTCAACTGGGCTCCAACTCGGTGGGATAAGAGCGAGGGAACCGAGAGCTTCTGGTGGAAAGATGCCGAGCTCGTCACATTCTCTTCGAGAAGCAACTGGAAGACGATGTTGAGCGGCCTGTTGTCCATGACTCCCTGCCCGAGGCCTCGACCATCGTCTTGAGTGAGCCGTCTATCCAGCATCACTTCCAGCCAGCCGGTCTGTAAGCTGGCAACTCCGAGAGCCTGGCGGCTATGGACCGAGAAGCGCTTGCCCCGAGAGTCCTGGACGAAGGCCAGCGACGGCATTGGATAGTAGTTCCCTTGCAGCGGGATCTTGTCGTAAGTTTCTCGCCTGATGGTCTGGAAGCCGTTCAAGTCCGAGTGGAAAACTCTGCCACTGTCGATGCCGGTCTTGAAGCGCGCTATGATCTCCTTGTTGTTGAAGCGGTGATCTAGAAGAGCTACGTGATAGTTAATCTCCACGCTCAAGGCCTGGACGGATTTTCTTCCCGTGGCTCCGCTGTGATAAAGTCTGGCACTTCTCGAGAGCTCGCCGCCTCCAATGCTGGTCTTCAAGACCACATGAACTTCTTGCATCGCTCGGCCTTCTGTGACGAGCACCAGGCCTCCAGCTTGTACAAGAGACTTTGCTTCGCCGTCGGGCAAGAAGAGATAAGCACCGCTCCCGGCGCTCGAGTAGTAAGCAACGTCCTCCTCGACAGCAACCAAGGTTGACGGAGAGGCCGCCTTGGAGATCTGGATCGAGCGTAACATCCCGGTGGTGGAATCGAATCCCAGCGTCTGGAAGCCGTTGGTGATCTCGAGGGTCTCCACAGTCTCGAGCGAGCAGGAGTAGCCGTTGGGACAAGAGAACTTGTCGTCCGAGTTGAAAACTCTGATCCGGGCAGGCACTGCTCGCTTGCACGACGAACCATCTGCGACGCCTTCGGCCGAGCTGACGAAGAAAGTTGCGAGTCCCAAGGCAGGAACAAGAGCAGTCCAGTGCAAGCGATGCCTTCCGGTCGACAAGTTCGATCCTGTTTCATCCCATTCCGGAGAAATTTGGCTGTCAACCGAGGCCCAGCTTGGGCCGAACACACACACTGCCGGATCGTCGACCACCACCATCACCACATGCTCCACCGCTTCCTCGAGAGGATTGAAGAAGACCACTCGACGAGCTTGGCCGCTCGCGAGTCTGACGGATTTCTTCACCGCTAGCATGTTAAACTTGGAGCGAGATTCCTCCGGCTCGTACCACTGCCGGAAGTTCTCGCTCTTGCACTGCTGCTGGAGAAGTAGCGCTTCGACACTGGCAGCCATGAAGGCCTGGAGCTCCACCAGCGACGTGTGCATCCGCGTTCCATAATCTTCCACAACGTGATCCCTCGCGGTGCCCGTGACTCCGTCGTGGTGCTGAAAGAGCGCGAGGTTCTGGCTAGCGGAGACGATGGCGTTGCTGTACGACGCTGGAAACGAGGAGGTGTCCTTCGGCCGGCACTTCGCGTGAGTGAAAACGTAGAGAATGTTGGCAGCTCGGAGTGTGTGCTCGAGGACACGATCCACGGCCTTGTAAAACGGTCTTGATACGTAATAGCCACTCCAGTAGTCGTGCATTCTATCAGCATACGTGAAGAAGTCCCCAGAGAGCGAAGGGAAGCCCGGAACTTCGTCTTCGTTGGCCCTCGAGCTCGACTTTGTGCTTCTGGCAACCTCGTCTCGGAGCGTAGAGAAGTAATCCTCCAGAGTTCCAAACTGGACGCTAGCCTTGAGCTCCGGGTGAGCGCTGATATAGTCGAAGATGGCCTGGTAGTTCGTGAACTGGAGCTCGGCCTCCTGCGGGGTCACGTACCGGAAGTCGTCACCCAGCGGCACCAGCAAAGTGTTACTTCGATACAGCGTCGACTTCTTCCTGTATTGATCGAGCAGCAGCATCGCTCGCTCCCTCACGTTTCCTTCGTTGATCTCTTCCGGATTGTATCCCCAGGGACACCGCTGTGCCTGTCCAACTCTCACAAGCCTCCAGTAGTCGAACTGGCAGCACACAGCCGGCTCCGGGCCGCAGGTGTGAGGAATGTCGTAAGAATAGAACGGCATCATGTGGCAGAAGATGGCGGTGGAGTTTGCAGAATCCCAGCCTTGCCTCCACATGAACTCGAGGCTTTGCCGCTGAGCGAGCTCCTTCTTTACCTCGTAGTGTGTTCGCTGGATAAGCATGTTGGCGAATCCCATTCTCCGCAAGAGATAAGCCATGGTGGCCGAGTGACCGAATGGATCAATCGCCCAAGCGTTCCTTGGAGTGACCCCGATGGTATCACGAAGCCAGAGGTTCCCTGCGGTTATCTGGAAGCCATGACTGAGGTTACTACCGAGTGCCAAAAGTTTGGATGCTAACGTACCTGTTCGATGATCGCGAAATGGTGTGAGTTCGCCTGGAGAGCAAGTTCTTACAAGTTCTTAGATGATTTACGTTCTTAGTTCTTAGCTCTCGTACCTCGTCGTTCATCACCCAGCCTCCTCCCACAACTTCGAGCTGTCCACTCTTGACTAGGCGGATGAAATCCTGCTTCTCCGAGTCCGAGGCGTCTTGCCACCAGCGATGGAGGTAGGACATCTCCTCCCAGATGAACTTACGTCGAGGATCCTGAGCACGAGAGGAGACGATCAGCAAAGTTTTTCTAAAACTAAAAGTGTAAGTTTCTCTAGATAGAACTAAAATTGTGAAGCTCGAGTACCTTGCGAAGAGCTCCAACCACAGTCGAAAGTATGTGTTTCGTGCGCTCCTGGTAGTACTCCTCCACCGTGCGAAGCCACCCTGGATCGTTGTGAGAGTGAGGCACCACAAACACCTTGAGCTTCTCGCGATTCCACTCGTCACCGCGGTACTTCACTGCCCATCCCTGCGTCCACGCGCCACCGGCCTTGTTCTCGAAGGCTATGGCGTCGTAGAGCTCCTTGGTGCTTATGTCCACCACCGCTTCCAATTGCACCCTCGAGGGACTGTGATCGCGGGCGCCGCTGCGAATCGTCGGCATTCCCGGCATCGAGACGATTGGGTCGGCGCTCCAGCTGTAGATCGCCATACCTACAACCAGGAGCAGCAGCGCGAGCACGATCCCTCCACGAACCCCGCAATCCAAAATCTCGTAGACGAGCCTGTGCCGCCTCTGGATCACTCTCACCTTGCGGCGCCCGCTGCTCGATCCCGAGGAGGACGATGCCGTCATCGCGCCGGCGAGGATGGATCGACTATCCACTTCTCTTCTCTCTCGCTTTTAGAACATCCTCTATAGTAAAATAAACAAAACAATGTAGGACACGCGGCCGTACGCCGTGCATCCGGGAGGGGTACGGAAAGTGGAATGGTTGGCTATGGTGGGTGACTGCGCAAGAACGAGGGTTTGATAGGGGAGGCGCTGTGGCCGCGGCGCTAGGGTGCGCGTATTGGGAACGCCGCGATGGCGATGGCGTAGCAGCAGCGCAGCAGCAGCGGCGCGGAATCATGCTTGTAAGGCGCTAGGGAGATCTCCTGTGGCCAGATTCTCCCCCAATCCAGTGAGCCATGGAGCGGCGTGTAGGGAACAAATTCAGGCTTGGCCGCAAGATTGGGAGCGGCTCATTCGGCGAGATTTACCACGGTGAGTGCTGTGGTTTGTGCTTGAGAGTTGCGAGTGATGATTTCTCCTTGCTCTGCAGGAGTGCACACACAGACGAATGAGGAGGTTGCTATCAAATTGGTGCGTTTCTCTCGTTGCTACTGCGAATGCGGGGCTCTAATGTGTTCTTGTGCTCCAGGAAAACGTGAAAACGAAGCACCCACAACTGCTGTATGAGTCGAAGCTGTACAGGATTCTACAAGGAGGAAGTAAGAGTTTTTCCTGAGAGGAAAGGGGAGGAGGGATTTTTCCAGGCTGATTTGCGTATGTGCTGTTGTTCCGGCAGCTGGAATACCCAACATTAGATGGTATGGAGTGGAGGGCGACTTCAACGTTATGGTGATTGAATTGCTCGGCCCCAGTCTCGAAGATCTCTTCAATTTTTGTGGCCGCAAGTTTTCTCTCAAGACGGTGCTCATGTTGGCCGATCAGCTGGTGAGAAGAACTCTTTCTCTTCGAAAGCTTACAAGCTGCTTCTTCGTTCAGGTCAATCGAGTTGAGTTAGTCCATGCCAAGAGTTTTATCCATAGAGACATCAAGCCAGATAACTTCTTGATGGGCCTTGGCCGAAGAGCAAACCAGGTTAGCTGATCACGTTTCGGAGAAAACTGGTTGTAACCTGTTTAGAGCCGTCAGGTCTACATTATTGACTTCGGGCTGGCCAAAAAATACCGTGATCCGACGACTTACCAACACATCCCGTATAAGTAAGCTTTTCTCTTCTGGAACTGAAAGCAAGTGTTCTTTTGTGTTCTCGTGTCTCGCAGGGAAAATAAGAATCTGACAGGAACAGCTCGCTATGCTAGTATCAACACTCACCTTGGGATTGGTACGTACAGTGATTGATTTCCTCGTGTTCTGCTGCTATGAAAGCTTACAAGTGCATCCCAGAACAAAGTCGAAGGGACGATTTGGAATCTCTTGGTTACGTTCTTATGTATTTCTTAAGAGGAAGGTGAGCACAGTGGCAACACCGATCGGATGATCGCTAACTCAATGTGCAGCCTACCTTGGCAAGGGCTGAAGGCAGCTACTAAGAAGCAAAAGTACGAGAAGATAAGCGAGAAGAAAATAGCGACGCCAATTGAGGTATGTGTTCTGTGTTGGAAGTTCCATGTATTCAAACTTTCTCTTTTGGTTTTGTGTGAAGACTCTTTGCAAGGGTTATCCGCCAGAGTTTGCATCTTACTTCCACTACTGCCGGTGTCTGCGTTTTGATGACAAGCCAGACTACTCGTATCTGAAACGAATTTTTCGTGACCTTTTTATCCGCGAAGGTAAATATATCTAAGCTAGCTTCTTGGAAACTCACTTTTTTCAACTGTGTTTAGGATTCCAATTCGATTACGTTTTTGACTGGACACTCTTGAAATATCAGCAGTCGCAAATGCGAGCATTGGTAAATAGAATACGGCATCTGGATGGAAAACTCTCGTTCCTAACCAGCTTTCCTTGTAGCAGCCTAACCTCGGAGGAACAAGTGGCTCCGGTGCTAGTCCATACGCAGGTATCTACTTCATTGGAACGACCTCTCAGCTTGTGGCCCCTATGTTTGCAGGTGCTCAGGAGCGGAACGACTCAAACGAGGCCGCACGACGCCGGTTGTCTGGGCTTAGCGGTGGTGCTGTAGAAACACCCAAGCAGAGGAGCGACGTAGCGGTGAGCATTTTCCGTAGTTTGTGACAGCAAAAACATCTTTGTTTTCAGGTTGTGCAGGGAGACTTGGGAGACGTCGACCGCACACACTCGTCCTCTTTCGTTCGAGGCGGGAGCACGTCGAGAAGAGCCGTGGTCACAAGCTCGACCCCAAACCCGAGGCCGAGCGTGCCGGGCGGCGAAGTGGTGGACGGGTCCCGGATCATGTCCTCCAACAAGATGGCCCCGGGCGCTCTCGTCCGGGCGGCCCTGCGGAGCTCCCAGGTCGGCCTCCCGGGGGCGCTGGAGCCCAAGAGAACGCTCGCGAATCGCACCCCAACATCTAACACCAAGAACTACGAGGCAGCACTCAAGGGAGTGGAATGCCTGTCCTTCGAGATGGAGCACAACAACAGCAGGCAGTAGCATCGAGTAAGTTTTCCCCCCGCCACCTTGTTTCATTTCCTCCATGGCTTTGGCTTTCTCACGCGAGACAAAAGCAAGCTTCCGCCGCCGCTGCTGCTACCGTCGTGATTCTTTCATTAACAGGAGTCCATGCTTACGTACGTAATGTGACTCGTCTCATCGGGAAGCTTGAGCTCTTGTCTCGACGCGTTCACTTTGTTCCGGGATTAACTTATCAGTGGTTTTGCGAAAGAGAGATGGATCATCGCAGTGCCGAGGGGGAGCGCGACAAACTTCGTCGGAGCATCGTCCGGGACGCCAGTTGCAAGGGATGGAGGTGGAGGAGGAGGGCAGCGTCTCTTCACTACTCGCGGTGCCTGGGAAGCGCGGTGGGATTCCGGACGCGGTCGTGGCTCGCAAAGTCCATGCCAAATGGTTGCCGCAGGATCAAGGTCTTCTCTTCTCCTCTCGATCGTTTGGATTGATCCTCGCTCCCAGTCTTGCTTGCTTGTCTAGGATCAGGATTGATGCTTTCCTTCTTCCAGGATTGATGCTTATGGTGCGATGTCGATGTGGTAAGCGTATGGAACGCTCACTGCTCGAGCAAGATTGGAGAGGGTTTCTCACAAACCGGCACGTCGTGGACATGAGCTTGCCCAGCCAGAAGCTCTACCACCCGCCATGGAGGTGAATCTCGAGATCGGCGTGGAGATCCACCCCGCCCGTCCAGCTGAGCGGCTACGCTGTAGGCCATGACGATCCCTCCGCCGGAGGTCCTCCCCACTCTGCGGCGGCTGCTCGAGCTCCTCAACCTGGAGATCAGCGCTTCCAAGAAGAACCCTAACTCTGTGTAAGAGTTTTGTATATTTAGGGCAACGAAGGAGCTATGGCTGCGATGGCGCAGCAAGCGGGAGGAGGTGATGGAGCCGGCACTGGTGGCGGCGGCGGCGGCGGTGGCGGCGCCGGGCCACGGAAGACGAGCGTCTCGTTCGGATCGCTCATGCCATTCCTCCAGACGCTTGTGGCGCCGGAGCAAAATCTCCAGCTCGTGGCGCTCTATGCGAAGATGAAGGTGTGTTCTTTCGCCGCTTTCTAGCTCCACTTGTCTTGATCGCCCTCCACCACACCACAGGAGGAGAAGATCTCCCGCGAGGATTTCGTGAGGGGAGCTCGCGTCGTCGCGGGAGAGAAGGTGATTCTGGAAGCTCTCAGTCGGATGAACTCGAGGGTATGGTGCACGAGAATTTCTACTCGATCGACCCGCGAATTTTTTCATTTTTGTGTCGCCAATGTAGCCTCCACAGGCGCTACACCCAGAACAACCCCCAGCGCTTGGTGATGGATCATCACAGCAGCCACCATTTACTCCACCAGAACGAAAGCAGCTCGTGAGGAAAGCTTCTGATATGGCCATGACGTCGGGCGGACAAGCCAGGTTCCAAATTTGTTTTCTTCCCTCCTTTTGCTCGATCTCACGAGCTTTTGCAGTAAGAAACAAAAGGCTGATCCGGTCCAAAGCCTTGAGCAGATCAACGATGTAACTGCTGTTGGTGGCGTCAACTTGAAAGTAGAGTTTCTTTTCTTGCTCGCGTTTCGGTTTTCTTACTCTTTTGATTTCAGGAAGAAGAAGAGCGCTTGCTCACTGCTCCGAGAGAAGAAAGCCGGACTACACCTGAGATGCGAAGGAAGTTTATGGAGGAGGAAGGCCGATTTTTCTTGGAGAAAGGTCCACTACATACTAAAGTACAAGAAATTGGTATAAAGATTTTGGAGCCATATCGGTGATGCCATTGGTGCCTCTACTTGCAGCCGCGAAACATGGACTCAAAAGCATCAGTGAGGACGTGGAGCGTTGCTTGTCGATGGTAAGCGTCCCCGTCGTGAAAATTGAGCTTATAGTTTGTGATCCAGAGTGCGGAGGAATTGTTGTGGGGCTTTCTTCTCAAAACCATCAAAGTGTCCAAGCAGGTACCAGTTTTGCAAACTTCATTTTCAAGTCTCACTGCCCCGCTTCCAGAGATGCGACGTTGAAAAGGAACGGCACAGGGTTATGGCGACGCTAGATTTTCAGAAGCAAATCATGGCCATGAGGAAAGAGCAACGGGAATTTCGGCAAAGAAAGCAAGCCGAAGAAGCCGAGAGATTGCGCAAGCTCAATGAGGTTAATGCATCACTCTTTTGAGTGATCCAAGCCCCAAGTTAACTTGTGTCGTGCAGGAGAAAGGACCACAAGCAACTGAAGAATCAACTCCAAAATCTCAAAAGGTGAGCACGCTCATGGATGCTTATTTCTTTTTTCCTGATGCTTCCAGTGTGTGCTAGGCACAACAACAAAACGATGACAAGTTGAGAACCACGGCGGCAAACATTGCAGCTCGCAAGGCTGTGGGAGCCGACGACGTGCTCTCCAAGTGGATGCTAATGGCCGAACAGAGACAGCAAAAGCAAGCAGCTGCTGGTAAGCTCTTGCAAGTTTGGAAAAGCGGAAAAGAATACTTCGTGAGCTTGTAGATGGCTGGGGAAACGCAGGAACACCAGTTGCCGGCAAGCAGCAGTTCGGTGGTAAGCTCGTTTCCGAGCGATGATGCGTTCCTGACAAACTTTCTTGATAGCTGCGACGCCTCGAGTGAATGCCCGGCGCTCTGCTCTACCTCAAGCCACCAGAGCTCGGTCGATCATACTCCGGGACCTGGTGGCCTGCCTGGAGAGGGAGCCGGGCATGTCGACGTCCCCTCTCCTGTACAGATTCTACGAGCGATTGTCGAGCGAGGAGGTGAATTACTAGAGGAGCACACATTCTAACACTTGCGAGAGATCGAGAGCGTCATTTCTCTCCAGGAAAATGGGCCAAGCCTGCGTTTTTGCGGTGTTCGTGGCAGGCAAACAAGAGATCTTCAATGTTGACTTGAGGATAGGTCCCGGGATCGATACCCGGCAAGAGAGGAATTTGGCCCGCCGCATGTCATGTCATGTCATAACAGACCTCGTAACGCCACCTAATCACACGAACGACCAAAAAAGAAAATCCCCCCAATTTATTTCTCGAAAACAAATAACCCCAAAATAGGCCCCCGGCGCCGCCGCCGTCCGATGCGGGCGGCGATCCGACGGCCCGGACCCCAGGCACCGCCATTCAATCTGGTTTGCGCAAAGAAAGAAAGAAGAAGAAAAGAAAAAACTCACGCCGAGAAACACACCACGCCGGTGGTGGTGTTTGTGTAGTACCATATCATATCGTTAATGCCTGGCATTTGTTCCTTGTTGCGAGATCATCACATAAGCAAGAACATCCCAAAAAAAAAAGGAAAAAATTTACCAAGGGTACGTTCTCCTCCTCCTCCTTCTTCTTCATCTTTGTTTAGCTCTCTCTCATTCTCAATCAATCAAGCATGCTTATAGCTCTAGCTCCAGCTCTTCCAGCTACATTGGGCGAGCTCGGCTATGGTGCTGCCTGGTTTGCATTTGCATGCAGCATCATTTGCTAGGCTTGCATGTATCTTGCTCGCCGTCGCCTTGTCTCACCTAGACTGGAATTTTCGACTGTTCCAGGTGTTGGGCTGCTGAGTGTGGCGGCTGCCGGTCTTGGGTTGCCCTCTTTTCCGGGGGCAAGGCTCCCCCTTTCTTTATTCTTGTTGGTCTCCTCTTCTCGGGAAAAGAGAAGATGCCCGATGATCACCAGAGCTCCGGGCTTGCTGACGCTGCCGCCACCACCGCCACCACCGCCGCCGGCGAACACCACCAGTCGCCGCAAACTCCTCCTCCTCCTCCGCTCACTTCTCCATCGCCAGAGCACAGCAACAACAACAACGGTGGTCATGCACAAGCTCCCACAAGCTCGGAGGTCCACCACGCGCTCCTAGCCGCGGCCGCCGCCAGCGCCACCGCGCCGCCCCGCTCCTCGGAGATGCTCAATCTCCCCCGAGACTTCCTGTCCCTCCGCCCGCAAGAGCCGCCACCCCTCTCACACTCGCGGCTTGTTCCAAAGTTCGAGACCAAAGACGCGCCTTTGATCACGGTACAAATGGCGTCTCCTCCCCACAACTACAAATGCACCTCGATCACCACCACCACTAGCACGACTAGCACTGCCACTCCAGTCTTCTCGGCCGGTTACCCGCGAGCTCTAGCTTCTCACGAGGAGGTCTTGCGAGACAAGGAGCTCTTCCTCGACACGCTCCGGAGGCTCCACGGGAGCATGGGATTCAAGTCATTGACGTACGTAAGTAGACACTATGGTTGTCTCTCCCGCTCTCTTTTTGGTTTCTCTTTGGTTTCTCGATCGATCGATCGAACTCCTTTGACCGTTTGATGGATGGATGGGAACTTTTTCTTCAGCATACCAACAATTGGAGGAACTCAGCTGGATTTGCACCTCTTGTACAGGGAAGTCACGGCCCGCGGAGGATTACACCAGGTTGGTGGAGCGAAATTCTTGTTTCTTTGGCACAGGCACTCACTTCGCTCGTTGCTCGCAGGTGATCAAGGATAGGATCTGGAAGGAAATAAAAGCGGTGTTCCATTTCCCACCGACGACCACCAATGCGTCGTATGTTCTTCGGAAGTATTACTCGAGCCTTCTCCACCACTACGAGCAGGTCTACTTCTTCCGGAATCAGGGAGCTGTCGTATCTGCGCCCGGTTAGCTTTCTCTATCCGGAATTCATTCATTCCTTTTGCCTCGTTTTCTTCTTTTCTTTTCCTTCCTTTGACTGACTTGGAGTCAGGTCTTGTCTCTCCAGGCGATGCAGATGCTGCTGCTGATCCAGGTAGAAGAAAGGCAAAACAAAAACTTTACTCACAATACTTTGGTTGCTCTAAACAAAGTTATCTTTTTTTGTTCCTCGCAGGGAATGCCACCACGAACTGTATCGGTCAGACCGTGACAGGATCAATCGTTGGCAAGTTCGAGCATGGCTACCTCGTCAGTGTCACCGTCGGCAGCGAGGCGCTCAAAGGCGTCCTGTACAACGTCCCACCCGGCGAGTACGTGCCACAGTTCACGACCACGTCCAAGCTCCCGACTTCCAACGGAGCTCAGCTGTCCGAGTGCGTGAATGCTGATGGAGAGCTCCGGCGCAAGAGGAGGAGGAGGCTGGGATTGAGAAAAAAGGATCCCAACGCTCCAAAGCTCAACCGGAGTGCCTACAACTTCTTCTTTGCGGAGCAGAGAGCACGGATAAGGCTGTTGCAGCCCAACCGGGAGATCAGCAGGATGATTGGAGATTCGTGGAGCAAACTAACTGACGAGCAGCGACTGGTAACAGCACAAAGTTCTCTTCTCTCTCGTTTTTTTTCTTGGTTTTCACATCAGTGACACCCTCTGGCAGCCTTACAAAGAGCGTGGACTCGTGGACAAGGAGCGGTATCGGAAAGAGATAAAGCAGTACCGGGAGAAGATGCGGGGATTGAAGGACGTGGACATGGAAGGCACGACTGAAGAAGCTCACGAGGAGGAGGACGTAAGCGATGATCCAGAGCAGGAGGTGGAGACGGAAGACAATGGCGCTCCGGCTGACGAAGAGCAGCGTGAGACTCTCGAGTTTAAGTCCATCCTCTCGGCTCAGGCCTCCTAACTCTTTAGCTCGTCACTCACTCACTCACCTCTTTAGTGTTGATGATCATGTACATTGCCTCACATCTCTCACAATTGTTGTCTAACATGGATAGATCGATTCGCAGCTCCTTTTTCTACTTGCAGCGTAGTAAATCTTAATCTTTGGTGTATGCCATGATCGTAAATCCAGAAGATCCGCCAGGAAGATGATGGGAAAAGAGGGGCGACGGGGACAAATTGTTTTTTTCTTCTTATTTCTGTGTCTAAAAAGCAGTGTTTTCTGGCAAGCCAGGACGATATCCGATGGTTTCCAAGCTTTACAGAGAAACAAACCATCCAACCCAGCAGATTTCTAGTCTCCATCTCATCAACCTTATCACCAAACTGAATCAAGTCTTGTTAGAGACGAACAAAACAAATCCATGGCCGGTGTGGGGAGCTGTTTTCCTGCAACACGGCACTGCCATCTTCGAGGGACCACGCCAATAATATCTCGGACTTTAAAATGTTTGAAGCTCGATCGCAATGTAGCTATAGTTGTGTTTGTATCAAGTCGAGTGAGGAAGCATGGCGCCTCCAGCTGCGAGCCTCGATGGTCTGCCAACTTCCACGCTTGCTCATCCCTTGCTCCAAGGAGGCCGCCCTCCTTATGCCCACAAGTTCTCCAAGGCGCAACTGGAAGCACTCGAGGCCCTGTGCTCTACATTCGTTCCGCCGGTTTCGTCCCCCGATGGCAGCCACAGAGAGTTTTACGAGCTCTCTGGGGAGGCAGACGCAGAGATGGTGAGCAGGCCGAGCTAGAAAAGCAAAAAAGATGGCTTTGCTTGCGTTTGTTTGTAGGTGGCGGGGAGGATGACACAGTTTATCCATCCCAAGCTTTTGAGGAGAGCCGAGGAGGTGCTGGGCATGCTCTCCACGCCCAAGTCCACTCCGCAGTACCCCTACGACAAGAAGTTCAGTGAGGTGCCGCTCGAGGAGCGAGAGAAACTTATGTACCAGTGGGCCAACAGCGACGACGACGATTCCCGTCTCAACTTCAAGATCTTCAAGACGTTCATCCTCAACACCTTCTATAGCAAGGTGCCGTGGTTTAGAAAGACGCTCTCTATATCAAGACATTGTACCTCTTGGCTTGCAGGTGGATGCTTCGGGCTACAACCCGACCTGGGAAGCCATCGGCTACGCGGGACCGGATCCAAACTCCATGAAAGCAACGTTGCCTCCAAAGCCGTCAGCTCTCAAGTCCGCCGTCTTCGACGTCAGAGAGCACCCCGACCTGCGAGCAGTCCTCAAGCACACGGGTTACACTCTACTGGATGACATATCTCACCTCAAGCCGGCGCTGCTGCCTTCCAACAAGCTTGAGGACGGAGAGGACGTGATTGGCATCAAATGCGACGTGATCATTGTTGGAGCTGGCAGCGGAGGAAGCGTTCCAGCTCAGGTCCTGTCCACTGCCGGCCTCAAAGTTTTGCTGCTGGAGAAAGGCCGCTACTTTGCGAGAGAAGATCTGTCCCTGCTCGAGCAACCGACTTTCAGCGAGCTCTACGAAGAAGGCGGATTTCTGGCAACTGACGACTTTGCTTACTCGCTCATGTCCGCTGCGGTGGTGGGAGGCGGAACTTGCATCAACTGGGCGGCATCCTTCCAGACTCCGCCTCACGTCCGCCAGGAATGGGCCGAGGAGTGTGGACTTCCCATGTTTACCAGCGAAAAGTACCAGCAAGCTCTGGATCTCATCTGCAAGAAGATCGGTGTTCAGCCCAATGCAACAGTGGAAAGCTTCCAGAATGCAGTCCTGCGCAAGGGATGCGTGGAGCTTGGCCTCCACAGCGCAAATATACCGAGAAACGCGAGCCCGGAACACTATTGCGGCTGCTGTAACATGGGATGCCGACGGGGTATGAAGCAAGCGACCACCGAGACTTGGCTGGTGGAAGCAGCGGCAGCGGGAGCGACCATCCTCACGGGAACAAAAGGCTTGCAAGTGCTATTCACGGACGGGACCAAGAAGGAGAAGAAAGCCATCGGTGTGTTGGCCACCACCTTGGGTGACCAGCCAAAGAAGTTGATCATCGAGGCCAAAGCGACCATCGTGTCCACCGGCTCTATCATGACACCACCGCTGCTCATCAGGAGTGGACTCACGAATCCAAACATTGGGAAACACTTCCACATCCATCCGGTGCTGGGAGTGTGGGGATACTTCCCGGACGAGGAGAAGAACCCGGGAGCTAGCTTCGAAGGAGGGATCATGACGGCCTTTAGCGCGGTGAGCGCACGCTGGGACACAGTCGGCTATGGTCCGGTGCTCATGACACCGAGCTTCCACCCCGGACAGTACGCTTCGGTGGTAACTTGGAAATCTGGAGCTCAGCACAAGGAGGCAATGCGGAGGTTCAGACGAGTCTCTCAGGTGGTGCTCTTCACTCGTGACAAAGGAGCTGGGAGTATCGGAGTGGACAAGAAGACGGACGAGATCACGATCGAGTATACTCTAGATCCATACGACGAGGAGGTTTGCCTGGAGGGAGCGGAGAAAGGACTTCGCGTGCTCAAGGCAGCGGGGGCAGTGGAAGTCGGGACGCACCACCACGACGCTGAAAGCTTCACGTTTGGCAAGTCGACAAGCTGGAAAGAAGAGAAGAAGCGGTTCGAGGAGTACCTTGCGAGCGTGAGAAGCAAAGGGCTCAAGCCCAACCGGCTGCCAATGGTATCGTATCACTTGCTGGGATCGTGCCGGATGGGATCCAGCCCCGAGAACTCGGTGATTGATGCCAAAGGCGAGACTTGGGATGCTGAAGGCCTCTTCCTCACGGACGCCAGCGTCTTTCCCACACCCACGGGTCTCAACCCCATGGTCACTATCCAGTCCATCGCCTACTGCACTGCACAGAACATTGTGGAGCATGTCAAGTCGTCCAAGTGAAAGAGCAGAGCTCTAAGCTCTAAGCAAAATCATACCAGAGTTTGTATTGTTTGTGAAGTACTGTGATGGAATAAGAACAGCGACGTATGGCCAGCTCACCTGTTTTACGAGAGGAGAAAGAAGATTTAGATTCTTCGTCCCAGCAAAGAGACAAACAGCTGCCAAGGAAAGATCAGCCACAAAACTGGCTTTGTCAATATTGCTCTAGAGACAAACAACTCCACCAAGAGAAAAAGAAATGCGTCCTAGTTGGATAGAGATGTCAGAGACTTACTTGGATAAGGCATCAGGACTGCAGCATCGTCCACAAAGCCAGTCTTTTGAGGACAAAAGAAGTATTGCCCCACACTGGAAAACCAAGAAGGAACCCGGCAGATCCCTGCTGGAAGGACAGGGACATCGAGAGAAAATGTGAGGTAGCCGGAGGTCGCTTTCCATCCAACCTAATAAAATCCCAAGAACCCTAAAAAGCAGCAAATTAGTGTAGGCTTTACAATAAGTAAATTAGGCTTTACAATAAGTAAATAATTTTAACTCGTCTTGAGCATATACACACACTTTTTCTCCAACAATGGCAGAAAGAAATTTATATATACTTGAGCTAGAAAGTAATCAAAAAGTCAACACAAAAAGAAGTATAAAATTTGAGCTAAGTCTGGATTAGGGTTCTTGCAACATTGGGAGTTCACAACCCTAACAGCTAAGAAATTCCCTAGGGGTAAATATCAGATTTTCAATCATGTGGAAAATGGGGCAAAATGTTTCTAGACAGCCCCATAGCTAACTGTTTATGAGTAAAGATCCCTGGGCCGTGGATTCCTTTAGCACATTTTCCCTCCTGGAAATTATAATGTTCCTTCAAATCTTTTTGAGTATGGTTCCACCCTAAAAGCAAGGAGTTTAGGGTTCTATGGCGATGAGGAGCGGCTGCTCGGCCAGGATAAGGTGGGTGATGCCGCATTTCACTCCCTCGAGCTTCTGTAGCAGCAGCGCATCGTCATCGTCCGGAGAAATCGCCGCAAGCAGCAGCACGGAGATCGCAAGCGAAGGAGAAACCGGGATTACTCCAAAGGCAAGAAGGAGGAGAAGGAGGTCCAAATCCAAGGCCGACGACAGCTGCGCTGCCAAGCTCACCATCAACATCAAGACCGCGATGCGTGAGTTTCGGCTGGGAGACATCCCCAACGCCAAGGTGTGTGGGCTGCCCACGGAGAGGTCGCTCTTCACCGTCATCCAGGGGCCTCATATCGACAAGAAATCGCGCGAGCAGTTTGATATCCAGACGCGGAAGTGGCGCGTCACCATCGATACGGAGACGAGTAAGTTACGAGAGAAGCTCGAGTTTCTCAAAGAGCACAGGATTCCTGGAGTGGAGATCAAGGCCCGGTTCCAGTACAAGACGAGGATGGCTTGGCCGCTCAAGCCTACCCGGCTGTCCGACCAGGAGAAATGGAAGCTCTTGACGCTGCGCAAGAAAGATCCAAAGCTCTACACCGCTGCGAAGCTTGCCGAGGAGTTTAAGATCGAAGAAGAACAAGTGTATGACGTGCTCAGGTCCATGGAGGAGCGGCAAAAACACGTCGATATGTTTGGAGGAGAGTGAAGAAACGCTCCAACGCTCCAACTTTCTTTCTTCCGTCTTCTTAAAGCAGCTCCATCGGCATTTGGATGACTGTGAATAAGAAAGAGTGCCCGGCTCCTTCTCCTACTTGTGCTGCTCTATCCGTGTTACTGGCACCACCATCGCTACGATCGACCGGTGATAGTGCTGCTTCCTCGGCATAGTCGCCTGCTCTAATTGCTGGAGCCGCCACAAAGTTGCTCCTTTTTGCCTTCTCCGGGGCCACTACCACTGTCTCTGCCTGTTGCTTCCCCGCCTCTAGCAATCTCCACGAGATCCTATAGTTGCTCAAGTCGTACATTCCCGGCGCTAGCACTCCGACGCATAGCGGCACTCTGGTGGAAGCTCCGGGTGCCAGTTCCAGCGATGTCACGGATTTGGAGCAGCACCATACGTAAGGTCCGGATGATGCAAGCTTCCTGTCACTCCTTGCTGAGGATTCTGTTCCTGACGAAGCGAGAGCCTCTAAAGTTGGTGGAGGCGAGGCACTTCGCCACCCAGCTTTGGCACCACCATCGCCTGTGTCATTCCAGTCACAAGTCTCCACTTTCACGGATGCTGTCAGCTGCGAGCAGTTTCTAAGAGCCAAGAAGACCGGGACTTCGCATAGACCTTGCGTAGCGAAGTCGTGGGCTAAACACCTCGGTCCCTCCATAGCCCAAACCAATGGTTGAGAGCCTTCCACCCTGCAAAGTTGAAGCTCGTAAGACCATAGGAAAATGGAGACAAATCGAACAAAACCTGCAATGACAGACGTGATGGCTTGCAATACGAAAATCCCGCTGACTACCCGCGGCTTTCTCGGTTATCATGTCGTCTTGTTGCCCAGTGATCAAAACTATATCGACAGTTTGATATCTAGCGTCCTGCTAGTGAAAACAGTAGTTGGAGAAATTAACAAAACATTCAAACGAAACGAAACCTGAGAAGTTTTTATCTGTACAATCTTCTCTTGCTGGTGAAAATAAGAAAGTGGACCTGAACTAATGTTGATTAGAGGCTCTTCGCTACTAGGAGGACCAAGTCTTACGGTACCACCTCCATGCTTTGTTTCCACATCCCTCTGCACAGTCACTACGACTTAAACAGCCAGATACGCAAAACGGAGCTTACCCGGAGTTGGAAGAAAAAGGAGGATGATTGCGTAGCAGGCAGCAACTGAGATGGAGAGACGGAAGATGACAGGAATGCAGCCTTGAGTGTTTCATCATTATCTGCTTGCTCCAACACCTGCGGCTGAACGGCAGAGAAGCACCAATCATCTCCGATACTCGATGCCTGTCGCAACCAGAAACTGTCGGAAGGATGTACATTTGCTACGTCCATTCGTAAAAGGTACTGGTCCAGCTTCACTGGGCAGGACGATATTCCCACGGAGACTTGTAGCGACGGAATCACCTAAAAGCAAAGCGGTAAACAAAAGAAGTCTAAATAACAAGAAGTCAGCTTTACCTGAACACTATGGACCATTCGCAAAGTCCGATACTTAAGGCTGGTAGTGTCTTCACACGGCTCAAAGTAGAGTACTGTCTTGAATGACACCTTTCCATCGTGGCTTGCATGCAACCATAACGGCCATAGGAATGTTGACACTCCTTCTAAAAAAGTTTTCTGAGACCAATAACGACGGTCAGGAGCTTAACTTCGTAGTTACGAGAGCACCAAACCTCCGGAAAGTGAAAAATGGAGCTACCGTGTTCACATTGGATGTCTTTTGGCTGCCCATCATTTCGCATTTCCAAACAATTTGGAAATTCAAGGTCCAAATCTCCTTGTTCGCCAAACATTAAAAACGCAGGATGGCTGGTTTTAAGTTTGATATTCTACAAGAACAACTCAAAGGTTACCCGAGTAATGCAAAGGAGAGAATGCAGACCTTAATAGAGGCCTGAGACGGATTTTGAATCTCTAATACAACACGTCGAACTTCTCCTCTGTTAATCTTTGGTGGTAGCTCATGCATTGATATCTCCAGCCTTGGCATGTGCTGCCCACAGTAAATCAGGAAAAGAAAATGATACTCGAAATATTACGTACCGCCACTACGTTGAACTTCAACCGCTTATGGAATGGTACATCTATTTTAGACTTTCTTGGCTTTGATGATTTTGATTTCCCTTGCACTGGAAAGTCATAACGACATTGCACGATTCCACAAAGGCCCCATTTAACTCCCACTACCTGCAGCAAACCTTCTTCGATAGGCTTCGTCTTCAAGCAAACCTGCACACGGGCATGAAAAACAGAAAAAAATAAATAAAATAAAAAAGTGACTAGCAAGTCTTACCTCCACCTCTTCTCCACCCTTGAGAGAAAATGATTCGTTTGAGAGAATCAACGAGGAGTTTTCACTGCAAAGTGCACACCTTGAAGAAAAATTCAAAGGAAAACGGCAACATACGGTTTTGAGCTCGTCATCTCTTCTGGTCCTACAGAGTCGGTAAGTAACACTAAAAGTTGATTCAGGAAATATCACCTCTCTTTTTTGGTTGAAACTCGCAAATAAGCTCCATAAGAAAGACTTCAATGGAGATTTGCAACGGATTGCTAACCTTAAGAAAGACACAAACATCCTCTGTCAAAAAGAAAATGTAAATAAATGTGAAATTCAATACAACCACAAGACTTACCTCCTGAAACGCACACGTTAAAATCCTGGATTTTCTTGTTAGATTTCCCTGCATCCAACCAAGTCGTAATTGGTGCTCCTGAGGACGGTGGAACAAGCTCCTCCTCTAAAAGGGCCCATTCCGCTTCCGGTACACTGGCCTGCAGAAACCTGCTTACAATATTCTGACATGAGAAATAGTTATCTTACAGCCATGGCGGAAGCATAGGTCCTGTGATCTTCAAAGCGTACATACACGTCATCGGAGCTTATTGCAGGCAACCTTACTCGTAACACCTCATCTTTCGTTTCCAAATTCTACCAAATCAGGGTGTTTAACAATGCAAATTAAAAGATAAACTTAAAATACCTGGACTGCATTGAGAAATTCTTTCAAGAACTGGGCTTGTGTCGGAGCAGACTGGTGACTGCAAGCCATGATGTTCATAAAATGTTGAACAGCAGCATCCACCTTCCCAAGAAGCAAGGATATCCTGAAAGCAATAATAGCCAGTTCAGTAAACTCATTAAAGCCTTTCACGTACCGGCCAAGGTAGACATTAACGTGATCGCCAATAAAATTCCAGCCTTGCCCATCGTATACAGCTGAGGCTCTCGAATAGGCACGTAGCGCGTGTTTTCTCTAGAGTAGTTGAAGGATAAGTCAAAGCCAAAATGCTGTTGCAATTTACCTGGCTGCTCATATGGTACCGGATACCTGCTAAAACAAGATGAAAACCGTACTTCCGCAGCATAGGTGGGACACAACGCAAGAAACAGTATGCTGACTGCTCTAACAATACTCCTGCTCGCAAAGTAGCATCCTTGTCCATCTAATTGGAAGTTTTAAAGCTTGTAAGCACGCGATCAAAACCAAACCTCTGTGCCCGCTCGAAAGAGGACGGATGCAGCTTCGGAATATTGAGCTCTCGTTTTATGCACTTCAGCCCACCACAAAGCTGTGCGCGTTGCGTACCTTATGGAGGGTGGGCCACAAGTCTAGAAAGGTAAAAACAGCTCAGAATATCAAATAAGACGCACAAAGCTCGTTACTTGATATGTTATGTAGGCTGTCTCTAAGGAGTTATCAGCTTCTTTTCTTGATTGGTCCAACAGGCATAAACAAATTCCAAGCATCTCCTGTGTGCATAATACATGTCAAGAATGAAATCACACAAAACTTTCAACTCACCATGACGCCGGCATATCTTTTCAGCGCTCTATCAGCTTTGTAATCGCTCGAGAGCAAGCGATAGTTTGATACCGCCAGATCGTAATCTTGCAACATAAAAGAGTAATCCGCAAGAACACGAATTTGTGATTCCACCGAATTGTAAGTATATCTGCCAATACACAAAAAAAAAAAAAAAGAGAGAGAGAGAGAGAAGGATGAGAGTGCTATTTATGTTTCGTCTTACACATTCCCTGAAGGAGTATCCGGGTATTCGGAGTCTTTTTTCCGCCACCAAAGATTTTTTAATTGATTCTTTAAGCCTCGTCGTGTAGCTGCCACCTGCAACCACAATCTGTTCAGTAGCAGCAAATTTTGCAGCAAAAACTTACCTGCTGATTCAAGTAACGAACTTTCTGTTCCATATACGGTATAATGTGCTTCTGGCACAAATCGATCACAAACCTTTGAATCTGAAACAAGAAATAGCCTCAGGAGAAATGTAGATGGCTTTCAGACAAGTACCTCATCGACATCATTAATTTGAAGACAGCATCCAGTTTTAAGATTGTCTGATATCTGCATGTCTCAAGTTATAGCCCAGAGAAGCATAAGCACAAAACATTTGCATACCTTATAACGCGGCATGCTAGAACTCCAGATATCTTCCACAGGGGAACCATTATCCAGTGGAGAAGAATTTATCCGGATTAAGCTGCAGTCGTTAACATCTAGTGTACCAGCAAAATTCTGAAGCATCTCATTTGCGCTGCCAGATACCAGACAACGCAAAAAATTACAAGATGAAGGTAAATAATTGCTTGAGACTTACCGATCAGAAGGCCCATCCTGGTTGTCGTGCAATACAACGTAGTGCCTGAGGATTCTTGGATCCATGGCACCATCCTTGAGCAACGATGGCAGATTGGTAACGTCTGACAGGCTAGCAAAGACGTCGAGGGGGTTCTCGTCGTTTGAAGAAACAACAAGCAGACCTGCAAGTCACACACTCGCCATGAGTCAGCTTACGTGATCGAGAATATCTAGGACTATACAAGCTACAGGGTGATCAAAAGCTTCGTGTTCAGAGAATGCCAGAGTCCGGGCAAACGCGGTACTGTACTTTTGGAACCAAGACAGTGTTGACTCCGACTGCATCGCTAGCAGAAACAACAAGCACAGAATAAGGAACTCAAAGAGAGAACAACTGGAACACAGCAAACCTCTGTGGACGGATTCAATACTGCTCTGAGCACGAAGATCGTCACCTTGGATCTCGTCCAGAGCAGCCTCATTCACCACATCAAGTAATTGCTGCTCGGCTAGCTAAGCAACGCAGAAAAGAAAAAAACATACATCATTCTTCACATGAAGAATGAATGAAAAGCTACCTCAATTGGCGTAGCTCGAATCTCCGAAGCGTAGAAGAGGCGGAGTCGAAACTCTTGCAGCCGGTATGGCGTCTCGCTCGCTGTCCGCACGGGTACTGATGGAATAATCAAGGAGGAGAGATCGGATTCATTCACATTCCACGAAAACAAGCACACTCACCATTGACGCGGTCGAGAAAACAGAAGGGGCGCAGGAGATCCACGAATCCGAGATTGTTCTTCCGGCATGCTGCCTCCGCGCGGGGCGACGCAAGCACCATGACCACCGGCGACACGCTCTGGAGCAGGATCTGGGACAGCAGCGACGCAGCGCCATTGCCAGGAGCTGCCGGAGCGGGAGGACTCTCCATCGAGAACCCTAAACCCGGTCCGATAGATCTCAAATTAAAATGTGGAGTGAAAGGAAAAATTCACTTTAACCATACTTTACTTCTTTAACCATGGTACAATGCTAGCGAGAGAGAGAAGATGATCCTCGCTCGATCTCTAGAGATGATCTAATCGGTCATGGAGTGTAGGATGATAGACACTGGTGTGGCGGCCTGGAGGAGAGCTTGCCAGCATTGAGAGGGCATGCCGATTGCGATGGCGGCGTGAGGCAATTGTATTGGAGGCAGAGGAGCGCGGCGGCGGGCAGCGCGGCATCAGGCGGCGATAGATCGAAGCCCGTCAGGAAGTTGTGCTGGAGATAGAGATTGCGAAGATTTGCTGAGAGGAGGCCATCCGCGAATTCCTTTGGGACGGAGCCCGTGAAGTGATTGTTGTTGAGGAAGACGTTCTCCGAGAAGGCTAGCATCGGTGGAATGGCGCCCGAGAGATTGTTGTAGCTCAAATCCACGCGGCTCATCCTCGCGGGAGATTCGATCGCCACAGGCCCCGACAAGTGATTGCGCTGGAGCTGCACAGACACGAGATTTGGATTGCTGCTCCACAGCAACGATGGAATGGCCCCGGTCAACTCGTTGGAGCTCAAGTCAAGCGTGGTCAATGCGCGGAGCGACGCCAGCGATGGAGCCATGGAGCCCGATAGCCGGTTGTTCTTGAGGGAGAGATAGGTGAGCGAAGCAGGGAGCGAGCGGGGCATCTCACCCGAGAGCTCGTTCCAGCCTAGATCGAGATGGGTCATGGAGGCGGAGGTGAATCGATCGGGGATTGGCCCCGAGAGCTTGTTGTGGGAGAGCTCCAGCGCGACGAGACTGGGCAGCAGAGCAATCTCGTGTGGAATGGCGCAGGCGAGAGAATTGGAGCTGAGGTCCAGCACCAGCAATCGTGTGAGGCTGGCAAAGCTGGCGGGAATGCATCCGGAGAGCTGGTTGTGGCTGATTCCCAGGAACTGGAGGCTGCTGCCCAGATTCTCGCCAATGCTGGATGGGAGCTCTCCTCGTACGCTGCCCGCCGTGAGCGTGAGTTGCTGGAGCAGGCGGAGCTCTCCAATGCGCGGGCTGAGCGTGCCAGTGAGGCCTGGCGATCCGGCGTAGCCGTCGCCCAGGTTGAGCATCACGACGTGGCTGCTGGCGCCGATGATAGTGCAAACGATCCCGGAGAAGCCGCTGCAAGGCTCGCGTTCGAAATCCCAGGTGGACAGGAAGGAGGAGCCCGGCAGATCCTTCAGCTGCTTCTTAATGTCGAGCAATGCATCGCGCTCATCCGGATGGAGCTGCTGCGCCATCACCATGTAATGGATCGAAGCGAGCATCAAAGCTCCCAATCCCAAGCGAAGAATCGAAACCTCTCTCACCATCTCTACAGTCGCGATTGGATTCTTCTTCTATGCTATCTTCTCTTTCTCTGGGCGACAGCGTTGCTACAAACTAGGCTGGGGCGAGATAGGCGCGTAAGCTTGCGCTTGTCTGGATGCTATTTACAATCTCTCCCAGCGACAGGACAGGGAAGAGATTTAACGGCTCCATGGCGTCCCAACGGATATCATATGAGCCCATTGAAGATGGGAATATTCGTGAGGCAGCAAGAGGCACGGATGCTCTTAAACCCTAACTTACGAGCAAGAGATGGGAAACAAGGACGCCGTGCACAACGAGATCCTCAGGCTCAAGAGGATCCTCTTTGAAAAGGTGAGCTTTTTCTCAGCTTCGCAGCTACCAGGCTACCATTTCTTTTCCAATCCGAATCGTCCCAGCTCACGGAGAGCACTGCCAATGCGGGAATCGGGCTCACCAATGTGTCCTTGACGCCGGCGCAAGAGCTGGGCCAGAAGATGCTCGTCGATGGAATGCCAAAGGCTTTTGTTGGTAAGCAAAGTGGTGATCGATAGATCTTTCTCTTGAGTTCTAACACGATTTTAATTCAAGAGTTTTTCGAGCTCACCACCACCTTGGAGCCCGAGCCGACCAACAAAGAGGACGAGGAAGCTGGCATCAGGTTCCCCATCGCCGAAGCTCAGAGAACGGTAGAATCGATCGAGCACCACCATTTTTCTCAAGACGCTCGTGCTTATCTTGTTGCAGTTTAAGAAGAAGGAAGTCCAGAGCGTTTTGTGCGGCCATCTTGTAGCAGCAGAGCGAGCTGCAAGAACAGGTAAGTCATGAAATCACATCGCCAAAGTATGAGCTAGAAAAATCTCTACGCAGGGAACAATGAGAAGCTGTTCATGGCATTGTCCGGTGTTGGAGCTCTGTTCGACAAGACGTGCTACTTCTCCACTGCGGTGGCCTACTTCGTGCGAGCTCTCGCCGCGGCCAGCAATGTGACGAGCACACGGAACACCTTTCACGTAGCACAGGTAAGCTTCTCCTCCTGTGGCAACCACCTGATTGATCATCCGGATTGTTCACATGTTCTACAGCAATGTTTAGGCAAAATACAACCTTGGCAAGATCTACTGGAAGGTGCGAAACAGTGGCGACGCCATCAGCTGCTTTGAGGATTGCTTGGGCCTCGCAAGCTTCATAAACCACGGCCAGCTCGTCGTCATGGCTGCAACTGAGCTCCTCGAGGTGACGCTTTCTTTCTCCACCTTGGTAGCTTAGCTCGTCTTAAATCCAGGAAGAAAACAGCATGGAAAAGCTTGCAGGTCTACTGGCATTGCGCCGAGGAGTGCCGACAAGAAGGCAACTGCAGACAGAGCATTTGCTACTTTGAAAAGGCAAGCCAGGAAAAACTATAGAAAAACTTTGGAGATGTGTGAATTTTTCGTCGTGATCACAGTGCGTGCGAGCTGCTGTGGCATGTAGTAATCCTGTTCAGGGAGGTGAAGCCAAGTACAACATTGGACTCGTATATGGGATGCTCAGGGAGACGCAAAACGCTGTGAAATACCACAACGAGTACATCGATTTCTCAAGGAAGATCAGGAACAAGGTACGCACAGCCATGCTTTAAGATTGTCTTTGAGATTTTTCTTCTCGCTCTCTCAGGCAGGAGAGTGCAAAGCTCACGCAGCTATGTCGGAAACTTATGAAGCCGCTGGCAATATATCTGCAGCTGTGCACCATCTCAAGGCTTACTTGCAAGCAGCGGCATTTCTAGATCCCGTCACTCTGGTATTCCATTCGTGCAAGCAATCCATGAGAGATTTGGCTAGAAATCCTTTTTTTTCGTGTCTTACTTGCAGGCCGTGGGACACTGTTTGCTCGGCTCGCTCTACAAGAGACAAGGGAATCGCGACGAGTCACTGGAGCAATTCGGGAAGTATTTTGCGATTGCTCGGCAGCTCAAGGATCCAGATTTGCTGGATGTGAGTCGCGTCAACATTGGAATCGCTCGGGAGCTCAAGCCCAAGAGGGTGTCCATTAGCCAGTTCATGCTGGGCGAGTGTTCCACATACTGGAGCCTCCTCTAGTAGCGGGGAGGGGAATATACGCTACCTACGGTGGAAGGGATATTCCCCCGCATTATTCCATTCGTTGTGCCAATGGGGTTGGCTATGGCGGACGCGGAGCTACGAATGATCCGGGATTTCTCACCACTCTCATGGTAAAGCCATGGCACAAATGCGGCAGCGTGCGTAGCTGCTTGGCGTTCGAGGGTTTGAATTGGAGCAGCGGGAGTTGGAGCGTCCAGGACGAAATTTCGGCAATGCAGATGATGATCCCACTCCACGGCCAATTCTGAGCGAGGATCGAGGTGGGCGGAGCTGCTGAGCTGAGCTGCTGGAGATGATCGAGGTCGATTGCTCTTCCTTCCCGGATCATGGGGTTATGGCTAATCATCCCTTGCAAGGTAACTCTAGAGCTTTTTTTTGTAGTTCTAGTCGCTCTATGGAAGCTCGAATTGATCATACGCTTGGGTGCATTGTAGAGGGTGATCAAGCTCTTGGTCCTGGAAGTAGCAATGGAGGATTTGCTCGAGTTGCGCTACGCGGGGCCAAGCGCGTGGAGCTGCCCATCCAGCACTGGCGCATCAACTTAATCGACTTGAAATCCAAGCTTTCCAAGATCTTGGGTCCCAGCAAGGAGAAAGAGTACTGCAACATCTTTAGCAGCTTTCTAAGCCACCGATTGAGCAAAGCCGAGCTCGACAAGAGGCTGCTCCAGACGCTGGGCAGCAAGGACAGCATCGTGCTCCACAACCAAATCGTCCGAGCAGTCCTTTCCAACGCAAGGTGTGGACAGCCGCCACCCCGCGGAGGGTCACTCAGACCAGCAAGCGATGATCCGCGCAAGAACAAATCGGACTACCACGCATTGCCTGCTGCCAAGCGGTTCAAGCAAAGCTCCGGCATGGCAGTGCTTAAAGTTATGGAGGACGAGAAGGAAGAACTGGACGAGGATGGCGAAGATAATGACGAAGAAGAGGAAGAAGTGCAAGCACCACTTGGCGTGCCTCTTTGTCGCCAGAGCGTGGGTGGCGCGTCGCAAAGATCATCCTCGCCTGTGTCGGTGGTGAGCAGCGCCGAGATGATGATCATGGAGGCGAGTGAATTGCCCGACGCCAGCAGCATGCAAACGCGAATGACGCGATTTGCAGCGGGGCTCGAGGTGGAGCACGAGTGCGCCAATCTCGTCAACCATGCGCTGGACATCCACTTGAAGCGATTGATCAAGGCTTGTATCCAAACGGGAAGGAGAAGATCGAGCAATCACCGGATCTCGGCTCTCGACTTCCGGGTGGCCATGGAGAATAGCAGGCAGCTCCTGGGAGGGAACTGGCCAATCCATCTCGAGACACTCTCGCTACTCGATCACCATTACTAGAGAGATCTTTACTGTTTTCCATACCATTTTTTTTACAACTTTTTCCACCTCGGTAGAGTTGGGTGCTGAGAGGTAAATTTACAAGAACTCGTCGAGCTCGCTATAAGTCAAGCACGACGAAGCAAACGATGAGAAAGAGGAACGAAAGGAAAGAACACCAACAAAAAGAGAGATGAGAGATCATGGTTTTTCTATGGATCGATCGTTCTTCGCCTACCGGGGCTGCTGGATCCGGGTCGACAGCGAGCCCTTCCTCATCTGCGCCGCCGCCAGCTTGGGAGGAACCTTGACAAGCTTGTTGCGGGGGTCTCGAGGAGCGTAGATCTTGGCGGCCGCCGGTGGGGGTGAAACCAGATCTATCACCTTGACGGCCCGGGGCGCGGGGCACAGATTCACATCTACAAACCCATCGCATGAAATCGATCAAAACCAGCGACAAGGAAGAAATCTCGTTACCTTGTTCTTTGAGGGTGTCCGCCTCGTCGAGCGCCCTCACATCCTCAAGATCCACGTCCTCGAATGACACATCCTCCTCGTCTTCCTCGGCGTAGTCGTCGAGCGTGGCGGACGCTTCCGAGACAACGCTCTCCCACTTCTCGCGGATCCAGTAATCGCGGAAGGCGGGCGTGCTCTTCACCAGATTCCACCACTCGGACGAGAAATCCTCGACGCTCTCGAAGAAGGAGGGGACGAAGTGGGGAGCGTCGGGGTTGAGCGAAGAAGAAACGCAAGGCGCCTTGACAGCCATGGCTACGAGCAATCTGACAAGCCCTACCTCGGGACAGAAGAAACCCAAAGACGATAAGCTCGACGGCTAGCAAATACAAACTGCACACGTGTGCCATTGTCCGCCGTCGATTGTGGGAGTGCAAGGGCTCGAATCCTGCGGCCTCGCGTAGAGCTACGCAAATGCAAAGCTTGCTAATGCACGGATCAAGAAACAAAATGCTTTGCTTGCTTGCTTGTTCCATGCTTGTTCTTGCTCGAGCACTCTGGAGAGCATGGAAGAAGCTCGTCTCCGCCATCACCACCATCGCGTCGCCCTCATGATCGTGCTAGTACTGTCAATCCACCACGCTCACTGCACCACTGTAGAGACGATTGTGTCTAGCGTCGTGAGCTATGGAGCCCGTGGAGATGGACGAACAGACGACACAAAGGTTCTCTCTTTCATAGAATGTGACGCGCCACGAACTTATATTTTTGGGAGTTTTGCAACTGACAGGCTCTGCTAGATGCATGGAATGCTGCTTGTAGCGGTGGTGGAGCGAGCAGGCGGTATGGATCCAGCAGCTATGCGTCCATGGTTCTTGTCCCCGGCGGCCGAACTTTTGTGATCTCGCCGGTGCAGCTCAGAGGTCCTTGCAAATCACTCATCACCCTCCAAGTAAATCCTTGTCGATCTCAGTCGCTAGCAATTCCAACTTTGCTCGAGTTATATATCTATAGGTGGCTGGAAACTTGGTCGCAAGCACTAGATTTCTCACGAGCGATGAGACAACTCGCGATTGGATTGTGATTCGGAAAGTTTCGGGACTGACGATCCAGGGCGGGGGCGTTTTGGACGGGAGAGGAAAACAATGGTGGCCCAAATCATGCAAATTCGACTCGACCCAAGTAAGTTACATCACAACTTCTACTTTCCATTCATCACTCACCATCTTGACAAGTTCTTGCAACTTGATCGATCGCATTTGCACGGCGAACTCGCGGAAAATTTAAATGTGGCCACGCGCGCCAGCCCTGTCACAGAGCTCCTACGGTACCGTATAATAACCTCTCTTCCATGATCCAATTTATAACTTGGGTGCTATGTACGTGTGTACAAACAGTCGCTCGTCCTTCACGACTCGGAGAGGGTCCTTGTCGACGGCTTGACCCTTGTCAACAGCCAACAGATCCATTTCAGTATATTTCACAGCAGCAACGTGACCGCCACCAATTTGATCGTGTCTGCCGCAAGAAAGAGCCCTAACACCGATGGAGTTCACGTCCAGGGCTCCAAGTTCGTCAACCTTGGCACCATCACCATAGACACAGGCATGCCAGCAAGCTTATCTTTCTTTCTTTCTTTCCCTTTCTCACTTTGTTTGCTTTGCTTGATGCTACGAATTATATCCAGGGGACGATTGCATCTCCATTGGAGCCAACACATCTCACGTCTCCATGCGTGACATTACGTGTGGAGCCGGACATGGAATCAGGTACAATTTCGATCGATGATTTTGCGCAAGATTTCAATTGTGATGTGATTGAAGCATCGGAAGCTTGGGAAATTACAAGAGTGCGGCATTTGTGTCCAACATCTCACTGGACGGGGCCCTCCTCGCCAATACAACCAATGGCCTCCGGATTAAGACATGGCCGGCAAGTGTATAGCATAGCTCAATTACGTGGACATTTACGTAGCCTCCATGCAGGGTGGCGCTGGCCTCGCTACAGGCATTAGCTTTCGAAATGTGCAGATGGACAACGTCAAGAACCCTATAATCATTGACCAGTTCTACTGCGACATGGAATCATCTCCACAGGGATGCGTGAGTACTCGACTTTAGAAAGTCTCGCCGAAATTTTTTTTATCTTCTTCGTTTGGTCGCAGGGAGAGGATCATGGAAGCGGCGTGGAGGTGCGAGACGTGGTGTATGAAAACATCAGTGGGAGCTCTGCCACCCCGGTGGGGGTCAAGCTCAACTGTAACCATCCTTGCACAGAGATCGTCATGAGCAATATCCGGCTGATTCAAACGAGAGATGGCTCGCCCTGCACTGCCGAGTGTAGTCACGTCTATGGAAGGGCCTACAATGCCACACCTCCTCCCTGCTTGCTTGTTTGAGTATGATCAATCTTGGTGGAGCTCATTAAAACTCTTGTGCTCATTATATGAAACGTGAAAGGATCGGGTCTTGCCCCGTGAATCTTATGACCCGCATCGACGGTCATCGTTCGAAATGCCCGAAGAGAAAATACCAAACTTGGCTGCCATGGTTTGCAAAACGAATGATTGCTCCTTCCACAAGCCTGAGCTGCCATAGAGCTTGACCATGAGCATGTAACCAGCCGAGTCCCTGGAGCCAATGTCCGACTCCACGAAGCGATCAAACACGGCCTTTCCCACCGCCACATTGTTCCACTTGCAACAGGCGGCCAGCAGCGTCGACCATGTCACTCCACTGGCGGTGAAAGGCATGCTGTCCACCAGCACCATTGCCTCCTCCAGACGGTTGGCTCGTCCCAGCGTGTCGATCATGCAGTGGTAGTGCTCAGCAACGGGCCCCACTGTGCTTTCACCGCCGGCACCGCGTACCAGCGCCTCGAAGTGTGACTTGGCCATCTCAACCAGTCCCGTGTGGCTGCACGCCGAGAGGATGGAGACGAGAGTGATAGCGTCGGGTTTCAAGCCTTCGTCTTTCATACTCTGGAGAGCACCAAGAACTCGATCGCTCTCTCCTCGAGCACAGTAGCCTGTCATGAGTGCGTTCCAAGTGATGACACAGAACGACTGCTGCGTGCTGTCGAAAACTTGCTGCGCGTCCAACGCAAGCCCGGACTTTGCATAGGCGTCCACCATGCAAGAGACGAGCACCGCGTCACCGATGTCAAGCAGACCATCTCTGCACAGCACGGCATGGATGGACTTGGCTAAGGTGGCCGCGCTGCAAGCACTGCACGCCTTGAGAGCAGCGGCATAAGTCCGTGCGTCACACACCTCCCGGTGATGATGCTGCAAGTGTGCAAACAGTCCGAGAGCCACCTCGCTCTCCCCGTTGCCAGCGTAGCCCAGTAGCAGCGAGTTCCAAGACACGATGCTGGAGCACAGCATTGTGTCAAACACCCTGCGAGCGTCCACAAGGCTCCCACACTTTGCGTACATATCCAGAACGCTGTTTGCCACCTCGTATCCACGCCTGGAAGCTCCGCAATGCAGTTCCATCCCTTTCTCCAGCGACCTCAGCTTCACACTCGTCCCGTCCTCAATCTGCGTCGCTTCTTCTCCGGATGAAAGGCTCGCGCAGGCTTTGAGAGCTGCCGTGTATGTTACATGGTCTGGTGTTCCAGCGGCAGCAAACACCTCCAAGGCCAGTTTTTCCTCCCCGTTTTCGGCATAAGCTTGAACTAGAGAGTTCCACGACACCATACTGTGTCTTGGCATGCTGTCGAAGACCATACGGCTGTCCAGAATGCTTCCACACTTTGCATACAGATCCACCAGAGCGTTTGCAACAAATGTGTCACCGTCACAGCCAAATCTTCGAGCCCGAGTATGAATAGCCATGCCTCTCTCGAGAACTTCCAGCTTGGAAAGTTTGGATCCGGCTGCCAGGCTCGAGCAGGCTTTCAGAGCCGCAACAAACATTGGAGGATCTGGCGTAATATGGTTCTCCGATTCAGCCAGGAGGTCTAGAGCCGCCTCCGCTTTCCGGCTCTCGACATATCCCAGAAGGAGCACTGTCCACGAGATAGCATCCCGGCGTTTCATCTTCTCGAACACCCTCACCGCGTCCTCGACGCTCCCACACTTGCAATAAGTATCCAGCAGAGAGTTCGCCACGAAAGGCTCCCGATCACAGCCGCAGCTTGCAGCTTTCCTGTGGACTGAACTGGCTCTCTGCAAGCACCCTGACTTGACCATCCTGCCATCGACTAGCGCTCCCTTTTCAGTAGCTGCTAAGCTCGAGCATGCCTTGAAAGCAGCAACAAAAGTTCTTGCATCTGGTGTATATCCCCTGTGTTGCATGGCCTCAAAGACCTCCAAGGCAACCTCTTCCTGGCCATCTTCTACGTATCCCAATATCATGACGTTCCAAGACACCACAGTCGGGCAACTCATTCTGTCAAAGACCTTCCTGGCCTCGGTGACACTTCCACACTTTGAGTACATGTCGATCAAGCTGCTTGTCACGTAAGGATCGGTGTCTAGTCCCTGGCTTGCCGTCTGCGAGTGGATGGCCATTCCCAGCTGCAAGGACTTCCATTTTACGAGCTTCCTATCGTTGAGAGAGTCCAGAAAGCTGACAGTGCCTTCCTCTTCCCCAGCAATGCTGCCACAAGCCTGGAGCGCTGCCACGAACGCTCGAGCGTCCGGAACACACGAGCCTTGGGTTTGCATGCACGAGAAAAGCTCCAGAGCAAGCTCGCCGTCTCCATTGTCGATATGGCCCAGGATCAAAGCTGTCCACGACACCAAGTCGTGGTTCTTCATCCGGTCGAACACCCTGCGAGCGTCCGCCATGCTTCCACACCTGCCATACAAATCCATGAGTGAGCTCGCCACGAAAACATCCAACTCACAAGTTCCTTTGGCGCTAGAGTGGAGAGCCATGGCATCGTCCAATCCCCGGAGTTTGATGCCTAGACTATCTCGAGTTTCCTTCGCTGCTCGCAAAGTGATGGCCTTGACCGCTGCCAGCAACGTCCTCGCATCTGGAGTAGCACCTTGTGATCGCATGAAATCGAAGAGCTGGAGAGCTTTCTCTTCTTCCCCATTCTCCACGTAGCCCAGCATCAAAACATTCCAGGCGACCACCACATTGGCAGAACCGTGTGCCAGTCTCATGCTGTGGAAGGCATCGCGCGCAGCAGCCAGGCTTCCACACCGAACATACATCTTGACGAGAATGCCGGAGAAGTAAATGCTGCTGCTCCATGCCTCACACTGGCTCGCATCGGCGTGGATCTTACTCCCCAAATCCACGTCTCTGGAATCGCCAGCCGCTTCCAGCGCCGCCAATGCGATGCCTAGGCTATTCACATTACCGGTGCTGCTGTGCTCTGGCAATCGACGCTTCAGGCAGCCCGCGATCCAGAAGCGCCGCGCAACCGGGGATCCACGCATTCATTTTTTCTTTTAGGGTTCTTGGAAGACCACTTCCTTTATTATAACCAAAGCAAAATCCAGCAAGAATGTGCACTATAGCGTTTGTTCAATTTTTCCGCGACAAGAATAGGCCACAATGGTAGTAGCGAACTGCTCTTTTGCAACCTCTGGGAACAAGTAGATGAACGATTGCCAAGACAAATTCGTTTCTCCTTCAAGTCTTCGCTCTGGAGGCTGAAAATGAAACGACGGGAGTAAGCCCATGCATTGTCTGTCCTTTTTGTTTTACGAATGCCGATCTGGCTCCTTAGCTACAATAGAAAATGCAAAGCTCTCCTTCGTGAGAGCATTCACTCTTCATTACCGCCACTGCCTTCACTATGCAATTTCGCAGTTTGTTGTTTCCAACATAGCTAAACATCATCTCTGCACACTTCTGACTTTCATCCTCTAACTTCCTCATCCCTGAAGTGGAATTCAGAGACATATCGACCAAGCGTTTCACTGGGTCCCTGGATGAACCTGAAAAAGCAAGTTTAACCGTGGATCCTGTCAATATAACACAAAACTCTGCTGGAGATTGTGATCCAGTCGAGCAAAAATATCGTTTCCATGCCTCAAGCACCTGTGAACAATATGGCAAGCGATGAACAATGGTTCCTGCACTCCTGGACAACGTTCCTTTCTCCTTCACCCACAGCTCAACAACTTCGTTTGAGTGCCGAAACATTTTCAGGCATCTTCTTCAGTAATGCTTCTTTTACCACATTCCCACTTCTGACAGTAATATTGTAGTAGCAGCATTAGACCTGTGTTTAGGGTGAACAGCTATGTTGCAAAGAGTTGCTTTATTTGCTTTACTACTGGTCCCGCCAAAGAATGCCATGACGGGGTCGCGGCCGGGTTGAAAATCTTTGCCTCGGGGAAAAGAGTCCTGGGCGCAAATGCAGGCTGTGACTGTGCTTGTGCACATCCGGCCCTTGATCGGAGAGGAGCGATCGCAAGGAAACGATTGCGTGTCTGTTGTTCCTGGAGAGCCGCAGGTAAAATCTTCTTTAGGAAGTTTCGATCGATGTCTTTCTTTGTTTGATCAGGTCCTTGCTGGGGAGCATCGTTTCACGTTTGATCGAGTCTATGGAGGCGGTGGAACTGCGCCGCCGTTTATCTTCGATCAATGCGTTCTACCGCTCGTGGAGGGATTGTTCCAAGGTTACAACGCCACCGTCTTTGCCTATGGTCAGGTGAGTGCTCCTTTCTTCTTCTTTTGTGAGCTCGTTTTTCTTTGTGTTTTTCTCTAGACTGGATCTGGAAAGACATATACAATGGGGACAGGATACGGCAGCAAGGAGGGCGTTATCCCTCGAGTCATGGACACGCTCTTCCAGAAGATCGACGCTTTGAAGCACAAGGCGGACTTTCAAGTCCGGGTTTCTTTTATCGAGGTGAGGTGATTGCTGTTTTCTCTTTCCGACATTCTTCAGTTTTTCAAAGAACAGATTTTCAAGGAGAACGTGAGAGACCTCCTCTCTTCAAGCTCTTCTGAGTCTCATATAAAGATTCGAGGGACTGGGAGTGCAGGTGTTTTTCTCACTGGCGTCACCGAAGTGGACGTGAAAAGCTCGCAGGAAATGACTGCTTGCTTGGACAAAGGCTCGCGGTGTCGAGCGACAGGCAGCACAAGCATGAACTTGCATTCAAGGTCTCGTTGGTGCAAATGACCGTAGAATGTTTCTCATAACACCTCACGCTGTGCATGCGCAGCCGATCCCATGCGATTTTCACCTTAAACGTCGAGCAGCGTCCCAAACTGAGTGGTGATGCGTCACGAGCTACAGTCGATATTCTCCGTGCGAAGTTCCACCTGGTCGATCTTGCCGGCTCCGAGCGAGTAAAGAAAACAAGAGCTGACGGGGATCGTTTCAGTGAAGGTAAACGTTCTTTCTTCGCATAACACAAATCAAGTTTGATGTGATGCAGGTGTGCATATAAACCGTGGCCTTTTGGCGCTTGGCAACGTGATCAGTGCTTTAGGAGCTGACAAGAAACGAGGCCATGTCCCGTACAGGGATAGCAAACTTACACGCCTCCTACAGGTAAGATTTGAGAAGCATGACGTGACGTTGTGGTGATCGATTGTTTTTGGATGCAGGATTCACTGGGTGGGAACACCCACACTACCATGATAGGTGAGTGAGTGGAACCTCACTTTTTCGTTCTCCTTACTCGATGTTTAGCTTGCATTAGTCCGGCCGCTTCAAATGCGGAGGAAACTCTGAACACGTTGAAGTATGCCAATCGTGCACGCAACATCCAGAACAAGCCGGTGGTATGTCTTCTCATGTTGTATATTACATCTTCTATCCACTCCTGACGTTTTTACTGTGACAGGTTAATCGTGTAGTTGCTGAGATCCAAAAAATGCGACAAGAAGTAGAGCTGTTAAAAGGAGCAAATCAGGTAATGTCTTTTTTGGTTTCTTTGGCTGCTGACCGAGTGTGGCGTTGCTGCAAACTTAGGCTCTTGAGCGAAAGGTTGACCTCCAAGCAAAGGAGCTGGACTTTCAGGCAATGGAGCTGGACGAGGCAGCAAAGCGAGAAAATGTAAGCTTTTTCCTCATAGTGGTGTAACTCTTGACAAACTAATTTGTGTTTAGATTCTGGAGAAGAAGTTAAGCTTTCTAGAGCAAGAGCTACAAGACGTCAAGGAAAGCAAAGCATTCCACGTGCCAGAGAATCAGCAGAGTGTAAGTCGTCTTTGTATCTCTGCCAACTTTGAAGGTGATTTTTGGTATTGTAGGCTGGTCAAGAAGTGGTGGAAGTGATCGTGAAGTGGGAATCAAACGGAGAGCTTATTGCCATCATCAGTATTGGAAAGAGAGCCAAACTTTCGGAGCTACGAGCCCAGGTCACTCCAAGAGTTCCTCGTGTGAAGCGGGGTTTTACTTTCATTTTGTGTGAGGGACCTGTCGGCCAAGATCTGGAAGATCAAATCCGTGTGGTATCGTTCAAGAACGACACTGGCGCTTTCGTTGTGGTGGTTCGTCCCCCAGCAACGCGAGGTTTTGCAAGCTTGAAACGAACCCCGCTCGTAGAAGTGACCAAGAATGACGAGCCGGTGAAGCTTGTGAAGACGAGCGCTCCGAGAAGAGAGAAAATCTCGCTGGCCCAGAGAGCCAAGATGAGCGTCGTTGATGATATACTAGCTAAGCTTCACTAGGTGATTATAACTTTGATGTTCTGTCATGCTCCAAGTGGACTACTGGTCACTGCAGATCTCGAAGATCATCTTCGCATTTCAAGTCCAACCACAGGCTCAAAGGATTGGTATGCGTCTCGGCTGAGAAGTTGTCACGGGTTAGATGAAGGTAGAAGCATCCATGCTAGCATTCGTTCCAGCGGCCATGGTGGAAGCCGTTTCCTGGGGAATCTCCTGGTCCAGATGTATGGTAAGCACGGTAACTTCGATCTCGCGCTTGAAACGTTCAGCCACATTCAAGAGCCAAACGTTTTCTCTTGGACCATCTTGATTGCAGCATTTGCCCGGAATGGCCATTACCATCGGGCATTTGAGCTCCTGTGTAGAATGCAAAACGAGGGAGTGACATTCAATGCGGTGACAATCTCGAGCGTGTTGACGGCTTGCAGGGACATCAAACAGGCTCGAGAACTGGAAAGGCTGGCGGCAGTGGCTGGTTTTGGGGGCGAGGAGAGGATACTTCGCAGCCTCATCCATGCGTATGGAGAATGTGGTAGTGTGGACGATGCTCGGGAGGTTTTTGACGCCATGGAAGCCGCTGGAGACCTTGTCTCTTGCACGGCTTTGATGGGAGCGTATGCTCGAAACGGGTATAGTGTGGAAGCTCTGAGGCTGTTCCAAAAGATGAGCTTGGAAGGCGTCAAGCTCGACAAGATCAGCTTTGTGAGCGTCATAAACGCATGCGCTTGTGCTAGAGACTTGCGGCGAGGTAAGCTCTGTCACGAGCTCTTGAGACAATCTGGTTTGGACACTGACTTGACTTTGCAGAACACTCTCCTGAGCATGTATGGGAAGTGTGGAATGCTCAACGAGCTGCACGAGATGTTCTGCATTATAGAAGCTCCAGACGCTGTCTCCTACAACTCGATCATCTCAGCTCTTGCTCATAACTCCCAGCCTAGGCAAGCTCTCTTTTTCTTTCGGTGCATGCTGCTTGACGGCAGTCTACCAAGTCTAGTCACATTCATCTCTGTCGCTCACGCTTGCGGGTGCATAGGTGATTCTAGGCCAGCTGCAGTTATCTGTTCGCTGATTCGAGACTGTTGCGGAGTCACCACCAGCGATTCGGTTTTGAGATCGGCTATAGTTGCAATGCATGGAAGGTGTGGGGACGTGGAAGCAGCAAGGGAGGCTTATGAATCTTACGCAAAGGACGAGCTAGGCTGCACGTCAATGTTTGCTGCGTACGTTCAAAACCACAAATTTGGTCGAGCTCTGGGCTTGTTCCGACGCATGCAGCTCGAAGGCATTAAGCCCAACAAGGTAACCTTTCTCAGCGCTCTCGATGCATGCAGCAACACTGGAGATGCTTCTCAAGCTAAAACTGTCCATGGTTGTGTTGTTGACGCAGGATACGAGACGGACCACGAGATTGGGAACGCGAGAATCAGCATGTACGGGAAATGTGGGAGTTTGGAGCAAGCCAGAAAACTCTTCGACATGAAAACGTACAAGGACGTGCTCACTTGGACAGGAATGGCGGGAGCTTATGCACGTAACAAGGAAGAAACTCAAGGTCTGAAGCTCTTTAAGGAGATGCAACTCAACGGGATCAAGCCGAACAAGGTAGCGTTTGTGGTGGCATTGGATGCCTGTGCTAACTCGGGCAGCAGCTTCGTTCTGTCGCAAGGGAGGAGACTTCACGAACAGGTTAGCGAGAGCGGGCTTGAAAGGGACACTGCAGTGGGAAACTGCCTTATAAACATGTACGTCAGCTGCGGGAGCTTGAAAGACGCAAGGACGCAGCTAGAAAAGATGGAGAACCAGAAGAACTTGACTTCGTGGAACACGATGGTGTGTGGACTCGCCAGGAGCAGCGGGCACGAGGAGCAGGCTCTGGACCTGATTTCCCTCATGGACTTGGAGGGAGTAGCACCCGATGTCATCACCTTTTCCAGCGCTCTCGAGGCTTGTGCTAGCACGGCAGCTCTAGCTCGCGGCCAGATGATCCATGCTCGGATTGTCGAGAGTGGTGATGCGCTCGATCTTCACACGAATTTGGTTCTGGGGACTTGCCTCGTCAACTTATACGGCAAGTGCGGCAGTCCAGGGAGAGCAAGACAGGTGTTTGAGGAAATTCGTAGTAGCGGCGACACCGTCTTGTGGAATGCAATGATCGGAGCTTATACTCGGCACGGGCGTGTCGGGGAGGCAGTGGAACTGTTCCAGGCTTTAGTTGTCGAGGGCGTTGCTCCAGACAAGGTGACCTTCGTCTCCATCCTGGCTGGCTTTTGCCATGGCTGCCATCAGCAGGAGGAAGCTGCGGCCGCGGAGCATTTTCTTCTTATGAACGAGTTCATGGTTAAGCCGGGAGCCGAGCACTTCACTTGCTTGATCGATCTTTTGGCGAGGAAAGGGCGGCTTCTTGAGGCCGAGGAACTGCTCAAGGCAATGCCGTTTCAACCCCAAGGAATCAACCTGGTGTCGCTCTTGGCCGCGTGCAAGCGCTACCAGGAGGTCGAACGAGCCGAGTCGACAGCCGAGTTTATCATGAAGCTTGATCCAACGCAAGCACCGGCTTACGTGCTCTTGTCCGATGTGTATGCTGCTGCTGCCTAGAGAAACCATCGTGACGTCTAGGAATTTCAGATCTGTGTAAATCACGTAAATCTCTCACAAGGCAAGGTGTCTGACCAAGTTACAATCGAATATTCAGGGAAAAGATGGCCACTGGGTTCCAGACTTCGCATAGAGGAATAAAAGGCAGCCATGGAAAGGAAGAACCTCTTCCTCCAGCTGCTTTGAAGCAACCTGGAATCCAGGATTTCAAGGATGAACACTGGGACATAGTAGATCATCTAGTAGATTGAGAAGTCCATTTTGAAAATATTACGGTTGATAGCTTGGTACATGATACTTGTTCAGCCTTGCTTTTACGAATCAGCCGAAAAGAGTTCTTCAGGGCGACGCCCTGTTTGTTTTGAAAATAATCATCCATGAAAAGTTGTTGATTATCAGATCGAAGACCGGATTTGTTGGCAAAGGCAGAATAGCAAGGGACGCTCGTTGTCAATATCATAAGTGACATGCTACAGAATGAAGATTTGCCACAACATGGTCATTGAAAAATTGCATCCTTGCTGAATATCAGGAGCCTTTGCCTCAGTTGCAAGTGCTGAGCAATTAGGTGTTCAAGGTGTCTTTGGTCTAGAATTTCCTTCTTATGGGGCGTGTTCAAACCGACTGCCTGTTTATCATTCAGCCTCAGGCACCGCCTTACGTGCTCTTGTCCGATGTGTAATCTGAGCTTCCTTCTAGAATCATGGTGGCCAAAAGCAAGACCATGTATAGATTAAAAACTTCACCCTCTCCGTTTGCATGCACGCTACTATTATAAGAGAGGCCAGTTTTCAAACTTTCATACCGTTAGCTTGCTGGGAAAAAGAAGAACACAAAGGCTGGTACAAGTTTCAAAAGGCGCCCCTGGATACATTATTGATTGACTTGCAAACAACGGGAGACCGGAATGTCGAATCGAATTCAAATAGACAAAAGAATTCGGGCTTTTGCAGCTGGTAGATTAGAGAAACGGTGGAAATTGAGAGAGGAAGACCAGGGAGATAGACAAGAATGTAAATCGGTCGTCATGCATGCAACGCTGCTCAGGCTGCTGCTCTGCTGACAAATTGAAAACATAATCAGTAAGGTTTTTAGTGTGTGGGTTGTCCCGAGCGTCGTGTTTTAAAACGCGTATGGTTCGGATGAAATATATCATCAGGGCTGCTGCTGATGTTGGTGTAGAGGCGAAGGACTGAGCACCGAAGCTGGATCGGAGAGAAGATGGTGGTGGTGGTGGTGCTGCTGCATATCATGAGGCGGCGGAGGAGGCGGAGCAGCAGCGCCACCACCAGCACCACTACCTGGACCGGGTGGAACGTTGGCACCACCAATAGATGAGGAGGAGGGACTGCCGAGAGACGACCTCTTTCCAAACGTATGCTTGTTGTTGTGCATCCACACCTTGAGGACGTGCCGCTTGACCCCGACCTCGGCACAAAAGTGCTGCACCGCCGCCTCGTCATGCTTCTGGATCCTCCACCCCACCTTCTCCGCAAACATGTACATCTTCTCCTTCTGGTCCATGCTGAACTTGGTCCGGAACCGCTTCTTCATGCTCAGTGGCGACATGTCGTGGTGATCGCCCTCGCCCCGGCTGCTCAGCGCCAACAGGCTCATGGGGGCGTTGCCTGTTCGTGGCCCCAGCGACGCCGCCGAGGATGCTGCAAGCGGCAAGGCGGAAGCAGTAGCAGCAGCAGTATTGCAAGTGGTCTGTAGTGCGCTTGGAGTGTGGCCACCACCTTGCTGCTGCTGCTGCTGCTGGAGAACACCAGCAGCGATGGCGGCGGCCTTGCGGTTGCGTTCTCTCCTGTTCATGTGGCAAATGTCGCAGACGAGGGGCTCGCCTTCCACCTCGCGCTTGTGGAAGTTGCGGTGGCAGTCGCAAGCGGCGCACTTGAGAGCCTCCATGGTGCCTTCCTCGCCGCAGGGCATGAATTCGCCGCACCCGTCCAGCGCATGGCCGCCGATGCTGGCCGCGTGGTTCTTGAGACACTCGCGGTAGTGTACCGTCTTGGATTTGGCGCCGCCGGCGCCGCCGCTGCTCTTCCCAGGCGGCACCATCACCAAGCTGCCGATTTGCTGCTTGCCATCGTCTCCTTCTCCTCCTGGCATCCCGTTTGTGGGAGTGCTTGCGAGCCTTCCCACCAGCCTGTCGTGGAGAGGTGGAGGAGGAGGCTGTGGTTCCTGACCTGGCGGCGCTGCTGCAAATGCAAGAGCGTCACCTCCAGACTCGGCCTTGAAACTGTCGGGCTGCATCGATGCTAGAATCCGCGAGCCACCCAGGAGCATGAACACTGCTCGACAGAGAAAGAGCGAGCGTTGTTGTGGCCGCGCCGCCCGTGGCGAAGCTAGTTAGGAGAGCTTACTCCTCCCTCGGACTGGAAGCAGCATATATAGCGCATCTGTGTGTGGTTGTGTGTAGAATTCCGCACCGCTATTTTCTTCAGCTGCCGCTACCGCATTTACCCGGTGACGAGCCCTGCCTCTTCTTCTTGCAGCCGCCACCACGACGTTGGAGATCTGCTTGGTTCATCACCACCACCCTCTCGGATCCGGATTGGCGGCTGCTGCTGCTGAAACACCACGATTCCTCCGTCGCCGCTGCTGCTGCTCCAACACCACACTGGATGCCTGCTCCATAAAAACCCCATTCATGAATCAGTTAGTGCCCGGCTTTCTAAAGAAATCTCCCTCTCTCTTCTCTTCCTCGAGCCCTCTAGAGCTCTCCCTCTCTTCTCTTCTAACGCGTTGATCCTCTTGACACATTCTTATACTTGGAGGAAAAGGAAGGAAAACTACAACAGGAAACTGTGGCCGGGGTAAAAGGAAGAACCTTTTGCTTCTACCTAAGCTAATGAACATATTGATCGATCATCATCATCAAGAGATTCATGGGAAGCGTGATCAAGGAGAAGTTACCGACCTAGTAGCAATGCAGCAGCCGTAGCAGCAACAGCGGTCGAGAGGAAGATAGAGAGCGAGAAAGAGATGGATGAAGCAGCTGCTTCGAGAGAAAGAGAGAGAGATGGGGAGGATGATTTCAAGAGAGATTAGAGCTGGAGATGAGAGGCGAAGAGGAAAAGAAGTGATTTGAGGATGAAGACAGCCTGCTGCTGGCCATGGGCTGCTGCTGATGCAACAACAACAATGACCACTCCTCGTTGTTTCGTCGGAGCACAAATCCAAAAGATGCTTCTTTTGTTCCCGTGTGTCAAAGATAAAAAGGAAAAAGAAAGAAAACATAAACCAAGCTTTTTTACCGCGCCATGTGTACATTCATCGGACAGCCGAGTTGCTCGCTTCAAGCATTGCCATGAGAGAGAGAGAAAAAAAAGAGGAAAAGAAAGCAAGCAGACGAAATGATCCCTCCTCCTGACTCACGGGAGAGAGAAACACTGGTAGTAGTACCACAGACATTTAAACAAGTTTACTTAGCTGCGTCAAAACCATAATTGGTTGCCATGATAAAGCCATGGCAAGCAAGCTCCATACCATGGGTGTCCGGAGCTCGATTCCAACTCGCCTCCCCACCAAAAAATACCGTTAGCATGGAAATCACTCCCTGCATTTTCTATACAGTTTGGCATTATTGTTCTGGCTTCATGTCGAGCTCGTTTAGTTGCAACATAACGTACTCAAACCGCAAAAACAACCCTTGGCTGGCTTGGTGTGTGAGGCCCGTCAAAGATTAAAGAGAGTCAACTCCTGGAGATGGTATACACAGTATGTAACGCGTCGAGCTCTTTGATTTTTTGTTGTAAAAGAAGAAACTTGTGGAAGAATTACATGTAGTTGTAGTAGTAAGAGAAAGGAGTCGGGCTTTTAGTCCGTCCGTGGGCGCGCGTACAACGTTCCTCTCGTGGGTCCCGGGCGCCCCGTGAGCTTCTGCCAAGCCAAAGCCACCCCACCACCAGCTTTGCATTTGCATTTACATTTGTCAAAGAGCAAAACAAGCACAAAATCACAACACTGATCAATCATGGCATTCATGAATGGAACTTCGCTCTTTTGCTGTTATAAAAAGTTGGTGGCCTATTTAATGAGGGGCTTGACATGCCATGGCATGGTATATACAAGTTACAGAGCATGGATTCCAGCAGCTAGTGGTCCATTCCATTCCAGAAAGAGTGAAGAAAGGATCACAGGGTCTCCTCCTCTCAACTTGTGCTGAACATTTTCTTAAATGCTGGGTGAGTAAGCCTGTGAGTAAGTGAGTGATCTGCACGATTCAGGAGGCAGCAGCAGCAGCAAGCAGGGCAGCAGCAGCACTTTTGCTTCTTTGCTGATTTGATTTGAAATGATGATGATGGAGTGACACCATATATATATATATATATATACACATATATGTATATATACTAGTAGCCATGGAGGAAGTGCTTGTTTGTGGACCCCTCTTCCTGAATCACTGCCCGTCCCGTTTCTATCATCACTCGTTGGAAGCAAAAGCATTTGAATTGAAGCGAGAGTCTATGTGTATGTGTGTGTCATTCCACTGAGAGCAGCTGCCCTTTATAAGTTTTTGGGGAGACTTGCTGGGGACTTGCTTTCTGCCGCTGCTGCTGCTGCTGTTGCTGGGCTGCTGAGCACTGCTGATGCTGTGTTGGCGGTGTCGGTGTCTGTATGTGTGCTGTGCGGTGTGGTTTGTTGTTGCTATGCTTTCATAAATCACGGGTAAGAAAACAAACAAGCAATCCGCCCCTGCAACAACTGCTGCAACAGCAACAGCTGCTCCTCCTCTATGTAAAGTGCACCTCTATTACAGCTCCTCTTTACATTCCAACCAAAGAGTGGAGAAAAGAGTGTATAATTGTATGCATGGCACTGCATGACAGGCATCACACCATACAAACAAACAAACCATCGATTTATCTCATCACGGGGTCCTCTCGCCTAGTAATTACCCATGATCCACTACAAACAACGACACAAACAAGAGCAAGATATCATCTTCTAAGCCAAGCTTTAAATTAATTTAGTCCACCTTCGTCTGTCTTCTCTCTCTCCGCTTGTTTGACCGCATTTACTAGTGTTCCTGGTGTCTGTGAGCTAGTGTCTGCGAGCGACTTCACTTTATAAATTTTTTTCTAGAACCCAGCAAGGTACATAGAATATTCTGGCTCTTGAGGCCAGTGCCAAGGATGGATCATGGATGGATGGAGGGAGCTCTTAGAAACTGTACAGTAACCAAGTAGCCGAGAAGGAATGATATGATGACCCACAAGAACTCAAGCGTGGTGTGTTGGCCACTGGCTAGCTAGCTAGGCTAGCTAACTTATTCTTTAAACTTGAAAGTGGAAATGGATCGATCGAGATGGATGCATGGATGAGTGGATGGATGGATGAATGGATCGAGAGAGATCGATGGCTGCAAGATCCAAGCAAGTGAGCTATACATAAGCTACGCGTACAAACAAACCACCAAAAACGATCAAAGCGTATTGCACGCGACCTGGTGTTATGACAGACGTGGTGGTACCGTCAGGACGCCGTATGGCTCGACCGATAAGTACCGGACGGACGGAGGAGACTGAGCAAGCACAGGCAGCCCCCGGCGCGTGAGGCCGGACGGACTACGACACTCGTCGATTCGGTCCGTGAGACAAGCTCCCTCCCAAAAAGCATTTGTATTTACCTTTCTTTCCTTGGTGAGCATGGCGCACTAGGATCATTGCTATTGCCTCCGTGACCGCCGGTCGTATGGATCGATCCAGCATTTGTCGTCCTTCACAGCTGCCGTCCACCTCTTCTTGAACAGCCTCATTTCAGCCTGGGCACGCCTCCTTATCTGAAACAAGCAAACGCCCCGAGTAAGTGGCGGAAAGGTAGGCAAGACAAAAAATTTCTTGCACTGCTGCACAGACTCACCTCCTTTCTTGCGTCAACTCCCGACCCAGCAGCCGGCTGCACGACGAAGTACCACGGTCAGCTACAAAAGCAGCAGCGATTCTAAAAAGGGAGCGGGCGGGCGACTTACCGGAGGAGTATGGTCGTCGGCGGAGCTCTGCATGAATCAGGTGAGGTTAGAGAGACTTTAATATCAGATTCTGACCTTTTTTATGGGGATGACTCCACCACCGAGCGATGGAATGCCGCGGTGTATGAGATACTGAGTGTCGACAACGCCAACATTCCTAGTTGGATCGCCCTGGAAAACGCTCTTGAGAATCACAAACAAGCACATTTACTGCGACAGACCTCCGCACAGTAGCCGAGCTTCATATCCATGCCCCATCCATGAACGAGGTCGTTCTAGAGCAGCACAACATTTTTCGGAATCAAAATTACTCTCTGGTCCCCCACGAAATTAAATGGCCAGCTGAGGTACCTGAATGAGATGCCAGGCACATCGCCATGCAGAACGACTAAACACGGGAGCCATCATCTCCACCCACCTACATAAACAGCGGACGAATAAAGAAAGTTTATACCAGCAGCCCCCTTACAACGCCAGTACCCTGTACATGGAGGTTGTGTACTGTTGTTGCCACAATACTCTCTTCCCCGATTCATGTAGATCCTCCTGGAAACAAGTGAGAAGGCGTGAGTTTTCCAAACACCAAGTCCCTGTCCAATACTCACCGGTGGACCCTCGTCTTCTTGTTCCGGACAGTGATTCGGTGATGGACTTCGGACGAGAGGGATGGATCCAAGGCCGGTTGAGATATCTGCAGCCCTTCTTTCCTCACGATTTCGAGGTATCTGGAAGCAAACAAACTCATCACTTGTCTTGAAATCCAAAAGCGAATAATAATCTAGCGAGAAACCTGTCTGCTCGGAAGTGATCTACTCCGAGGTCTTCATCCCACACAAAAATAAACTCGTACGCCGAAACAACATCTGGATGCATGAACCGTTTGGCAAACCACCTGAGCCAAGCAGCACACAAAAACGTATTCAAAACAAGAAAGAGTGACTGTGAGCGACAATTGCAAACGAACCACTTTGTCTGGTTGATGGCCACAATATGGATGGCACTGCCGAACCAGGGAAGATCGCTCCAACGATCTACGACACCGTCGTAATGGAACAGCATTATCGTGAAGTTCGTCACCGGAAACTAGAATTCCAAAATAAAAGGTATGGTTTGCTTTGAGCATAAGAAACCAAGCAACGTACTTTTCGAGCGATTTGATCCACGCCTCGTTTCTGCTGGATTCCAGCTGCGATTGCTAACAAGCTTTTTTGCAAGGCCTAGACAGTCACAAAAAAGAAAGGTACAGTGTTTCATAAAGCAATAGCTTGCTACCTTTTTCTTGGACGATCTCCACAGTGGTTTTAGTTCCATGTCCGACGCTGCCTCTACAATTCCGCGTGGTAGCGCCTCGCTCCCTCGCGGACATCTCTTGCTCTGTAAGGTAAGGCACGCTACAGCGGACTGAGAATAAAGGAAAATGTTTGATACGTACTCGGCATGCGATCGAGCTGGAGACAAACATGAGCGTGGAGCCATCCCAAATGCCATTGATCTGTAGCCAAAAAGATAAGCAAAAACGCGATTTGATCGACGATCAGAGCTTTGCTTACGTTGGTGTATTGGTCGCTGACGAGCAAACTACAGAGAAAGAGTGTGATCATGACGAAGGAAACAGTGACCAAGACCGTTCTCGGCTTCCATACTCTGGCGATGGACTTGGCGCAAGCATCCGGCTCGACCTTCTGGCGATCGATCAATCCAAATGCGAGCACATCAGCGATCCGCTAAGAAAAGAAAAAAGAAAGAAAGTATAGGTCTTGCCATTGCCGCGCCTGGATCGCTCCCCGGATGGATCTAGCAGCAAGAATCCAACGATTAGGGGTCGCGAAAGAGGAGCACACACCACTGTTGCTGGGCGGTGACCTATCAAGAAGAAAGAAGAAAGAGGAATAAAAAAAAAAGAAGCTCCGCCTACTTCAAGACCACCCCCTCACGGCACTTGATCGTCCGTGTCATACACACATACACACATTTTTGCTTTCTTTCTCTCTTCTCTCTCCTTTCTGCTGGCCCGCCCTGCCACGCTGGACGCCAGCTCGGACGCCTAACTTGGGCGCGCTGACTGGATTTTCTTGGAATCGCGATCTAGCTCAAGTGGAGAGAGATGGGCAATGTCGTGTGATTCGTGGGCGAGCCGCGATGGAAGGCAGCGGCGACAGTGGCAGATCTTGGATGGTGCGGGGTGTGCTGGTATTGGGAGGGGTGGCGGCGGCAGCTATGGCGTGGCGGCGAGGAATGTGGTGGCGGAGCCGGTCGCGCGTCGTTGGGATCATTCCCGCGCGCTATGCTTCCTCGCGCTTCCAAGGCAAGCCCTTGGCTCTCATACTTGGCAAGCCCATGATCCAGGTGAGAGCCTTTAGTTAGATGGATTTGATCTCATGGTGCGTGGGGTGATAGAGGACGTGGGAACAAGCCAGGCTCGCGAAGACTCTCGACGCTCTAGGTAGGCAGAAGAGAAACAATGCTTGCAATGCAATTTACTTCTCCTCTCGTGTCCATAGTTGTGGCCACCGACGACGAAAGGATTCGACAATGCTGCGAGGAATTTGGCGCGGAGGTTGTCATGACATCGGAGAAGTGTCCCAACGGTAAGCCGAGGTCTTCCTTTTGGGTTTGAGGGGATTGAGCAGTGAACCTTAGGAACCGAGCGCTGCAACGAGGCTGTCAAGAGGCTCAAGCGCAAGTTCGACATCGTCGTCAACATCCAAGGTGATGAGCCCCTTATCGATCCGGATATCATCGACGGGGTGGTGATGGCGTTAAAGGTAGACGCAAAAGAGATGCTTTTTCTTTGAATTCAAGGCATTGAACAGGCTTCGCCGGATGCCATGTGTAGCACCGCAGTCACGTCGTTAAAGCCTCAGGATGCCTCGGACACGAACAGGGTCAAGTGCATTGTGGACAAGCAAGGCTATGCCATATATTTCTCGCGAGGTTTGCTACCTTTCAACAAGTATGGAAGAGAGCAAGGATCCTCTACGTCGTCCTCACCTTTTCGTCTTCTCTGTTTCACAGGAAAGGAGTGGCCAACGACAAGTTTCCTTACTTACTACACCTTGGCATCCAGGTAGCTCTCTCGGTGATGCTGTACTTCGGCGATCTGAATTTCTGTCTGTCTTGCATGACAGTGCTATGACGCACACTTTTTGTCCATGTATCCCCTGATTGCGCCAACCGCTCTTCAGCTGGAAGAGGATTTGGAGCAGCTCAAAGTCATTGAGAATGGCTATAAAATCAAGGTTCGTTTGCTTCCTGTGCTTGTCTCTAGCGGCGCTTCTGTTTCCTTCCTGCAGGTGATCAACGTGGATCACGATGCACACGGTGTGGATTCCCCTGGCGACATCGCCAGCATTGAGTCTCTAATGCGGGGGAGGAACATCGCCTAAAGAGAAGCGATAAAGATTTAGATGACAAACAAAGGTAGCTCTCTCTTTTCCCTGTCCTGTCGTGCGTAATATTTTCTCGCAGGGCAGCCAGCCATCGCCATCCAGGTCAAGCGTGAAAATGACACCAAACGCTTGTGTGCTTGGACAAGACAAGTTATTGTAGAGCCAACCAGCCAGCAAAAGTCGTTTGTCCGGCGAGGATATCGCAGCAGCAGCATTGCAAGTCGGCGCGCGGGGGAAGAGAAAAGAAAAGAATGATCTGATCCCGGCGTCAGACGATTCATAAGCCTCTTTGTACTTGCGCAGGCAGCCGAGCAATCCTCTCTTGCTATTCTCCACGGCTCGCTGCGACTTTGTGGTGACATGAACCTTTGGCGACGCGCCAGCCAGGCAGCGGCCAGCATACAGGCACACAGTGATAGCAAAGCAGCATGCAGGGATTTTATTCGTCCTCCGCTTTCTCGTCGCTCCCTCCATCTTCTCAGATGATGCAGCGCCACTGGCCGTGGACGACGAATGTACCGCAAGGACTCTTGAATGCAATGGAGCAGTGGCCCGTGAGGTGATGAGGAGTTGATGGCGATTTATCTGAGCGAGGCGGCCAGCAGCACTCGCTCGCATTTTACGAGCATTTTTATCTCTCGGACTTCCCTGTGACTTGTGGCTGGCTGGCTGGCTGTGGCTGGCTGCCTCAAACTGGTAGTCAGATAAGATTTTGATCTGTGAGTGAGTGACAGCCAGCTATGTCTGTCTACAAACACGGTGATGCGTGTTGATCCAATCACTTCTCCCATTCATTTCTCTTTCTCCTTGTCCGGTAGTTGTCTAGCAACAAGCACTAGCGAGCAAAGCATCTGCATTTGCTACTGGGCGGACCGGACGCCACAACTCACGGGTGAGTAGGGCTAGCGGCGAGCTTGGCAAAGGAACTAGAACACAGGAATGGTGGCCGGGACGAAGAACAAGAGTCGCGAGAGGAAGATGGTGGCACTGGGCTTAGTTCTAGAATCGGTGATGTTGCTCAGCATCGCCACGTCGTGCGCCGCCAAGACAGCCGCAGTGGACATCCAGGCGCTGCAGCAGATCAAGTCGTCCATCGACCCATCCACGCTGCATTCCTCGTCGTGCCTGGGCAGCTGGGACTTCTCGCACGATCCCTGCGACGCTACCTCCTCCACATCCTTCGTCTGCGGCATCCGCTGCGACGAGGAACTGCAAGAGGAGGGCGCCTCGACCCGGCCTCCAAGGCGAGTGACGAGCATCGTGCTCGACGGCTATGGCTACCGCGGCTTCCTCTCGCCCTTCGTCGGCAACCTCTCTGCATTGCAGGCGCTGGACGTGTCCGGGAATGCTCTATCCGGGGCGCTGCCGGCGTCGCTGGGGAAGCTGGCACGCCTCCGCCGCCTGGACGTGAGCGGCAACGCCTTCTCGGGTGGCATCCCGGAGTCACTGGGCGAGCTACGCTCCCTCGAGCACCTGGGCCTGGCGCGCAATGCGCTGTCCGGCACCATCCCGGCCTCGCTCTCCCGCCTCTCGTCCCTGCGCCGTCTCGACCTCTACTCCAATCTCCTGTCGGGCGAGCTCCCCATCGCCATGCCCGCCATGTCCAGCCTCTTGTACCTCGACGCCAGCAGCAACAGGATCACGGGGCCGTTCCCGGGCCGCTTGCCGCCGTCGCTCGTCCGCCTCTCCCTCCGCGACAACCGCCTGTCGGGACAGCTGCCCTCCAACTTGGGCGACATGGCGGCCCTCGAGGTGCTGGACGTGAGCCGCAACGCGCTGTGGGGCGCCCTCCCCGACTCCATCTTCCTCCATCCCTCGCTCCAGCAGGTGAATGTGGCGGGCAACGCGTTCCAGTGGATCCAGACGCCCGGCCTGGCGGCGATGCCGCTGGTGGTGCTGGGCAGCAAGATGGTGGCGCTGGATGCCAGCCACAACAGGCTGCGCGGGCCGCTGCCGCCATTTCTGGCGGAGCTGCCGCGCCTGTCGTCGCTATCGCTCACTGGCAACATGCTGGGCGGCACCATCCCGCTCCAGTACGCGATCAAGGCGGTGGAGTCGGCGGTGGGGATCCAGCCACTGCGGCGGCTCTTCCTGGATGGGAATTTGCTGGTGGGGGCACTCCCGTTTCCCTTCCTCACCTGGTCGCCCTCCGCCACCCTCATCTCCGCAAGCTTTGCTAACAATTGTCTCCATAGCTGCCCACCAAGCCTCCCCTTCTGTGGAGCTCAAAGGCCGGCCACCCAATGTAGCTAGAGCTAGTAGTATACTTTTTTACGTCTTCCAAGTTACCACCACCACGACCACCACCGCCACCACCGCCACCGCGCCACCACCGTCGCCGCCACCGTGGATGTTGTAATTTTTCTAGCAGGAATCGAACACCTCTCCTGTATCGCGGCTACCTACGATATAGCGTAGTCTGTCGGTGGTGGACGTCCGTCGCGCGCGGAGAGATCCATTCATGGCGCTCGCATCACCTGCATTGGCGCTTCCCCTGTTGTTGCTCGCTTCTTCGTTGGCGCTGCTGAGAGTTCGCTCGGACGGTAAGTTCTTCCTGCCAAGCTCTAGATCTGCTCGCTACTTCTTGCAATACGCCCTCTTTCTATCGCTAGAATGGCTCAAACTTGGTCTCATGCCTCCTGGATGATATGGATGATCGCGCAATGCGCAGATGCGGTGGAGAGCCAGCTTCTCAACGACATCAACATGTACCGGAGCAACCTGGGGGCGCCTCTCCTGTCGCCCAACCCGGGAGCTTCGTGTCTGGCGGACAAGTTGGCTGACCACTTCCAGCACATGCCATGCGACAACGTAACCGAGGCACAGACATCCCCTGGCCTCACGCCCGATTTCCCCGACTACCCCTCCATGCTCGCCGAGTGCCGCCTCGACCTCGCCAACACCACCGGTGGTCAGGTCCTCGTCGACTGCATCCCCGCCTCCTCCGACGCTGCCGGCACGGCCTTCCAAAACCTTACGCGCTCGCAAGAGTACCAGAGGTTCATCAACTCGTCCGACTTTTCCTCCATTGGAATCGGCAACGAAGACGCCTGGTTCGTTCTGGTTCTGGGAACCAAGGCTAGCAACGCCAATTTCAACCAGTCACAGGCATCGGCGGCGGCAGCAGGAGCACAGCTACTGTCGCTCGTGCCGATTATCGTCGTGGTTGGGGCAGCTCTCCTGTCTCTCTCGTGATTGGAATACACTCGTCCATTCCAATCTTGTTATTGTAATCTAAGCTATAGAGCGAGCGTAGAAGACGGTTAGTGATTTTGGTGATGACGAAAGAACGAACCTGTTTAGCTTTTAGTGTTGTTTGGTGATCCATCGCCACCTTTCTCAGTGTGGTGGAACATCTTTGTCTGCCGTGTGTTTGTTTATACCTGCCGGAATAGATCGATGTGGTTTGCTTATATCAGCTGCCAGAGACGCTGATGTGGTTGTTGCTGTTGTCTTTGCTGCTGGTGGTGCTAGATTTAATCTTCTTGTGGGGCACTCCAAGCCCTGTAGTAGCTGTGGCTGATGGCGGAGTCGTCGCACAAGCAGCAATGGCCAGAGCTGTCTCAACCGCGCTCATGTTGTTGCTGTTAGTGTTGGTGTTATTGTTGGTGGCGGTGTAGCTTTGTCTCTGTTGTTGGTGATGATCCTCCGCCACCATCAACTTGGACCGGGTGCCATAGAAGCTCTCGAGCAGATCAATCACCCGGGTGTCAAACAAGGCAGGCAGCTTGTTTTGCTTCTTCTGCTCCTTGGTGAGGCATGTGTAGGGAGTTGCCTTGACGCTGCGGTGCCATTCTTTGATCGTCTTGAAGTCGGACAGCAGATTGTCCCACTTCCCCCTGCACTGGTCCAGGTCCCGGTCCATGATCCCATTCTCCCGCAGAAACTCCACCACCTTGACCCATTTGTCCACCGCGCTCTCGAACTTGCTGCTCTTGCTGCTCTCGGTCCTCTCCCACTCGTCCTTTTTGGCTTGCACCAGCAGCAGCACCTCGTGAATGTTCCAGTTCCTCGATCGCTTGCGCTTCTCGGCTGCTGCAAACAACGGTGTAAGCACCACAAGCCAAATCCTCAACAGCTCACCTCCACAGCTTATTTACGTGTTCATGAGTGACTAGGGAGAGAGTTTCACTACTTAACGCTACTAAAATGTTGCCAGTCTAGCAGTGGTAGAATTTCTAGCAAGTATTTTAGAGCCGCTGCAAGCAGCAAGCCCAAAGCAAGAGCTGTCAAGACCTTGCCAATGTACTCACTTGAGAATTCTGGCTTGGAGCCTCGGGGAACTTTGCCTCCGGGATAAAACTCGGCAATCAAGTCGTGCATCTGTTGGTAGCAGCTTAAGTGCGCAAGTTAAGAAGCCAAAGGGAAAACGAAGAAGTTTGGACTTACTTTGGCATGTTGCTGGACAGGATTGTCATCGAGTGCGCTTTTAGTGTCTTGAGCGGCATCTATCTCCTTGTGCCCTGGATCTATTCGAGCTTGTTAATTTTGTCAAGGAAGGAGCGGTAACTGACCTTGGACAAGTTTTAGTTTCCAGTTATCGCCATAGACAACGAGCTCCGCGTCGGGGCCAAACTCCACGGGCTCTTCGTTCTCCTTGAACGCCGCAATGCAAAGGATGTGGTGCGCAGCTTCGCCTAGCTTGCTTCGAATTCGCCGCACGGCAAATCCCGCCTTGGTCCCAGCAGCAAATCGCCATGTCTGCCCGTTTGACCCAAACACCTCGACGTACTGCCAATGCCAAGCAAACGGCGATGATTTGATGAATATGGAGAGATGATTACCGCCGGCGATCCTGTTCCGGATGAAGTGGTGGTGTGCTCGGGCATCCCTTGGTGTTCTAAGACGGACACAAAAATTTGCTACCTGGTTGCTTGGGGGCCCTAAAAAGGAGTAAAAGGAGTTAGACGAATATTCTAGCCTTTAACCGCGCTGATATACTTTGACCCGTCAACCATGAGCCCTAAGAGTGTAAGGAATGGGATGGCCTGCGTTACCGTGAAGTCTGTCGATGGCAGGGTTGTGGGCGAGGAAAGATTCAATCCGCAAGAGCCAAGGAAGGTGGTGCTTAATTATCTCCAGGTCTATGAGTCTGGATGTCTGTGGAGGCCGGCAAATACATCTACGAACTAGGTGAATGTGAAAGCATCGATTTGAGTGGCTATGGTTTCTGTGACAATAGCTCGTCAGTGTGTTTATGATGCGGCTGGTTTCTGTTGATAAGTGTTCGAAGGGAATTTCTTTGGTTAATGTTTTTACTCTAAATTGTTCTCAAGGTTGTACGAAGAGCTTGGTAGAAAGGTAGAACTCGCCTACGGATTATCAAATCGAGACTCATATGCTTCCTTTGGATCCACAGTTTGAGGAGCTCCAATTGCAGCTTCCTCCTCCCGAGGAGGCACCCCCAGTTGAAGGAGCTCCACCAGCATAGGAGATCAAAATCACAGGGTCACTAGTTCTTTTGAATCATAACACGCTCTAATACATTTGGATGGGAAAGCTTAAACCTTTTGTGTGACTGCTGATACGTCAGTTGGGTTCACAAAGTGGACTTGTTTTAGTATTTTAGTGGGGGCCATGGTTTTTTAACATGACAAGTGTGCACCTGTTTCTGCAGTTGCTACCACTGCTGCTCCTATTGTTCCTGCTGGCAAGTATCTTGTCTTGCTCCTAAGGACGTTCGTCAGTTAGTTGCCTGGGTGGGTTAATTTCTGAGCGTTGTGTGGTGTGGGAATGCAGATGCTATTTGACTATTGACTGAGTTTTGGAGAAAGTGTCAGACAAGTAGGCCGTGTGGTGAGTTTTGAACACGATGAGCATTGGAGCGCCATGCCGGAATGGTATCTATGTGCGTAAGTGCTTTAAGGCTCACATGTTCACGTAACTGGGCCACCATGGATAGGCAAGTCGATGTTCATGTGGTACATGATCATGGAGGTTGCTGCAGAGCGCAAGTACAACGTGCTCGTTGAGCTTAGCCCATTCTGGATCGCGTTTTACAAGGACGGTGTCTCTGACAGGGGCAACGAGCTGTTTAAGGGACCGGTCATTCACCTGATAGACGAACAATGTTCTGGGTCTCACTACGGTTTTGTGACCGTTTTCGGGAGTCCGAATTACAACACGACCAAATGGATTCACAAGACGGGTGGTGGTGCTCCACTCACGCAGCTTGTCCTCCCACCCTGGAGCCAAGGTAAACAGGAGTTTATAGACATGTGTTGTTACGGAGGTTGTTCGCAAGTTGGGGGGATATGTTCCCACATAGCGATGATATTGGACGAGGTGATTGTGAAGGTGGGGTTGAGGGGCATTCCAGCGTCTGTTGGGCAAACAATACTAGTTCCGTTTGACATGACGCTCAAGGATGAGTTGTATGTCGAATACACTTTCGGGTTTTCGTCGGATCACATAAAGTACTTCGATCATTGCTGGACCGTGAAAAAAGACGAGCTGCTGGAGTTTGTCACTGCATCAGAGGGGCCGACGAATATGTCCGCCTTGAGGCTATACGCCTGCATCAGATCCATCTCGCTGGGGCAGTGCTGGAGTCGAAAGCGATTGGCCAAGACCCAGTTCCGAATCGATACGCGGATTGTATCAGCTTCATTCTGGAAAATCGACGCATCAGGTCTTACACCCACATGAATGAGATCTGGGAGGCGAAGAAGGCGGGAGTGATGTATGAGTCTCTATGTCCATTTTCACTTTTCCTCCACAGATGTGTACCAAGAGGCTTTCAGGATTGCAAGGATGCAGGACATATTCGACATGGATATCTATGACATTTCTTCTGTAAAAATGAATGGGATTACTGAGGAGAGCAGCCAAGGCCAACAGGAAGATCGCCCTCGTACGCTCCGGACACGAAGGGGAAGATGCACGTCTCCAACGCAGTTGCCTTGCATCTCGGCTCAAGCGCTGCGCCACCGCCGCCGATGTCGCGGAGCTCCACTCGGGCTCGTCCTCAGACCTGCTGCCACACGATACTTTCGCGTGCAATGTGCTGGTCCAGATGTATGGAAAGTTTGGGAGGATGGAGGACGCCGCAGCGGTGTTCCACGCAATCCGGAACAAGAACATCTTCTCGTGGAGCATTCTGCTGTCGGGTTGTGCCCAAAACGGGCATTTGGATGGGGCTAGGTGGGCATTTGATAATATGCCATCCAGGAACGTCGTTGCGTGGGGCGCGCTGCTCCTTGCATTTATCCGCGCTGCACGTATGCGCGAAGCGGTCCAGACGTTTCATCGGATGCCACAGCACGACGTGGCATCGGTGGCTTCTGTCTTGACTGCGAATGCCCAGGCAGGGCATATTTTTGAAACAAAAGCTCTAATCGAGGCGATTCCTCCGGGTCAAGGCGACGTCGTTGTGTGGACGGCATTGATTGGATGTTACATTGCAGAGAACCGCATTGACGACGCCAAGCGCGTGTTTGATGGCATGGAGGAGAGGAGTGTGGTAACTTGGACCGCATTGTTCACAGGGTATGCCAACGAGGGACTCGTTGCGAATGCCAAGGTCATGTTTGACAGGATGCCCGAGCGGGACGTGGTGTCGTGGAACTCTATGGCTGCTGCGTTTGCGCAGAATGGCGACTTGCCACTTGCAAAGCAAGCTTTTGATAGTATTCCCGAGCAGAATGTGGTGTCCTGGAACGCGATTGTCACAGCATATGCCGAGAACGGGCAGCTGCATGATGCTCTGGATCTCTTCCATAAAATGCCGGAGAGGAGAATGGTGTCGTGGAACGCTGTCGTTTCCGCGCACGCGAACTGCGGAGATGTGGAGTCGGCCAATATCTTGTTCGATCGCATGCCACAGTGGACGCTGCTTGCCTCCACCGCGATGATCGTTGCTTATGCGCACAAGAACCTTGTGGCAGAGGCGCGCCGGATCTTCCATTCTCTGGAGGCTCGCGACGTTGTGGCGTGGAACGCTATGATCTCTCTCTACGGCCAGAATGGGCTGGTGGAGGAAGCAAGCAGGGCATTCCGGCGCTTGCCAGTGAGCGAGCGCAACCTGGTCAGCTGGACGGCCATGGTGGCGGCATATGCCCAGAACGGGCATAGCAAGCAGGCCATGCAGACGTTCCAGCAGTTGGAGCTCGAGGGCGTGGAGGCGGACGAGATTTGCTTCAAGACAGTGTTGGGCTGCTGCAGCCACGCCGGCCAAGTCGACGTTGCATGCTACTGCTTCACGTCCATGGTGGGGGATCACGGCATTGCTCCGTCCAAGTGCCACTACTGGAGCATCCTGGACGCACTGGGCCGCTCGGGGAGGCTGGGAGAATGCGAGGAGCTCATGGGCAGCATGCCTTTCTCGCCGGACGAGGTGGCGAGAGGGAGCGCGCTGGCCGCTTGCAAGAACGACAGCGACATGGAGCGCGCCAATCGGATCGGCAACCAGCTGCTCGAGACCGATCCAGACAGCGCCCCGGCCTACGTCCTCATGGCAAACCTCTTCTCCGCTGCAGTGGGGGCGAATTAGGGTTCTTGAGGGGTTTTTGCGGGCACGATGGGTGCGTGGCGGAGGTTGCTGGCGTCTGCTCTTGTCACTGGAAGGAGCCGCATTCTCAGTCCCCAGTCGCATCACTCTCGTCTCTTGGCGCCTCGGCTCGTGGATTTCTTCCCAGGCACGCCGGCAGCATTCCAGGTGTGGAATTTCCTCTTTCTTTTCCAAACGTGCGTGCTAGAATTTGTTTCTTGTCTCAGGGCTTTCAAGGCGTCCAAAGAAGAATGTCGACAACCACGGCAGCGTCATCGGCGGCGGATGCTACGTCTACTGCCGAGAAACCTTTGGCCGAGGGAGTAGAGGGGGAAGAAACCAAGCAAGCTAAGACCGAAGCACCAGTTTCTGGCGAGGCGAAAGTCGTTCGCCGCAACGTAAGTTTTTCTTTCGATGTACATTCCTCGTCTTTGCTTACTCTTTGTTCTTGGAGCAGCCAGTGTCGTGGCTAAGTTTCTTCCTTCTGGTAGCCACAGCCGCAGCATTGCTGTTCGTGTTTGAACGAGAGAAGAAGAAAGCGCTGGACGGTGAGTCAAGTGATTGCTGTGAGACGCCAAGTGAGTGACGTTTCTTTTCTTTGGTGTTGTTTGCAGCGATCAGGAACAAGGAGATGGACGTAAAGTATGGCCCCTCGGTCGGGAAAGCAGCGATTGGAGGCCCATTCAAGCTCGTCAACCACGAAGGCAAGACGGTGACAGAGAAAGATTTCCTGGGGAACTGGACGCTCATGTATTTCGGGTTTACATCATGCCCGGACATCTGTCCCGACGAACTGCAAAAGATGGTGCAAGCGATCGACGCTGTAGGTTGGTATTTTCAGCGCTCCAGGGACGTAGCTCTCTTCTCACGCGTTGCAATTTCTTCCTGGTTGTGCAGATAAAAAATCTGGCTTGAAGATTGCCCCGTTGTTTGTGTCTGTGGATCCAGAGCGCGACTCGGTGGAGCAGATGAAAGAATACGTGCAAGGTACCGCAGGTTATGTCTTTTGCTCTCATCCATTTGTGGCGTGCAGAGTTTCATCCCAGGCTAGTGGGATTAACCGGAGCTCCCGAAGATATCAAGCAGGTGGCGAAGTCGTTTCGGGTCTACTACATGAAGACTGGGGACGAAGGCGATGACTATCTGGTGGATCACTCCATCATAATGTGAGTGCTGCTTGCTAGTCTTCCAGCTGATTGTTTCCCCTCTGCTTGTCTACCAGGTATCTCATGGACCCGAAAATGGAGTTTGTGAAATTTTTTGGAAAGAACTACACCGTGGACGAGCTGTCGCAGGGAATCATGGACGAGGTGAAGAATCATGGAAAGACGAAGCGGAGCTAAACCATGTCTAGGAAAGTTTTGGGCGTAGAAGAGATAAAAGAGTTCTAGTTCTTCCTCGGGGTGTTTTAAGGCTTAGTATAATGTGGAGAAGGAAAACCGAGGAGGGTTTGTAGCTCAATGGCGGGCTTGTCAAGTCTCGGCCAGCGCAATTGGTTTGTGTGTGGAAGCTGCAGCGGTAGGAAGGATGGGTTTGGAGGGGCAGTGGCGGGCGGCAAGACGAAGAAGAGGCTTAGTTTGGGAAGTGAGCTCCTCCAGCCGCTTGTAGGAGGAAGTAGATGCTGCTTGTTCGCTGGGCAGAGCCTCTCACTCTCATCACCGCTGCTCTCCTCTACCAAGAAACGCGGTAGCAGAGGCGTAGTCACCATGGTCAGTAGTGATACTCCTTTCTCTCCTCTGAATTGACACACTCTCTCTTACAGGTGATTCCTTTTGTCCGAGGGGACGCGTCGGCACAGCCGCCCCCCGATCTCCCATCCTATCTCTTCCACAACAGGATTGTCTTTCTGGGCATGTCACTGGTTCCAGCAGTCACGGAGCTCATCATGGCGGAGTTCCTCTACTTGCAGTTCGTGGATCCCGAGAAACCAATCTACATGTACATCAACTCGACAGGCACTACCAAGGTATTTCGATGCCTCCTGTTATTCTTCACTCGTTTCCTTCGCTCGTCAGGATGGAGAGAAGTTGGGATATGAAACGGAGGCGCTGGCAATGTATGACACCATGCAGTAAGTGTCTCGCGTGATTGTCTCTGTCTGTTTTTTTCTCATGGTGCTTTTGGTCCCCAGGTACGTGAAGCCGCCGATATTCACTCTCTGCGTTGGGAATGCGTGGGGTGAGGCTGCGTTGCTTCTAGCCGCTGGAGCAAAAGGAAATCGATCTGCGCTGCCTTCGACCACCATCATGCTCAAAGAGGTCGCTTTTCTCTTCGTTTTTCTTTTTATTTCTGGAGGCACTGATTCCTTCCATTTGGATTGAGCATGGCAGCCTATTGCACAGTTTCGGGGGCAGGCCACTGACATCGATATTGCACGCAGAGAAGTTCGCAACTTGAAAAAAGACTTGGTACGTAAGAGGATGGATGGATATGTTTTTCTTTTTTTCTATCACGTGACTAACAAAGCCTTTGGGCTCCAGGTTGAGCTTTTAGAGAGGCATACAGGCCAACCTGCAGACAAGATCGAGGAGGACATCCGTCGTCCCAAGTACTTCAGCCCGGACGAGGCTGTTGATTATGGACTCATTGACAAGGTAAGGAGGCTTTTCTTGTGTCTTTTATACTTGATATGCTCGTGTGGATGAGCAGGTACTAAGAACTGAGAAAGGAGAGAAGTCCAAAGGTGTTGTAGATCAATTGCGACAAGCGCAGCTTCTCAAGTGAGCAATTTTATACAGTTTTTGACATGGTGCAGAGACAAGTATGTGCTATATCACGGCAGTTGAAAGCCCGCCAGTAAGTCTAACAAGTCGGCCTTCGCCTTTTCTATCGCACCTGGAAGCTTGTCTGGGAGCTTACCTCCAGCCTGAGCAAAATCTGGTCGACCCCCTCCACCTCCACCACAGAGTTTGGCAACAGACCCCACGAATGCTCCAGCTTTAAGCCCGTGCTTTACTACACTCGGGCTGAAGGCCGCAACCAGGCTAACTTTGCCATCCTCAGTGCATGCTCCTAGTAAAGTTGCCGAGGGATCCCCGTGAAGTGCAACACAGTGCTCTACCGCTGCACGAAGTGAATCCACGTCGGTAGTTTCCAAAGCTCCAACTAGTATCCTGCACACCAAAGTGTCAAGAGCCTGAGAAAAGAAAGACTGTTTTGCTACCTTACACCTCCTGGACCAACTAGGAGAGCTCTGCCTGTTAACACGTCGGCTTCGGCAATGGCGACTTTCGCTCTCAAGCTTGTTGCGTCGCTTTTCAGAGCTTTGAGTTCGTCTTGTAGGCCTGATATTCGGGCTGGGAGATCTTCTGGCTTGGCCTAAATAGCATTTGCAAGTCAGTGTGACACGAAGTAACGTGCATGATACCTTGAGTGAGGAGCATATTTGCCTAAGAGCATTCTCCCGTGCGAAGATGTGGTCTATAAAAGCATCGCCGGCTACTGCTTCTATTCTCTTGACACCGGATGCGATGCCTTCCACCAGCACAATTTTGAAGCCTCGGATCTCACTTGTGTTGCTTACATGAGTGCCTCCACAGAGTTCCTTGGATATTCCTGGAACATCAACGACTCTCACCTGAAATGCAAGTAAGTATTAGGACTCAACCGAGCTGAAGACACAGAAAAAACTACTGTACCTGTTCTCCATACTTCTCGCCAAACATCGCAATAGCACCGCTGTTTTTTGCTTCTGCCAGTGGCATCACCTTCCATTCTAGTGGAACGGCCATGCTTATCCATTCGTTTACGAGTGCTTCCACTTGAACAACCTCCTCCTCTGCCATCTTTCTTGACAGCGTAAAATCAAACCGCAAACGGTCGAATGCAACCAATGAACCAGCTTGGGAAGTTTCGGACCCCAAAACCTTCTTCAAGGCTGCTTGGAGAAGGTGAGTTGCAGTGTGTTGAGCCTACACACGACCAAGGAGGAGTCTGTCAAAAGAAAACGAGGAAAAAAAAACCGACCTGTGCACGCCTCCTCAAACTAGATTCGACAAGAGCTTGGACGTTATTCCCGACAGCCATTGTGCCTTGTTGAACAATTCCCTTGTGGATAATTAAGTTGCTACCGAGCTTCTGAACATCTTTCACCTGAACGATGCAATCTGTTTCACCGCCCCGGCAGACAAGCAGTCCATTATCACCAATTTGGCCACCGGACTCTGCATAGAAAGGAGTTGTATCCAAAACGATCTCCACTTCATCTCCTTCACGAACCTCCGTAACAAGTCCTCCTCTAGCAATCAATGCCCGCACTTCTGCAATAGACTCGAGCGTCGTATAACCAACAAATTTAGTCTCAACCAAGGATGTAAGCTCTGCGGCTGTCCCTCCAGCTGACAGCTTGACCACGTTGTGAGCTTCCTGAGATTGCCTCCTTTGATACTCCATTTCAGTCTCAAAGCCCGCCATGTCAACTTGGACATCATTCTCTCCAGCAACTTCTTCGGTGATTTCCACGGGAAACCCGTAGGTGTCATAGAGCATGAACACGTCTTTCCCGGATAAAACTGGCTTGGCGCTTCCATCTCTTCTGCAGGCAGCCGCGGCTTCCTCCAGCTTCTGAGAAAGTAGCTTCTCTCCTCTTTCCAATGTCTGAACAAATCGTAGCTCTTCCTTGTCCAGCTCTTCAAAAATACGTCCCGCATTTTGTTTCACGTCCGGGTCCACGTTAGAACTCATGCTAACGACCACTTTTGCAAGGCTAGGCAAGAACGTTCCTTCCGAATTCCCTTCACCGTCACCCCGAATACCTAGCAGCCGTCCCATGCGAACAATTCTTCGAATAAGGCGACGCACAATGTATCCGCGGCCAATATTTGAAGGGGTCACTCCATCCGAAATGAGATAAACCACTGCTCGCGAGTGATCACCTATAACCTGTATCGCGCAAAAAACTTTAGGCCGGGATCGAGCAAGATGCTGGACTTACCTTGAGGTAAGTTTTAGTCCGGTCGTCAGCAGCTGTATAATTCACTCCAGCCAGCTCAGAAGCACGTTGGATGATAGGATAGATGAGATCTGTTTCGTAGTTATTTGGCACCTGAGAAAACATGATGAGAGGAATAAAGAAAAATGGCAAGAGAAATAACGACAGATACCTTTTGCAGTATTCTTGCCATGCGCTCGAGGCCAAGACCAGTATCGATATTCTTTTGCTTAAGAAGTTCTAGTTTCCCATCGTCATTCCGGTTATACTGCATGAACACCAGGTTGTAAAACTCCAAGAATCTTGTATCATCTCCAAGATCCTGGTAAGCGGAAATACAATATCAGCACGGATGGATCGCAAGACTAGAAAGCAAGATTAACTACCGCATCATCGGTCCCTCTCTCTGGATGGAAGTCGAAATACATCTCGGAGCAAGGACCACAAGGTCCCGTTGGACCGCTTGCCCAGAAATTATCTTCCTCTCCCAGCTTCTTTATACGTTCCTCTGGAATTCCTACCTGGCAAATAGCACTCACTGCCTGGGTTAAAACGCGAGAAAGACAGTGTCACTTACGTGGTCACGCCATATGGCGAGAGCTTCATCGTCATCCTTGTACACGCTGACCCATACACGAGCAGCAGGAAGCTTGTATCTACGCAACGGATTGCAAGAATGAGAGCAATGAAGACAAATGGCCTATAGCTTACTCTGACGTTGCGAGCTCCCAGGCCCATCGAATGGCGTCGTGCTTGAAGTAATCCCCGAAGCTGAAGTTGCCAAGCATCTCAAAGAAAGTGTGGTGTCGACTTGTCCGACCGACGTTCTCAATGTCGTTTGTCCGGAGGCACTTCTGGGACGTGACAGCGCAAGCAAATCGTCTGGGCACCTGTGCGCGCGAGAGTAGAACACTGTCAAGTGTGGCTGGAAGGAATCACCAGCGGTACTTGCCTGTCCAAGAAATATGGGCTTGAATTGCAGCATGCCCGCGATAGTGAGCAAGACCGTGGGATCGTCCGGAACCAGGGAAGAGCCCGGCAAAAGATGATGGCCGCGAGCTGCGAAGAAGTTGAGAAACGTTCGCCTGATGGCATCACCACTCACTCCTGGCTGCTCGTGCTCGTGCTCTTGCTCCTGTGCGCTGCTCGTCGTCTCGACGCTGGTTGCGGCTGTGTCGTCCTAGACAAAGCTTGAGTTTGCCAAGCAAGAGCAAATTTTCTAATCGCTTACATGAGGAAAACGTTGTAAATCTCCGGGAGCTTGGCGGCAGGACAAGGAGGAGCACTGCCCGCCTTGTCCGCCGACGTTGCTGCTGCTGTGCCCGATGCAGGAGCGAGGTGGCGCTCTTGCCATTGACGATGCAAGCGTGAAATGCGTGCCAGGCGAGCTGCTGGGGAATTCCTGTGCTCGTACGAATCGCCATGGCGGAGGAAGCGAGCCCTAAACCTAGCTCATGTGTGGCCATGGAGGGCCGAGGGCAAAAGCACACGGGCGGAGAGATGAGCGAGTGAGAGATCGAGGATGGTACCCTCGGCCGTGGTCGTGCCCATTGTCACCGCTGCCGCTGCCGCCGGCGTCGCAGCCGATCGCCGCCATTTCTCCTCTCCTTGTTCGCCGCACAACTGGAAGAGGAGGAATCGCCCGCCCGGCGAGGACGATGGAGCGTCAGGCTGTGGCGCTGTGGACAGGGCTGCATTGCGCTGCTGGAGCTGGAGTGGCCATGGACTGGCAAGGTCTGGGAAGCTGTGGATCGTGAGAGCGGCGGATAGAAATGGTGGTGAAGCCGGTCAAAATGCTGAGGATGCCAGCGTGCGAGCAGCAGTCGACGAGGGTCAGAGGCTACTGGCTTTGCAAAAGGAGCTTCTTGAACAGGCAGGCAAACCATTCTCCTCTTCTAAAGTTTGCTACATTGTTTGTATGCCAATCTCTCTCGCCAACTCCACTGCTTTCTCGCAGGTCACCGAACGAAAGAAGCTCCTCAACACCTTGACGCAGGAGTTTGGTACCACGAAAGAGAAGGAAAACTCCAGTCCATTCGAGCCTAGCGATGGAGAAGTCAGTCCGGCAAGTGTACCTGGAATCGGTGCTTGGCCGCCGCAGTCAATGCGGCCTCCTCAATCAAGCCCGGCATCTTCACCTTCGGTACTTGTACCGGCAGAACCGCGGGTGGTTCGTCCCCCTGGCTCCGGCTTGGACGAGGCCAGAGCCGGCTCTGGATCACCCATCCAGAAGAAAGTTTTGGATGAGGCACCGCCACTGGCCGGAACCAATGTCATGAATGTGGTCATTGTGGCGTGCGAGTGCGCACCGTGGTCTAAGACCGGTAAGCTCGAGCTTTTCCTCGATCACCTGGATCGGCCGACTAACGCACGGATATACAGGTGGGCTTGGCGATGTCGTGGGGGCATTACCAAAGGCGTTGGCACGGAGGGGTCACCGTGTTATGGTCGGTATTCATCTCGACGGCCTTCCCGACTGACTTGTGCGTTCCATGGTTGCAGGCTGTCGCTCCTCGTTACAAGAATTACGTCGAAGCATGGGAGACGGGTGTGCGAAAGGTGTATAACGTAGCTGGACAGGTACGGTGTGACAATATTTCGCTGCTCATCACTCTTGTCGTAGACAAAATCTGATTTTTTCAGGACATGGAAGTTGGCTACTTTCATGCCTACATCGATGGTGTGGACTTTGTGTTTGTGGACTCCCCTATGTTCCATGGCTGGTGTCACGACATCTATGGCGGCTCCAGGGAGGTGAGCAGGATGTGAGTAGCAAACTGGAAAGACTCATGTTTTGCTGTTTATCTTTGTCAGGATGTACTGGCTCGCATGATTCTCCTGTGTAAAGCGGCTGTTGAGGTCAGTATAGCACTCGCAAACGTGGAGAGTACTAGTGGTGGTTTTTGCTTCTTGTAGATTCCGTGGCATGTCCCTTGCGGTGGCGTCTGCTACGGGGATGGGAACCTCGTGTTTATTGCAAACGACTGGCACACGGCTCTGCTGCCCGTTTACCTGCAGGCGTACTACCGTGACAATCAACTCATGCAGTACACGCGCTCTGTCTTGGTCATTCACAACATTGCGCATCAGGTGCTTTTGTTTCTTTCCTAGCACATCCCTCGTAAACTTTGGTGTCCTGCATTCAGGGACGTGGGCCTCTGAGTGACTTCGGAAAGCTTGGGCTGCCAGACCACTTCCGGGACAAGTTTGCTCTCTACGATCCAATCGGAGGGGAACACATGAACATCTTCATGGCGGGTATCCTCACGGCACACCGAGTGATTGCGGTGAGCCATGGCTACGCTTGGGAGTGCCAGACTCAGGAAGGCGGCTGGGGGCTGGACAACGTGATGCGAGAGAACTCGTGGAAGCTCAAGGGCGTGGTTAACGGCATTGACGACTCGGAGTGGAACCCCGAGGTGGACAAGTGCCTCGTCGGCGATGGCTACAAGCAGTACAGCAGCGCGAGCCTCGAGACTGGGAAAGCCGCTTGCAAGGCGGCGCTGCAAAAGGAGCTGGGACTCCCGGTGCGACCCGACGTGCCGCTGCTGGGATTCATCGGGAGGCTCGACTACCAGAAGGGCGTGGACATCATCGCCGAGGCGATACCGTGGATGATGGGCCACGACGTCCAGTTGGTGCTGCTGGGAACGGGCAGGCCCGACCTGGAGGAGCTGCTCCGTTCGTTTGAGGCCAAGCACCGGGACAAGGTGCGTGGATGGGTGGGATTCTCGGTTAAGACTGCGCACCGGATCACTGCCGGCGTGGACATCCTGCTCATGCCATCGCGTTTCGAGCCGTGCGGCCTCAACCAGCTCTACGCCATGAGGTATGGCACGGTGCCCGTGGTGCATGCCGTCGGGGGACTCCGGGACACGGTGACGCCCTTTGATCCCTTCACGAACTCGGGGCTGGGCTGGACGTTTGATCGGGCGGAGGCGTCGGCCATGACGCATGCGATCGGGAATGCGATGTGGACGTACAAGGACTACAAGGAGAGCTGGAGGGGGATCCAGCTGAGGGGCATGAAGCAGGACTTGAGCTGGGATCACGCCGCGCAGCAGTACGAGGAGGTGCTGCTGGCCGCCAAGTTCCAGTGGTAGCACAAGGAAAAAAAAAAGCTGTACATCAGAAGGTTTGCTCACCTAGGGCTTTGGATTTCATTGAGATGCAGCACGAGGTGGACCAGCGGACGCTCTTTCTGGTAGGCAGTGCGAATGAAATCAGTGACTATCTGATGTATCAGGTGAATGTCTTTATAATCAACACGGTGGAGCTCCTCAACAAGGTCTCGAGCGCCTGTGACACAAGGCTTAGTCATTTACACCAGTAAAAATCCTGGCGTTTCTTCTGCACTATGTTGATAAAAGTGATGTCAAACAGGAGGATCTTGCGAATGGACGCCACACTGGCACTGGTGGAGGCCAAATTGAAGAGCGTGAGCAATCCAGCAAACCAATAGAAATGTAAGAATTGCCAACCTCCCAAAACATGATCATTTCTTGAGCACCCTGGCCATGGACGGTGTCAGTCCTGTGCAAAGAAGTTTTGCTAGACTGGTATTTACTTGTAGATATAGGCAGCTATGCCCAAGACGACGCAAAGCAGTATAACGTCAATGCAGAAGTTCCTTCCCGATCGGATCTGTCAACTGAGGAATTGAGCAGAGTCACCAAAAGAACGAGGAGAAAGAGATTACCTTCGACACCACCTCTTTCATTCTCGCATTGTTCTTGGTCAGGTCCCCCGTTGCTTTATCAATCTGCGACAGTAGCCATCCAGGTCCAATTAGACATTGCGCTGGACATAGCAGCGTTTACCTTCTCTTCCATTTCGCCGACCATGGGATCTTGCTTGTCGAGCTCCTGAGACAGGCGCATGCGGGTTCTGAGATGACACTAGTGGGTGCAGGGCGCAGCACAGAACCTCACTGATATCTTCCGCCATGTTTTTGAGCGTCGACAAGCCTTCTGAAATGATGTCGAGGTTTTGATCCTGGAGGTTCCAAAGTATACCAGAGGTACAAAGCACCATCCGAGACAACAAAGGCTTAGGATACCTGCTTGTTCTTTCTGTGTTGAAACTCTTCCTGGTAGGCTGCTGACTCCGCCGTGTGTTCGTACCTCTCGGACCTGAAAGCTTCGTCTGCAGCTCCAGAGGTTAGAGTTGTCCGTATCGATCATAAGTATGTACCAGCGGCGGCAGAGTCGATCTTGATCTCAATGTGTGACTTGTCGATCTTCTTCTTCTTCTTGGCCCCCATCATGGTGCCTTCGGGGATGTCATCGATTCTGGCTGCCAGGGCAACAACAAGGTCTGGACGGGCGGCAAGATCCTCCGGAGATAGTGCTTTCACCTTGAGGAGAGCAAGACGGAGTGGGAATGGAGCAGAGAATGGTTGAGTTATTAGAGACGGTTGGGTTGTTCCACCTTCTTCTTGGCCAGCCTCTCGAGCTTCGGGATCTCTTCGCGCAGAGCTGCCTTGGTCCGTCGTATCTCTGCATTCATGGTGGCGACGGCGGCTCTGTTCTTTTCCTCGGCGGCCTCGTTCGCTTTCTGTGCGTGCAAGTCAGCGGAGGGTGGGAGGGCATAGCGAGCGCACCTTGACGGTAGCTTCGATCTCGGCCTCCATTGTGGTGTAGAGCTGCAAGAAGTGGTCATCCGGGTTGATGTTGAGGTCCTTGTGCTGCTTGGACGGATCATACTTGTCAAACTTCTTGCAGATGGCGTCCACCCGGACGAGCATGTCGATGATGCTCATGGCTTGTTAAAATGCGGAGGAGCCCTAACTCCTGGAGAATCTTTTTAGGGCTTTGCAGCGAGAGATGGAGAAGAGCATACCGGAGAGGGTCCACGATCTCTACTACAGGTTCTTTCCTTCCGCCGATTGCCCCGTGACGGGCGCCCCTCCCGCGCCGCCGCCGCCGCCGCCGCCCTGCAGCAGCGCTGGACAGGGCCAGTGCCCCGCCTCCGGCAGAGGGGCTGCTTACAAGCATCCGCATGTGTACGACGTCTATGGGAGGCGGATCGACGAGGAGGCGAGGGGGGAGAGGGACGTGTGGAGGATGCCGCGGCACTTGTACTACGGCGGGCAATGGGAGGCGATGAATCCGGCCAACAGCATGCCCCTGCAGCCCAACCAGCGGCGAGCGCCGGGCCAGAAGGAGGAGCTGCCAACCTTCCGCCAGGTATCCAGCATCCCCAAGGCGGGCACGGACGAGACGTGGGTGTACCCGTCCCAGCAGATGTTCTACAACAGCCTGGTGAGGAAGAACAAAGCGGACGACGTGACGGAGAAGGACATGGCGGCTGTTGTGACCACGCACAACGCTGTCAACGAGGGCACCTGGGCGAGGCTGCTGCAGTGGGAGCAGGCGTATGGGCGCTTGTTCCCCGGGTCTTCCAAGGACGAGCCGCGGCTGCTCCACTTCAGAGGCCGCCCCCACGACCTGTCTCCAAAGGCGCGCTTGAAGAAGCTCCTTGGCTATGGCCAGCCGTTTGACCGCCACGACTGGACCGTGGACCGGGGCGGGCGGGAGATGAGGTATGTCATCGACTTTTACTACGACGATGCTGCGTCGGAGAGCAACCGGTGGCCGTTTTACATCGACGTGAGGCCCGCTCTCGACTCCCCGACTGCCCTGCTACTCCGAGCTCGAATGCTGCTGCACGACATGCTGGGCGCGGGCGACGCCGCCAGCAATCCAGTGCCCAGCAGGCACGCTGCTGCACAGGACAGCAAACACTAGGACTTGTTTCGATCGAGCATCTCGTCTTCGGCTTGAATAAAACTCGCGGCTTTGAATTTCACATTGATGAAAGAGAATTTCAGAACTTAGGGTTGTTTGGAACTTGTTGATGGACAAGCAGGAGATTCCACCGCCAGCGCCACCGACTCGTAAGGAGCCAGCTGCTGCTGCTGCTGCTCGGAAGCCCTCCTCCATTTCAGCTCTTACGCCTTCCAATTGTGCTCCAGGTATCCGTTCCCTTGCATTAGAGTGCTCCATTCACTACGATTACGATCGCATGACAGGAAACAAGCACAAGAAAGGGCCCAAAAGCCTGCTGAGCTTGTGCGTCGCTAGCATCGGCTGCTACCTAGACGACATTGTTGACGACTTGGACTTAATTGCACCGCTTCTTCCAGTGTCTGTCAAGGTGGGATTTTGCAAGTTTTCCCAAGCCATCAGTTGTGGAGTGTTGTGCTCCGTCAACCACAGTTGCAATTGGTGGCTATCGCGCGGAGGAGGGGATTGCTGTGTGACAGGCTTCTGGTTCCTCTGGCGGATACGGCATGGGAGATCCTGGATGTGTCCGGCTCCGATGTAACTGACACAGGCATTCATCAGGCAGCAAAGATTTGCTCCAAGTTGAGAGCAGTCGACGTAAGGTAAGGAAGAGAGGCTTTCGAGAGAAAGACATACTCTTTTCTTCTTACACTCGCCTTCTCTTTCGTTTGCAAACGCAAATATGGCACACAGCCGCTGCAGCAGCCTTACGGCGGAGTCCATTAGAACGATCGTCGAGTGCTGCCCGGCTCTTGAAACTCTGAGATGTGGGTAAGCTTGCTTGCAGGCCTTTGGTTTTCATGAGCTGTTGGAAGCTGAACGCTACGTGATGTTGAGCAGCGGCACACACCTTAGCAATAGAGCTGCGAGGCTAGCACTCCCGTGCGTGCTGCCGGGCTTGAGAGTGCGCAACCAAGTTGAGGAGAGCTGGGAAGATTTGGATGCAGTGGCGGTTGGGAGTGGTGCGCAGGAGTTACGATGGATTGTGTGGGTAAGCTGGACCGTTTGAAGCTCGCGCTTGCCAGAGTTGATCGTCTTGTGTGCACTTCCAGCCTGCGATCGATGGCGAGTCGAGACAAACCGTGGAGCTCGAGTGCCCACGCGTTGTTGTCAACCCCGGGATGGCGTCGTCCAAGCATGCCTGTGTCCCCAGAGAAGCTCTACCAAGCACTGTCTTAGACGAGCAGCTCGTGGAAGACATATCTCCATCGGCATGGGAGGTGAGATGCAGCCCGAGCCAAGCCGCTGCTCTAGGCTTGGGCGAGATCTCTATCTCCAAGGCCGAGCTCTTCAGGATGGCATTTGCCGCAAGGGACGAGCGCTTGGCACCCAAGAGAGCCAAGAACTGGAGGCAGAAGGAGCGGCGGGAGCGCAAGCTGTGGGTCAGCTCTAGCCTTGAGCTCCGAGCTCGCCATTTAGCAGACACTCACGCAATGTAATGTGGAAATATAATGCTCCTCTGTATTAGGTATCTTACCGTGCGCAAAGTCAGAGTTGTGTCCTAGGGCAAGGGCATCGATCGCGTCCGATGGCTCCACGATGGGTAAGCCACCATGACACACCATGGGCACGCTGCTCTAGCGAGTGCGCTCTCCGATTTGCTGCAGGCTAGAGGGGCGCATTTTCTGGTGCTGCTGCTGGTGATCATCGCCACTGACTACACTCGCGCGGACGAGATCTCTTACGACGATGTGGATGCTCCAAAACACCCCGGCTGCGACAACAAGTTCGTGCTGGTAAGCAAAGCTGCCGCGTTTGAGAGAATTGGATTGCTTTGCTGAGAATCTCCCAGGTGAAGATCAGAAACTGGATTGACAACGTCCCCGCAAGTGACTATGTCGGCATCACAGCCAGGTTTGGGGGGCCCGTCGCAGCACGAGCTGACAAAGCTCATGTCACTTCCCTCTCGCGAGCGGATCCCATCGACTGTTGCTCCAATCCCGGCGGTGTCAAGGTGTGCCTCCTCGTCCCGCGGTCTCTCGTAATACTTGTTTGCTTGTTATAGCATGCAGGGAACGTACTCCTCGCTGAAAGGGGGAACTGCACTTTCACTACCAAGGCAAGGATTGCGCAGCAGGCTGGTGCCTCGGCTGTTCTCATCACAAACGACCGAGAAGGTTCGGGGTTACATCTTATGGATGTTTTCGTCTGTCGTGAGAGCTTGTGTTTGACAGGCCCTTGTTCTCTTACTTGACAGAGCTTTACAAGATGGTCTGCTTTGAGAACGACACTTTCGCAGACATAACAATTCCAGCCATTATGATCCCCAGATCAGCAGGAGAAAGCTTGGAGTCTGCTTTGCAATCGAGCCAAAACGGTACGTGCGATGAATCACTGTGCTGCCCCTGACCTGTCTTGTGTATGCCACAGTGAAGCTGCTCCTGTATTCACCAGTGCGGCCTGTTGTTGACCTTGGCGAGCTCTTCTTGTGGTGTCTTGCGGTTGCGACCGTGATCGGCGCGTCCCTGTGGTCCGCATGCACTGCCAACGACGTAGGAAGCGGGCGGTACAAGCGCTTGAAGGTGTTGATTACGTCTTTGCATTATTCTTTGTTCGCAACGGGGTTTATTTGCAGGAGGCTTCTGCAGCGTCTCGCACAAAGGACGATTCCGACGACAAGGAAGTGGTGGATATCAGCATCGCATCGGCCGTGTGCTTTTTGATCCTTGCGTCTGTCTTCCTGCTTCTGCTCTACTTATTTATGTCCAACTGGTTTCTGATGCTGCTCGTTGTCTTGTTTTGCATTGGCGGTGCTGAGGTAATGTAACACCAGACTGATGGTGTTCTAGAGTCTTACTTGCTCCTTTTGCAGGGATTACAAACGTGCCTCGTAACACTGCTATCCAGGTGAGTCATATTCGCTATCAGCTGCTACTTCTCTTTGAACCAGCATCCTGTGGCGAGGCGATTTACAGGTTATTTCCTGGTGTTGGTACGCGGCACATAACCATTCCAATCCTGGGGACTGTAAGTTCCCTATCTGTCGTGGTGTTTCCCATCTGTGTGGCCTTTTCTGTACTATGGGCTGTGTATAGGCACGCTCATGTGGCCTGGGTTGGCCAAGACGTATTGGTGAGAGCCTCTTGTCTTATTTCTCTGGCTATTTACTACTGGAAGCTGTTTTCACCAGGGTGTAGCATTGATCCTGACCGTCTTGCAAGTTGTTCGCTTGCCAAACATTAAGGTAACTCTCTGGTTTCCTCCGTTCCAAGGTCGTAGCTGTGCTGTTTGACAGGTTTCCACGGTTTTGTTGAGCTGTGCGTTTCTGTATGATATCTTTTGGGTCTTCATATCTCCATACATTTTCAAAGAGAGCGTTATGATCGTGGTATGTAAGCTTCGACTATCTGTTCGTTTACCTCTTTTGATGGAATGTTCACATTTGCAGGTGGCCAGGGGAGATAAGAGTGGAGGGGAGAGCATCCCAATGCTGCTCAGGGTCCCGCGTTTCTACGATCCCTGGGGTGGCTACTCAATCATCGGGTTTGGCGATATACTTCTGCCGGGCTTGTTGGTGTCATTCACACTCAGGTGCCCTTTATTCTTTGTTTAGATTAGCTCAAGCAAGTGAGATAACGCAGGTTCGATTGGGCCAACAAGAAGAGCCTTTCCGGGGGATACTTCTTGTGGACAACGGTCGGCTATGGCCTGGGTACGTGGATTATCTTTGCCTCAAATAAATCCTTGCCTCAAATCTGTTTCTATGTTCTGCGCACAGGACTCATGCTAACTTACGTTGCTCTCAACCTGATGGACGGCCATGGCCAGCCGGCGCTGCTTTACATCGTTCCCTGCACTCTAGGTGAGTCTTGATAACATTCCCGCAGTATTTGATTGTAACCTCTATAACCTGGTGTAGGCATTGTGGTGCTGCTGGGATGGATAAGGAAAGAGCTGGGAGCACTGTGGAACAACAAGGACGTGGCCGAGGAGCCAAGCGCAGGCCAAGTTGGCGCCGCGCAAGCCTAGCTCTAATAATGTATGATACAAAATGTTGGTATTTATGTATGTATGAGGGAAAGTTGGGAAAGACGACAGCGTGTGAGTTGCGTGTGTATATAGCCTAGGTACAAGGGGAGAAAGGGCATTAGGGCTTAGCTCGATCCATCACAGGTAAGGAGGTATGGAGTCGAGCGACGAGGCGGGGCTGGTGCTCTTCCCAATCGGCCCATCCACTGCTCTGGGCCGCGCTGTGGCGCTCAAGGTGCTGCTGTGCCGCTCGGCCAAGGAGGTGGTGGAGGTGCTGGGCTTGCGCGCCTTGGCTCACGTCCGGAAATGCAAGCGCCTGGCCATGCTGCTCGTCGGCTGGGTGCTGTCGTGGTTCAACCCCCGGCGGCCCAGCGTGCTGCTGGCGGCGGTGCTGTGCGTGGGCTACGCCATCCGCCGCGCGCGCCTGGAATCCACCAAGGCGGAGCTCGTGTTCCGAAGGAAGTTCTGGAGCAACATGATGCAGTCGGCCCTGACGTACGAGGAGTGGACGCACGCCGCCAGCATGCTGGACAAGGACAACTACTGCCGCCGGCGGCGCAAGGACTCGGACCTGTACGACGAGGAGCTGGTGCGCGCCAAGCTCAACGAGCTCAAGCTGCGGCGGATGAAGGCGGGCGTGGAGGACATCCTCTTCTGCCTGCGCGCCGACCTGGTGCGCAACCTGGGCAACATGTGCAACCCGGAGCTGCACAAGGGCCGCCTCCAGACCCCGCGCGTCATCCAGGAGTACATCAACGAGGTGTGCTACCACCTCCGCGCCATCTGCGAGACCGACTCGGACGAGTTCTCGCTCGAGGAGAAGATCGCCTTCATCCACGAGACGAGGCACGGGTTTGGGCGCACGGCGCTGCTGCTGAGCGGAGGCGCGGCCCTGGGGGCCTTCCACCTGGGCGTGGTGAGGACCCTGATCGAGCACCGCCTCCTGCCCAGGGTGGTGGCGGGTGCCAGCGTTGGCTCCATCCTCTGCTCCTTCGCCGCCACCAGGACGTGGCCGGAGCTCCAGAGCTTCTTCGACGACCCCATGCCACCCATGCACTTCTTCGAGTCCATGGGGAGCATCTTCAAGACGGCACACAGGCTGCTCACACGCGGCGCAGTTCACGAGATCGGCCTGCTCCAGAGGAAGATGCGGCAGCTCATTGGCGACCTCACGTTCCAGGAGGCATACGATCTCTCTGGCCGTGTCCTGGGCATCTCGGTGTGCTCCCCCCGCCGCCACGAGCCACCCCGGTGCTTGAACTACCTCAGCTCGCCGCACGTTGTTATCTGGAGCGCTGTCACCGCTTCCTGTGCTTTCCCGGGCCTGTTTGAGGCGCAGGAGCTCATGGCAAAGGACAGGCAGGGCAGGCTTGTGCCATACCACACCCTGTCACAGGTTGGCCCCGAGGATCACAACATCAGCAACAGGCAGTGGCGGGATGGCAGCCTGGAGAGCGACTTGCCCATGATGCAGCTCAAGGAGCTGTTCAACGTCAACCATTTCATTGTGAGCCAGGCCAATCCGCACATTGCTCCGCTCTTGCGGCTCAAGGAGCTGGTGAGGGCCTATGGTGGCGACTTCGCTGCAAAGGTAACTGCCAAGTGTATTGGTGCGTGCAAACATATAATCGTCGTGTGTGCGTGTATGGAATGCAGCTGGCGCATCTGGCTGAGATGGAGGTGAAGCACAGGTGCAGGCAGGTGCTGGAGATGGGGTTCCATCTCTTTGGCCTTGCCAAGCTCTTTGCCCAAGACTGGGAGGGAGATGTCACCATTGTCATGCCTGCTACATTTGCTCAGGTACCAACATTTTCTGCGGATGGATGGATGGGAAACAGTCTATTCTGTTGTGCATGCAGTTCGCCAAGCTTATTCAGAACCCGACGCCCTCGGAGCTCAGGAAGGCTGTGATGCAAGGCCGGCGCTGCACGTGGGAAAAGCTGTCCGCGATAGAGGCCAACTGTGGGATCGAGTTGATGCTAGACGAGTGCGTAGCGGAGCTCAGCCGCAGGCGCAAGGCTCAGAGGGACGCCGAGCGCAACTCCGCTCACGCGCCTGGCGTCTTCTCCTCTCGCTTCTCCGCCACCAAGAGAATACCGTCGTGGAACTGCCTGGCCCGCGAGAGCTCCTGGGGCTCGCTGGACGAGGACAGCATAGAGGGGACCTTGCAAGCGGGAGGGCCCTGGGGCGGCCCGTCACTGCGCAGATTGAGGCCTATGCGGCACAACCACGACGGCAGCGACAGCGACAGTGGAGCGGAGGAATTTAGCAACCTGTCTTGGACCAAGGCTGGCGGGCCGCTCATGAGGACGGCGTCTGCTGCCAAGTTCTTGATGTCCCTCGAGAGCGACGCCGACAGCGGGCAGGCTGCCAAAGAGGAAGCCGCTCCTCGAAGCAACCCGGATGCCGCAGCTGCACAAGACGGAGAGGTAGTGAAACGGCCTGCTGTTCCAAAGTTGGGACGTGCTAACAGCTTGGATATGCGTAGCAGCAAGCGGGCAAACAAGATCTGGGAAGGCCTTGACTACAGTGCAGTCAGTGTTGCACCAAGTGAGCAAGGAGAGAACTTTTCTTTCTCCTTGCAAGTGGGTATGAGGAAATCTGCGAGCGAGACCATGGTCAGCTCGTCGATCTACCTCTTGGATGACAGTTTCAGCAAGAAACCGAGGACGCGTGAGTGGATGACTGCATTTATACGAGCTGAGAGTAACTGACGGTTTTTCTCTTGTGCCGCAGGTGGAGATGATGGTACCAAAAGCGAAGAATCAACGCCGAGGGAAGGGTTAGGAGTGGCAAGGAGTTTAGGCCATGGTGGTGGAGCATTTGGTTCTTTTATAGCTCATTCCGACCCGCCTCAATGATGCTTCGTTCCTGTCTGTCTGTGTACATAGCATTGTTTCTTTTGTTCCAATAAACAGTCCGCTGAATCCATGGAGGTGGCTCTTGATCCATGCCGCTCCGGAACAACGGCAGTGGCAGCATCAACGCCCTCGCAGCAGCCCTCCGGCAGTGTGGAAGCAGAGCGGCTTTGGACGAGGGCAAGCGGCTCCATGCGCAGCTGGTGGCCAGCAATCAGGACTCGTCCACCTTTCTGGGCAACTTGCTCGTTCAAATGTATGGCAACTGCGGGTGCATGGACGCGGCGGCAGCGGCCTTTCACAGTATATCGGTCCCTAACGTCTACTCCTTCTCCATCCTCATGTCTGCATATGCCCAGAATGGGTATGGCAGCGAGGCCGTGCTGGTGTTTCACAGGATGGAGATGGAGGGGATTCGGGCCGATCGTGTCGCTTACGTATCCCTGCTGAATGCCCTGTGCTTGTGCTCCTCCGGAAAGCAGCACGGCATGCTGCTGGCCAGGGGGAAGCAAATGGAGTCGAGGATGACGGAGTCGGGCATCTTGTCCACCACGCCGGTGCTGGGCAATGCGCTCATCACGCTCTACAGGCACTGCGGGAGCATGGTGGATGCCGAGGCCACCTTCGAGGCGATGCAGCGGCGCGACACAATCTCGTGGAACGCCATGATTGCGGCGTGGCTGGACCACGGGCAAGCCGCACAAGCCCTCCACCTCTACCAGGCACTCCTCCGGCAGCCCGACGTGAGGCCCGACGACACAACGTTCGCGAGCGTCTTGAGCGGCTGCTGCCACCATCTCAGCACCGGGCGGTCCGTCCATGCCGCGCTCCTGGCAGCACGGGGCGACGTGGCTGCCGACGTCTTCCTCTCCAATTCCCTGGTGCAAATGTACGCCCGCTGCGGCAGCGTCCTGGAGGCGAGGGCCGTGTTCGACGCCATGCGGCAGCGCAACACCGTGTCGTGGAACATCATCATCTGGGCGTACGCGGCACAGGGGCTGGGAGTGGAGGCGCTGTGCCTGTTGCAGCGCATGGACTGCGAGCGCGACGTGGTCACGTTCATCAACGCCCTGTCTGCTTGCGGCGCGGGCGGTGCGGCGCAGCTGGAGCAGGGGCGGCGGCTTCACGCGGACATGGTTGCGCGCGGCCTCCTCGCCGCCAGTGTGTCCGCCACCAACGCCGTGCTGAGCATGTACGCCAAGTGCGGGGACGTGGACGCGGCGGTGGAGGTGTTTGAGCGGTGCAGCTGCCCAGACCGCGTGAGCTGGAACGGGATCATGGCCGCATTTGCCGGGTCGGGGCATTTCCGCGAGGCGCTGCAGGTGATGAGGCAGATGGAGGTGGAGGGGGTGGCGCTGGACGCCGCCGCGCTGAGCTGCGGTGTAGCGGCTTGCAGCGGGCTGGGTGGCGTGGGAGGCCTCAGCCAGGGCCGCGCCCTTCACGCCCGCATCCGGAGCTGTGGATACGAGCAGTTGCCGGCGGTGGGCAACGCGCTGCTCCACATGTACGGCAAGTGCGGACGGATTCGTGAAGCGCGGCTCGTGTTCGACGGCATGGAGGCGCGGGGCGTGATTGCCTGGAATGCGATGCTGGGTGCTTATGCCCAGCACGGTCATGCGAGCGAGGCGCTGGAGTTGTTCCGGGGCATGTCGCTGGAGATGGAAGCGGACGAGGTGACGGTGAGCAGCGTGCTGCACGCGTGCTGCCATGCGGGCATGCTGGAGCGCGGCTGCTGCTGCTTCGGCTCCATGAGCGCCGATTACGGTGTCGCGCCCACTGCCGAGCACCTGGTGATGGTGGTGGACCTGCTGTCTCGGGTCGGCAAGCTCCAAGACGCGGAGGAGTTGATCGCCCACGCTTACCAGCATCAGCTTGTGCCCGGGGCCCCGGACGATGCGGTGTGCTGGAGGGCGTTGCTTGGGGCGTGCAGGCTCCAGGACAGCCCAGAGCGGGGCGTCCGGGCCGCCGAGAAGCTCATGGCGCTGGAGCCGGCCGACTCAGCCGCCTATGTGCTGCTGTCGACCATTTACTCGAGGGCTGGGAGGCTGGAGGAGGCGGCGAGCGTCAGGAGGCGCATGGACATGAGAGGGGTGGTGAAGCCAGCGGGGTGGAGCGCCATCGAGGTCAACAACAAGGTGCACGAGTTCGTGTCAGCGGACTCGTGCCCACCGGAGCTGGCCGCCACCCTCGAGGCGCTGGCGGCAGAAATGCAGCGTGCTGGTTACGTGGCCGACGACCCTGGCCACGGCGACAAGGAGAGGCTGGGGAGCTACCACAGCGAGAAGCTGGCAATTGCATTCGGGATCAGGAGCACTCCAGCCGGGACGAGCCTCCACATTGTCAAGAACCTTCGCGTGTGCGCTGACTGTCACTCGGCCACCAAGTACATCTCCAGGATTGTGGGGCGGCAGATAATCGTGAGGGATACGTATCGCTTCCACACCTTTGACAAGGGGACTTGCTCCTGCCAAGACTTTTGGTAGGGTAACAACGCAGGTACGTAGTATGGCGTTTTTCGCAATGGCAGCAATGCCGCCGCCTTGCAAGCTCAAGCTCAAGCCCACAACGTCCCACGCGGCCAAGGATTTGAGCTGGCGGAAGAGCGAGCTGGCTGGCACTGGTGTGGCGGTTCCACTCGTGGTGCCATTGCAGAGGCTTTCGTCCCTCATCGTCCAGCCCCTGGCAAGTAAGTGTAGCAGAAGCCGCGAGTCCAAACCGATGATTGATAATTTCCTTTTGGGCTTTTGCCAGGCAGGGTGTGCGAGCTGACGGGCAAGAAGTACAACAACGCGCGCAAGATCTCCTACTCCCACATCCGCACCAGGAAGAAGCAGCAGCCCAACCTGCAGTACAAGCGGCTGTGGTGGGAGGCTGGGCAGAGGTTCGTCAGGCTCAGGATTTGCACGCAGGCGCTCAAGACCATCGACAAGAAGGGGCTGGACGCCATGGCCAAGGAAGCGGGGATAAACTTGCGCAAGCACCGCTAAGCTACCTAAAAAGAAGCAGTGTTAGCCTACACGTTGTTAATGTTAAAAAGGAGCCCCAGTGCCAGATATTTTGTTTGGGGAGAGGAGAGAAGATATTTTGGGGGAGGGTGATGGCTTAGCTAGGGTTTTAGCGCGCAATGGCGGTGGACGAGGCGGCCTGCCCAGACGACCACAATCCAGCCGCTGCGGCATTCAAGCACTTGGCTGAAAAGTTCAAAACGGTTGATGGCAAGTTCATGGAGAGGTTTCCTTCTGCAATGCAGAAGGAAGGCGTGGAGAAGGAATTCGGGCAGAGCGGTCTCAAGAAGCTGCTCGTCAGGGCTGGACAAGGCTGGGATGTCCCCAAGCCTGGTGATGAGCTCACAGGTACTCTTCTCCTCCTTCTTCTTCCTTCGAAAGTAGAGAGGCTTACTCCATCGGCTAAACCCTTCCATGGATGAATGCAGTGCACTACGTTGGGAGGTTTGCCGATGGAACCAAGTTCGACTCCACCCACGATAAGAACCAGCCCTTCGTGTTCAGGCTTGGCCAAGGTGGAGTACAATGTGGCTATTCTATCTCAACTCGCTCCTTTGCCTGAGTCTTCCGTGCAGGAGAGGTGATAAGGGGCTGGGACCGAGGCATTGGCTCGATGAAGAAGAAAGAAGTAGCCGTTTTCACAATCCCACCCGACATGGCCTATGGCAAAGCTGGTTGCCCGCCCCTGGTTCCTCCAAACGCTACTCTCGTGTTTGAAGTGGAGCTGCTAACTTGGGCTAGCATCACCGACGTGCTCAAAGACGGCGGCATCGTCAAGAAAGTCGTCTCTGAGGGTCACAAGTGGGAAACTCCTAAAGACTCGGACGAAGTTACAGGTAAGTAATAGCTACCGCTATTTTTCACTTTCCTTACGGAGTAACTCCATGCGTACCAGTGAGGTTCACGGCGACGTTGCAGGACGGCACCCTTGTTGAAAAGACACCCGCGAAAGGCGTGACCATCTGTCCAAGAGATGGTGCTTGACGGAAGTGGAACTTGTCTGTTGCAGCTAACAGTTTGAACATTTTGATGCAGGATTCTTTTGCCCTGCAATCGGGAAGGCCGTAAGAGCAATGAAACATGGAGAACAAGCATTGTTAACCGTGACGCCTCAGTGTAAGCTAAGCTAGCTGCATAAATCCACTGATTATTATCAAACTGACCAGACTTGCAGACGGATTTGCGGAACAGGGGCGTAAGGCTACCCGTAGTGGAGCATATGTGCCTCCCTATGCAACCTTGACTGTTGACATCGAGCTTCTCGAGTGGAGGACGGTAGATGATGTCACTGATGACAGGCGTGTTGTCAAGAAGATCTTGGTGGCCGGAGAAGGACAAACCAAGCCGAACGATGGCGCCCTTGTCAGGGGTAACTAGTGGTGCTCTTTGTGAACAATTTGTCGCTTACATGTGATCTCTGCAGTCAAATACGAGGCCAGACTTTTGGACGGGACGGTCTTTGAGCGCAAAGGCTACGGCCAAGATGACCTGCTCGAGTTTACCATCGGTGAAGGTAAGGCTGTGTGTTCGTACGAGCTCACTCTTAAAAGGGGCCTTTCTGCAGAGCAAGCTGTGAGTGGCTTAGACAGAGCTGTGGCAGCTATGAAAAAAGGTGAAGTTGCGGAGGTGACAATCGCTCCAGATTATGGGTATGGTGGCTCGGAATTTCGGACGGACCTGGCAACTGTACCACCAAGTTCCACGCTAGTGTACATCGTTGAGCTTGTCAGCTTTGACAAGGTTGGTTTTTTCCAAGTTCTCCATGGTATGACGCATGCATGTGTCTCGTATCTCAGGACAAAGACATCTGGGAAATGAGCACCCTTGAGAAGCTGGAAGCAGCAAGCAAGCACAAAGAAGAAGGGAACCAGCATTTCAAGGGCGGAAAGTACTGGCGTGCTTCGAAGAAGTACGACAAGGCAGGTAGCACTTCCTTGTGTCGCACACGCTTTGACGGTATTGCCTTTCGCCTTGTTGTAGGCTGTCAAATACATTGATCACGATCACAAGTTTTCTGACGAGGAGAAAAAGCTGTCTAAGCAGCTCAAAACCGTATGCTGCGTAAACAATGCTGCGTCCAAACTGAAGCAGGAGAAGTACAAAGATTGCATTGCTTTATGCACGAAGGTGGGCGAGCACTGAACGTGCACTCTTCCTAGTCTCAGACTCTTATCGCACAGGTGCTGGATCTGGAGGCCGGCAATATGAAAGCGCTTTATAGGCGAGCCCAGGCTTATTTGGAGAACGCGGACATTGAACTGGCGGACAAGGACGTGAGAAAGATGATTGCTGCCGATCCGCACAACAGGTGAGTAGCGGGTTCTAACAGTCGGGGCATCATCTGATTCTGAGTTGTACAGAGATGCCAAGGTGCTCCAGCAGGAACTGAGAAAGCGGGGATTGGACTATGACAAAAAAGCTGCAAAGCTTTTCGGCACTATGGTTGCCAGATTGAATAGCGAGAGCTCGTAAAAATAAATGGAGTTAGCTAAGCTCTTACATAACTTACCATCCTTCCGTTTCTGACGGGCTTAACACCTTGGCAACAGTAGAAGCTGACATCTCGCAGCAGCTGTCAGTCGATCCGTCCGACACTTGCTGAAACTGATTGTCTTCTAGTTCCTGCATATGACAAGCAAGCTCCAATTTTGCAGGATTTTCATATTTTTTTAGTGTTGCCCTTATCAAATGAAGGGAATTTGTTTCCTTGGCTCATGAGAGTGTCTTATGACTCTTGAACTGAGGAGCTGAACTGTGGGCATTCCTATTAGAAATCTCTCAAAAAGTTTAATGAAGTTTTATCAAGCTTGTGAGCTCAAGTCATTTTGCATTAGGAGAATGACAGCTAGCTTGCAAGTGAGCTGAGATCTCAATCTAGTATATTATGTACTATGAAGAAGCATCAATAATTGAGTGGGAAATTGGGGAGTTGGGGAGTTGCTTGGAAGAACTGTTGTCAGCCCAACAACAAATGCCACGGGAATGTCTCAAAATTGGTACAAGGTGCAAGTCACAACAAGGTCATGCCCCTAGATAAGGTTGGCAAAATCCTCTTGCCTAACATCAGTTCCAAAAACATAGAAGCCAAAAAGAACATTGTCAATTTTGTCTTGCAATTTCTACATGATTGTGGAGATGTGGAGATTTGGCTTAGGACATGAAGAGGATGACATTGTGTCTCAATTTGTCATCTTAGATGTCCAATGGTTTATCAAGGATGTGGTGCAACTCTTCATACATACTGAGACAAGCAAACTCAAAAGTCAAATGGAAACACACAGAGTTAAATATCAATTGCAAGAACAATGTGGGAACCAAGACAAAATAGTGGAGTACAGTCTTGGAGTGCTCCATGAGATGTGAGTGATATTGCCTTGGGATGGGATGGGAATTGGCATAACCTACTTAAGGAGTTGATAGTGCCAACACTATTGAAAGAAAAATATTCATCTCCAGAATATTTATTATCAATTGACACTCAAAAAAGCCACAACTACTGGGGCAGAAGGTTTGAATGCAAAGACAAGGACATGAAATTGTTTCTTGCAAGTATTTTCATAAAGATCCAAATTAAACTTCACAAATTAAGCAAGAAAGGCTTCATGTTTGGGAATGGATGGGTGGCTTTGAAAGAGAACTTTATCAAGACAATTGTGGGAGTTGCAGGAGACATGGACAATTGGAAAGATAAGCAATGGGTTGATGTTCATCTACTACTTAAAAGAGGTAGAGTATACACCAAGGCTAGATTTGGAAAAAGAAGCTGAAGGATGAATGAAAGAAGTTAGAAATTGCATTATTGGGGTATGTATGGAGGATTGCCCATCTTTGGAAATTGAAGAAAATGTGATGAGACGTGGTTATATGTGGAGAAGGATAATAAATAAGATAGGCAAACCAAAATCATGGGATGCAGTTGTTTGTCCACTAAAGCAAGTCAAATGTGAAGCAAGAGAAAGAGGTCTAGACTACTCCCACATTTGGAATTATTCACATGTGGGATATGAATAATGATTTAAAGGTCTCATATGAGAATGTTTTGGCTGAGCTATTGATGCACAATACGCAAAAACATAAAGTGATGAATAAGTTTGTTGAACTTCATGAACTCTTAAAGGACTATGAGGAGGTTGGAAAGTCATAATTCGCAAAGTATCATCAGATGTCGTTAAGATTCCGAATGTTAGAGACTTAGAATTTGATGCAATCTTCAGATATTTTGAAAAGAGGTTTGATGAAATGGAGAACTATTTTGATAAGATGGATATGAAACTTGATGACATTGAAGTAAACCTCGACAGAATTGTTTCAAATATTGATGCAATCCTGAGATATGTTAGGATAAAAGGTTTGATAAAATGGACAACCATTTTGACAAGGTGGATATAAAACTTAATGATATTGAAGTATGCCTTGACAAGCTTAAGAATGAACTCAAGTCTACCATGGATAAAGTGAATGCAATCCATACAAGGTATTTGCAGGTATTATTGAAATTGGAGATAGATTGCCCAAAGTATCCATATATTCTTGATGAGAATAATAGGTGGAAAAATTATAGTAAAATACTGGGAACACATGTTAGACTTCACTACTTGTATGAATGGCCTAGAGGAACTTATATTCAAGGAGCTAAAAGTCATCAAGTGAAGAGTTCTATAGGTGTTAAATTGGATTTCCCACCAAACTAACTCAAAAAATTTGCTCCAATACTTAAACATACATTAATCCTATTATTTATTGGGGCCAAAGTTGAAGGACATTTTGCTGATGTTGGAAAGATAGTAAATACATTTATGGATGAGATCAAGGGAAGCCTTATAAGCTTTTTGGATTCATATCTTCTCAAAAGCAAGCTAGCTATAAATCCTAAAGCAAAAGATGTGCAAAAGATATTTAAGCTAGTGACAACTAAATTTAGGAGAGAAGAAAAGTAGGAGAAGATCATGGAAAAATATTTTGCTTTTCATCCCACAATCCTGAATGAAAGAAAAATATGAGTCTGCAAAAGTATTTAATATTTAAGTTTTTAGTTTTATCTAACAAGCACCATTCTAAAGCAGATCATCAATCTAAATTTTTATAAGGTGAATTAACAAGATGAATGTATTGTGGAAAAACAAAAGACAACTAACTATCATAAAAGATCATCAATCATCCCATCAATGAAGAGATGTATAATCATTGTTGAAGAAAGAATCAACCATTTTACATTTGAATGTCAACATAGTTGTTAACTAGCAAATGCACAAATGCCAATAACACAAAACTACAACTAAATCATCAACACTCTTCATCAAGACTAATGAAACTCAATATCAATTTTAAGGAGAGACATTTCATTTCATTCGAATCTTAACATCAATATTGTCAACGACAGGGCATCACTTCAATGCCATCAACATTAGAACAAAACTAAAAGAAAGAAAGAGTGAATCACCACTCAAAACTCTCTAACAACTAAGCTAACTAAAGTCAAAAACACTTTAGTTAGTATTCAAAATGAATTCTTCAACAATCCTCAATTATAGATAACACATCATCAAGGAGTGAATCACCACATCCAAAACTCAATATAATCCAACACTATAAATTAAATACAATCAAATGATATTAACAAAGATAGAGTCAATATGCCAACATAGAGAAACCATACAAGCCTACGACACAATCCTCCATAACACCATTTAGTAAAGCAAGCCTATCATTGATAAATTTTCATTGAGCGAAGCAAGTGTTAAAAGTCCTCGACGAAGTCTAAAAGCAATCACTAGTCGTAAAGCAACTAACAACTGCCTTTTAACTTGCTTTCATAAAACCCAAACACTAAACTCATATCATCAAGTCATATACTTGTCTAACATAAATGTAATACCCTAGGTACAAGATAAAGGTTCATGGACAAGCATAAACCTCGAATCCAACTCAACTACAATAAGCTCACTAATGCGTTTAATTAATAGCTTTAAGCATGCCTTGAAGAGGCTAGCTATGCATAATTAACACTTAGTCAAAACTAAAGTGAAGACTATAAGATGGACTTATATTCCTCATAGACAAAGCTATAGTACTGGTGTTAACTGTGAGACACAAATCCCTAAGCCTTAAAAAGGAGCCGAAAGGGTGCCACATGGTAGTGGCTGAAGCGAAAGCTAAACAAGCATAATATACTTGGACTAAAAGTGCCAACTTGAAAAGTTGAGAGCAGAAGTGGAACTCCCAACAAAGGGCTTGAGGAACAAGCATAAAGCGAATAATAAGTGAGTCTCTAGAAAAGGGAGACAAAAGGACTAACCCATGATATGTGGAAGTGTTGAGATAAAGGCTAACTGAGATGGAGTTCGAGATGGAGTTTGAGATGGACCTAAAATGGAGTCTGAGATGGAGTCCAAGATGGAGTCTGAGATGGACCTGAGATGGAGTCCGAGATGGAGTCCGAGATGAACCTAAGATGAAGTCTGAGATGGACCCAAGATGAAGTCTGAGATGGAGTCCGAGATGGAGTCTGAGATGGACATAAGATGGAGTTTGAGACGAACCTGAGAGGGAGTCCGAGACCGAGACCGAGTCTCCAAGACCAAGTCCGAGTCCGAAACCATGTCCAAGTCCGAAACCATGTCCGAGTCCGAAACTGAGATCGAGACTGAGTCTGAGTCCGAGTCCGAGTCTGAATACTGATACAGGCAGTTGGGTGAAAGCCCAAAGTGATCGTCCCCCAGGGGGGGGGGGCGGCTGCGGGGGGTTCCAAAAGTATAGTAGGGAGAGTGTGGGGGTTGGAGCCCAGTGGAGCCAGTTTGGCCCAGGAAGGTCATACCCAGTGTTGGGTGATGAGCTGACCACTGGGAAGTCCAAGACTAGAGTGAATACGGACCGACAAGCGGGGTAGCTTGGTGAAGTATTCAAGAGACGGCTCAACGGAACCTCGCTCTAAGCCCATGGCTAGAGCACCCAAAGGCGGAAGGCGGGGAGAGTACCCCCGAGGCCCGCGTAGGGCCACGGTGTTCCGAAATGGTGTCCCAAAGTCGCAGACTGTGGAAAGGAAGAGGAGTAGCCCTCTGGTGTGGTGACCAAGGACACAGTCACATGGTGAGGAAATCCAGAGGATAGTGGGACTTAGTGGTCGGGCCGTTAGGCCTTGATCTAGTGGCAGTGTTGGCAAACACAACCAAGGACAGAAAGGGACTTGGTGGGGACCGGAACGGAGATATTGGGGAAGGCTATTCCCCATGTCTGTAGGCATCCTAAGGATGTTAAGGAGTGGATCTGGGATGATCACTCATGGATGGATGACCCAGTCTTTGAAAGACGGGATTGGAATGTAGGTGGTGTTGGACCACTAGTGTGACCAAGGTAAATGGGCATGGCCTTAGCGTAATGGGTCGATACGTCAGTGGTACCTTGGGGTGTTGATCATGGGATCGGACACGTGGAGCACCTGGACCAAGTGCTAAAGTTGAGTGGCATAGATGCCATTCTCAGGGCTAGCAAGCCCCAAGTCCTGAATGGGACTTATGGAAGTTGTGAATGAGACTCCT